TTGTAACTTCTGTCGAATTGTCGTTCCGAGTCCGATCGGCTCTTGAAGAAGCGATATACCTCATCATCTTTAACGGCTGGGAGCTGGGAAAGGTCGTTCACCCAACCCGTGATCGGGAAAACGCTACCTGCAGCCATACAGAGGCGAAGGAATCGACGAAACAAGAACGCTACAGTCAAAACAACCATGCCGGCCGCAACAGGGTCCTTCCCAATGGCGCCGGCCGCCCAATGTTGTTGGACTCGTTCAGCGGATTTTCGCTGTTGCCAGATTTTTTGAAAGGGGTCTATGCTCCGTCGCAGAAACAACTACATCGCAGGGCAAATGGGCAATGCAGACCAAACGCCCATGTTTTTTGACACGCCGTCAAATTACACGGTGGAGACGAAAGGCACTACGCAAGTGAGGATACTGACCTCCGGCAACGAGAAAAACAGGGTAACAGCGATGCTCTGTTGCACGGCCGACGGACACAAGCTGAACCCATATTTGATTTTCAAAAGGAAGACTTTGCCGGCAAACGTGGCATTCCCCGCGAATGTGATCGTCCGAGTGCACCCAAAGGGTGGATGGACACGGGCCTGATGGTCGATTGGATTGACTCCGTCTGGAGGAAGAGGCCAAGAGCTGACCTAGCCGTGCGGTCCATGCTAGTGTTTGACTCTTTCAGGTGTCACATCACCCAGCGTGTGAAGTACAAGCTCGCGGCGTGCCGCACCGATCTCGTCATTCCAGGCAGAATGACATCTCAACTCCAGCCACTGGATGTGTGCCTCAACAAGCCAATAAAGGATCGCGTCCGGGCTGCCTACAACGAGTGGCTCATCGACGGCGAGCACGCTCTGACGCCAGCAGGACGTCTCAAAAGAGCGGCACTCAACAACCTCGCCAAGTGGGTGCTCGACGCGTTGAAGGCACTTCCCCAGGCAATGGTCGCCCACTCGTTCAAGAAGTGCGGCATCTCCAATGCCTTGGACAAAACCGAAGACGACTGCCTGTGGTCCATGGAAAGTGACAAGGACCTCTCGTCGGACTCTGACGACGACTAGTCTGTCAATTTGTATTCTTTTTTGTGCTGTATAAATACTTCTTATCAGGTATGTGTTGCTCAACCTTGACTTTTTCTTACTTGCAAGTTAGAATCGGCATCAAGTTATTTTTCGAATATCCGGGAGTCAAAGAGACGTGCGCGTTAGAATCGGGGGCGCGTTAGAATCGTGCAAATACGGTACTTTGTGTCGAGTGGCGTCTTGTGCCACCTAGCTCGTGCATGCTCAATTACCGTTCTCAGTTTAGTTTCGTTTTTGAAAGGCGACCAAAATTGGTCCTGTGGCGCAGGCTTGGCGCAGATTACCCATAATTCGGCAAAATGTAGCAGGATGTAGCAGGGTTAGCCCCTTGGCGCAGTTTGGCGCAATTGGCGCAGCAATCACATCACTGCTTTGTAGTGCGAAATTCTCAACATGGCGTCGTATTGCAGGAGCTGCGGGCTGGACGGCTGGACAAAGCGGACTAAGCGATGGCAGTGGACAACAGGCGGGACACCTCTACTTCAGAACTGTCGTTCACAGTACCGGCAAGTCTGTCTAGCTTTGAAAAAGAAACTTTTTTACCGATCAAAACAATTAGAGGACTTCTTCTGTACGACACGCACAACCGCCAAACTGATTGACATGAAGACGTTGCCGAGTTCTCGACCCTTCTCCTGGATGAAAACATCCCTCGTCTTACAAATATGAATTGGTAAGAGCTTGAAACATGAGCAAACGTCAAGCACTAAATGCCTACTTGGTGACAAATATGCATGCCTAGGATTCCTTTACTAGGCGCAAATGTGGCCAATGCATGGTGCTGCCAGACTTTGAGCCTGGGGAGTGCTTTGGAGTTGGCAGCAAACTTTCTGATCTACAGTTGACTGGCTGCATTACTGCGAACAAGGAGTTCACCCTCATATGCTGGACCATTACAATGTTAAAACTGTCACCTGCCTCAAAAACAAAAAAAAATCTGGTGTAGTTACTGATTTCTGGCAACTCTCTCCTCCTCTACCTTTCTCCCTCCTCTCTAGTCGGCATGTCACGCCACTACACCGTGCTCATGTTTCGGTTTCGAGCGGTTACGTTTTTTGGCTTTGTTAAACATATACAAAAATCTAGCAAAAATATTGACCGGGTAGTCTTCTGACACCTCAATAAATCACCTGGCAAAAATATAAATAAATTTTTGGTGGTTCTCAGTGCCCCTTTAAAGGGTAACTGCAAAGAAAAAGAAAGTGTTTTTTTAAACAGCCTAATTGGGACAAGCATGTCATAAAACAATTTTTCAGCGAAAAAAATTTTTTTTTTTTTGTTACAGCGATATTTATTGCGCGGGACTGATTTTAGTTTGCGGCTATTTCGTCCATTTTAAAATGCGCGCCACAAAGTTGGTATTATACGTCACAGAGTGACGTGCTATAGCAACTCTTCTCATTGGTTAAGAGACTGATTGACAGCTTAGATCTTGGTTGTTAAACCTTTGTGATATGTTGTAATTTCCTTTTGAGCGTCATAGTTTTACGTTTAAAGAATAACCCATGTAATTAGAGTTATTTTTCTTTACGAAAAGGTTTACAAGACGGGCACTTCCGTTCGGATTCATGCCATAAAAACAAAAGCTTGGCTGTTCTTTTCATGGCCGCCGAAGTCTCTGCTCCCACTTGTCTCGCCTACCTCAACTAGTCCTTTCGCCTAAGTGATCAGTGTTTCGTGTTGACCTAGGTGCTTCAGTGAGACTACCTGAAGTGAAGTAGTGTGTGTTTAGCAGCTGTGCAGGTGCTACTGATAGGAAGCGAAGCTGGGTTTTGGCTTTCATAGCGCAGTATTTTACTTCTGTTTTCCTCTTTGCTTTCGTAGCATGCTTTTTATTCTTTTTTTCTTGCACATGCAAATGCTGATTTTTTGAAAATGTCAGTTCCTGTAAAGCGGCACTGTTGCTCTGTAAAGTGGTGCCAGATGAGTGATCGCGACAGCAAGCCTTCCAGCAGTCACGTCGCCCCGAAAGATGACAATCTGAATGCTATTTGGCTGGAGGCAATTGGGCGTTTGCGTAGCGACAAACGTGTCCTGGTATGTTCTCGTAATTTCGCTCTGGAGGCCTTCGAGATACGCACCGAACGTCCGCGACTAAGACACATCTGTTACGTAAAAAACCTAGCACGGCCAGGTTATTACGTAACAGGTGTCTGCAGGAGCCTTCGGACGTCCGAATTCTGCGTTAGTCAACAGATTTCTTTTCTCGGCTTCTGAACCATCTTAAGCAAAGTTGTTTGAATTATCGTAAATGTGTACTGTCATCATAAATCTTGGCTTGTGATTGCGCCTTTGTAGATCATCTTATTTGTTTTGCTGGAGAGACGCAAACGACGGGCATAAGAAAATCGATTGCATATTCTGCGTACCTTGCAAAAGAACTTCCCCAGTCACCTTGCGAAAGGCGCGAAACACGGAGTCCGCACCATCCTGACTTCCCAGTCTTTTACCTGCTTTAGAGCAGTTTGTACCTGCTAGTAGGTATGCCTACTGAAAATGAAACAGGGCAGTGCCAGAGAGAAAAGAGACAAAGTCAGGAAAGCTTGCTCGCTCTCCCAATAACTCAACTCTCAAGTGACTGCACCATAATAAATGCACCAACGCCTCTTCCCAAAATAAAGAAAAAGCACTATGTTCGCTATGTAAAAAATTCTATCAGTCCATGCATCTGTCGCTAGGTAGGAAATCTTGCTCAAGTTTATTCACACCGCATGATGAGTGCAACAAACTTGCACAAGATTTTCAGGAAAATATTGGTGGTGACTTATGTTTCCCTGAAATTCTGTATAATCGGTCGTTTGCAGTACCAAATCATCTACTCGAGCGGTGTGCGCCGCTGTGCAAACACGTCGCTGTGCAAACGCAGTTCAACAACACGAAGCATAAAGAAGGCAGATTTAGGACAACAATCCGGAATTCATTGTTCAGTTAAACAAAAATTTTGTTGAAAACACCTGCAGCTTTTTACTCATGGTATGCGTCAGGAATCTTCCACATTTTGAAATGGAACAAAGAAAGATTTGCCTTTAAAGAAGCTTGCCGCGTCTTCCCAGACCACCTGGACCGGATCAGCTGATGACAACGGGACTGAACCCGTTGAACCTCAACCCTACACCGCGTTAGTGTAGGTTTCTACTTCCAAGCCCCGCACAACACACCACAAACGTTTCAGTTCTTTGTCGCATCACCGTGTTGCACTAAACGGAACGAGATCGCCGAGGTCAACGTAGCATTGTCGTGAACGTTGGCTTGTGGTTGCGCACTCATGGACCCTGTGACTCCCTTCGCTTTCAAAGCACACACAACGATTACGAATTATACTTTTCGTCTTCCGGTAACATCACAGGGGCACTTCTCCAATCACGTCTTCGCTACATGTGCTCGCAAACCGCGGAGCTTCTCGCGTCCCGTCAAACCAAAACAATACCAGCGCCACGTTGAACGTGCGTTGTTGCCAGATTTTCTCTGACCAAACAAAAACAACGAAGGCAAACCAGCTCTAGCTTCCAGCATACATCAGCGGCACCTTCCCGCGGTGTATCTTCGACAAGACACACCGGAAGTCGAGACGCTGTGCACGTCGTTCAACTCCACAGCTAAGTCAATCCAAGAGTGAAGGGCGGGGCCATACTTCTCCGTGTGGGTCAAAAGAGTGGGGGTTTGTGGAGAGGTTGTGACTCCAACTAAATTTCGTCCTGTGGCGTAAATATTGCTAGAAAGTTGTTGTTTTTCGTGGAAGATTCGTTTTGTGTCATGTTTGTCCCAATTAGGCTGTCTAAAAAAACACATTTTTTTCTTTGCAGTTACCCTTTAAGGTTTCGTAACTTGGCGGTCAAAAATTTGCAGGCCGACCGAAATCCCCGGACAATTACGGGCATTGCCAGTTTGCAGCAAACGACCTTGAGGCATGCAAAAGAAAGGCAGACTCACCTCGGACCGGTAGTCGTAAAGGCTCCGCCTTTTCGACTTTGCGGTGGCCTGCTTGGCCTGAGGTCGGGAGGAGCCCGGAGAGCGTACCACGGCCAGAGCGGGGGTGGAGCAGTTGGGCTTCTCAAAGGAGGACCTCCCCTTGGGCAGGGGGCTGAACCCAACGAGGACGGCCTTTGTTGGGGTCAAGAGGGGCCTGGCGTCGGGCACGAGCAAAGAGGAGTCCTGCTGCGCCAATGAGCATTGTTAGTCGAGAGCTGCTCTGCAATCTAGACTTTTCCCTCGTTTGTATTAAATGTGCAGCATTTGTAGGGCACAAAACACTGCGACCGCTTTATTACGTGTTCACAAAACACTCGTAACATGCTCTTAAGTGGCCTCCTTACTACAAGTCTGACCCACTCATTGATGCAATCACTGGTATGTGCACCATTGTTTACAAAGCCCATACTGCTTTGTTGTACAAACGCCAAGATTGAAACGGGTTCCTCAAGACCGAAGAGTTTTAGGACCTTTGTTCCTCCCAAGCTTTCCGAAATGTGACAGAAGACTCTGCTGACCTGTGACTGAGAGGACTGGGTGGCCGGACTGGAGGAGGTGAACTCTTCCGGCGAGACGTCCGGCAGGAGGCATGGCCTCACCTTCCGCAAGACCTCTCTGCAAGAAGGAGCCCCAGGGCGGTTTCCCCATCGGTCGACGGCAAAGTCAGAATGATTTTCGCAAATTCGTTTCGTCCTGAGCGGGCCAAGCGACATCCCAGAACCATCTCAGAACCGAGAAGTTTAAAAAACCGCCAGTCCTAAAAAATTTGCTCTGCATTTGCCCCGAGCCACTTCCTGGCTGTAACAATAAACATTTTTTTAGAAATAACACTCGGTTGTGGAACTCCTCGCAGATGCTGCGGCAAACTTTTAGTCGTGGGGAAGTCGGCGTACTAATAAAATGTTTTCGTACGACAGCAGGTTTTCTTTGCTATTACCAGCTCAGCACTTTTATAAAGCATGAAAGGAGCATGTATATGTGTTTTCCGGCGGCCATATTTACAAACAGCTTTCTGTCGCTCCGCATTCGAAGCCATGGGCACCCGAGCACCTGTGCACCGTAGGCCCCCTCAAAGCTGCAGTCGCGCGCTCTTCGCTTTTTCCAAAATGCCACAAAAAGTTGTCCGCAAGTATAGTGATGGCTCGGCAGTTTTACTGTAAACGCATTGTGTTGGTAGAGGTGCGATTTCGACTAAAGAAGCCGGCAACTACCTCAAACTTGCCTGACACTTAACATGACGAGAACGAGCTATTATGAACACGTGTTTTGGGCACCACACGCGACACTAGTGCTCAGACACTCCGAGGCAACTCACTTGAGAGAGTCGGGAATGTCGAGGGGCGAGGAAGGCTGAGCGAAGAGGGCCTTCCAGAGCTGGAGCGCGCGCTCGCGGATGAGCCAGCGTGGGTGCAGCAAGGTGGCCTCCAGGAGCGGGGAGAGCAGAAGGAGTAGCGTGGTGTCTCTCAGTCCCCGGTAGTAGTCCTGGATGCCCGCCACAAGCACATTCCAGAGGTCTTCCAGCTGCCAAGAGTGAACGCAGACGTTCGGTTACGACCAAAGTTACTAGATAGGCTCAGTTGACAAGCTCCGCATTAGCCACGCTTCGGAAAGTCGGCCCCCTCCATCCGTACGAGCAGAGTGGCACTGTTGTTCAGCCCGCTCAGTCCGCAAGGCTGGCCAGGCTTTGGGCAAGCTTCGGATGCTGACGTTACATTGTGAAATCAGGCAGTTGGCAGCACATCAACGGCCCTTGCGCTCTTCTTTTTAAGAAATTGACACTGCAAGTAGATCCTCTTGCGGCCACATGATTGTAAATATGCAAGCTTACGATTTCTTCGATTTTTAGACGGTATAACGGATAGAAACATACATGCCTAGTTTTGGGTCGAGCTTCCAAGTGTGATTTTCTGCTCGTGTAACATTAAAGTAAAACGGGATTTATGTCATAGTTGATGTCTTTATCATATTCGTCTATGAACAGCATCCACAATCAGGAGCTCTCACGCGGTCAGAGCCATACCCAGTTCTCGATAAATGCTCCCACATATTTGTCACAGGAAAACTAACAAAATATGTTTACCTTTTATTTGTTACCACAACAAACCTTCGGCAAGGCTAAAATTATAGATGAATACTGTGCAGCCTTTATTTCTTTTTCAATAAAAACAATTGCGACCAAAATGCAAAATACCAAGGCCGAAAATACATGTAATTGGCGATCACGGATCGGAGCTTTCTTGTTTGCTACTGCCACCTTCTCCGTCATCTCTGACTTTCGATTGCTTACTCTCGCGTAGAACTTCTACAATAGAGGTGCATTCGTGTTACGACAAAGAGGTTAAGTAATTGGGAAGTGAAGTTTTCTGTGGTCTTTCCACCCAAGCCTTTCTATTTTGCATTTTCAGGGGTTCAGTGAGATAGCAAATATTTCCTTTGACTTCAAATACTGAATCGCAGAAGTATTACAAACTTAATAAAACAACATTATCATAAATTTATTTTAAATGCAACTGCAACGGTAAGAAAAAAATTGCGGTGGCTTAGCTCAGCTATGCCAGGATATACATAGCATGAACTTATGCGCGCAAAATGAGAGGCGTTATCAAGCGGCTCCGATGCAGCATCAGACTTGGCTACTGCGCAACGGTGGCACACAGCTGGGCACGCGGCAGCACCAGTGCGTCTGCCGCGGCTATGACGTCACTTCTCTGGAATGCGCAGACCGGCGAGGCGCGCGCGGTGGCGGCAGAGTGCGGGCGGCGACGGCTCCGGCACGCCAGCTGTGTGCCGTGTGACGTCACTGCTCCTCGCGCATGCGCAGACCTCTGCTCAACCTCGGCCAGTGTAGCTCACGCTACAAAAGTAGTTAACATGAAGCGAATTGAAATTAACACTCGCATAAACACAGGGTGACTACCCATCCTGCGACTCGCGGGACTGTCTCGCGTGGATGGCTCATGTCTCCATCCCGTAAGAAATTCACAAACCTTCAAAATGTCCCGAATTTCACACTGTCGTAAAATTCACTCCACAGCTCATGGTGCTGCCGAACAATGGGGCACGGGGTAGCGAGGATGTCGCGGGAAAGCGCGGAGGTTGCTTCTAATTGTGTAAATCGAAATGGTACGCCATTTTCTATTCAAGCATTGTGGGAAGCAATTGTCATTCTTGCAGGAGAACTGACGCGCTGCGCCGTAGTGCCTCTCTCCTTGGTGGCAAAATATTTAATTAAGAAAAATTACTCGCCAAAAGTTTAAATATGAAATAGAATTATTTTCAAATCCCTGTGGCAATGTGAAAGGGTTGCTGAAGATTTTTTTTAGTGGAGACAGCCGCACTCACTATAGTAGTCGAAAAATAACAGAATGTTAAAAAATTGTGTAGGACCATGTTGATAAAAGTAAGTATTGACAGGAAGCAATAACCTATAAAAGATTTACCGTTTCTTGTTTCCATTTGATACATTGAGTTTTGATACAGTCGATTTTAATGTTTTCAACTTCGACACATTTAATAACATAGTATTTGGCATAAAAAAAATACATCACTGGAAGTGAAAATTATTTGAGTTTAATTAGCAGGTGTATAAACAACACAGGATAATAAATGTGTTAACAGAGCCTCAGTTCGTTGTGTGCATGTTAATAAATTTCCTCTACCCCCCCCCCCCTCCCTCCCCCTGCCCTGCGTGTCCCGCATTTTGCTAGCAGGAAGGTGGTCACCCTAAATAAACACATCAACAAGCATGTTGCTGTGTCAGACACTGGAGCATGCACATAAGCCTACACAAACAAACTCGTTCCAGATAGACAATGAGTGTTTTATGATTCATACTGTTGCCGCGAAGCTGTAGCAGGTACACTAAAAATAACGGCTTTAATATCTTTCGGACGTTCACACATAAATCCTTGAAGTACACTGTGGGGATTGTGATCCCTCAACATTCTGTTGCGTCAGCGTTTTGGCACGCCGTGGCGGCCGCGCTGACGTAGCGAGAGGTGGCGCTGCTTACCACTGTGGGTGGCTTCCTACTCTCCCCCTTTGGGGCGATTTTCGTAACGAACCCCCGCAGAGAGGAGATCGACGTGTCGCTCCTTAATTGGCCACTTCGCCCCCGCCGTTATCTTAAAACCAGTGAACAGCAGTATCTCGCTCTCTCTTCTTCCTGGGATTTCGGCGGCGGCGACAACGGGGAACCGTCCGGTGCACCGGTGAGCTTTTACCCCCGTCTTTTGTATCTTTGCGAACGACCGTTCGGCCGGGGGCAATCTCCACACCGACGGCGTTCACCAGCTGATAGCCGCTGTCTCCTTGTTATTTGTTTTGTATTGTAAATAAACAGAGTTTATCACCGTGACCGACGTGACTGGTGTCAGCATGCCACGCGAGTACGAACCTGCTTCATGGTAGAGCGTCTCGCTGCGAACGTGGTACTCCCAAAGGCAGTGGCCCAAAGGAGAACCACAATTTGGCACCCAACGTGGGGCACCAAATTGTGGTTCTCCTTAGGGCCACTGCCTTTGGGAGTACCACGTTCGCGGCGAGACGCTCTACCATGAAGCGGGTTCGTACTCGCGTGGCATGCTGCTCGTTGAGCGCAATCAGACACCAGTCATGTTGGTAACGGCGATAAACTCTGTTTATTAACAATGAAACAAATAAGAAGAAAACAGCGGCTATAAGCTGGTGAACGCCGTCGGTGTGGAGATCGCCCACGGCCGAACGGTCGTTCACAAAGATACAAAAGACGGGGGTAAACGCTCACCGATGCGCCAGATGGTTCCCCGTTGTCGCTGCCGCCAAATCCCAGGAAGAGAGCGAGATCCTGCTGTTCGCTGGTTTTAAGATAACGGCGGGGGCGAAGTGGCCAATCAAGGAGCGACACGTCGATCTCCTCTCTGCAGGGGTTCGTTAAGAAAATCGCCCCAAAGGGGGAGAGGAGGAAGCCACTCACAGTGGTAAGCAGCGCCACCTCTTGCTACGTCAGCGCGGCCGCCACGGCGTGCCAAAACGCTGACGCGACAGAATGTTCAGGGATCACAATCCCCACAACACACCCGAATTTGCGCAAATAAGCTCATCAGAAGTGATGTATTAAAATTCTTACCCCTTAATCACACATCTCCAAAATGGCATGCACATGCAAGGGACTGAGGTTGTCACACTTGTAAAGAGCACACGAGAGGAATAACTCCGCCATTTACACCACGTCAGATGTTCTAGTATCTAGTAGTAGGCCTCCTCGGCATAGACGAATACGAATACGAAAACAGCCCGCCTCCTTTAAATGACGAAGACGTCTCCAAATTGGTATTCTTTCCTAATACGACTTTGAAATGTACACAGCAGTTTATGTTTGAACTTCCGAGACAAACGCAGAACACCTGAAGAGGGAAGTTCACGATATTTCGAGCCGCAAATGACCAAAGCACGACGGTCTATGCGCCGGACACCACGATAGACGCAGTCACTTCTCTGAGATTGCTTGCCTTGGTGCCAAATGTCAAAGACTGCTGAAACTACAAAAAGCCCGGCGGGCGTGAATTTACCTCAAAAGTCTTAAGAAATGTTGTCTCAATCCAGACATTATAACACTGGCAACAGTTGTTTGTAATACACTTAATTTGTGAACCTGTACAAGAAACTATGTGTTTCACGACGTATCCAAGGCCACTGAGGCCAGTCAGACTGCAAGGGTCAAGCGGGCTGTGACACGAGCGCCGCTACACGGCAGTGAGTGGTAGCGCGTCACTTTTTTCTCGGAGCTTGCCAACTTAGCCAATCCAGTAACATTGGTTACGACGGACCGGACTGCTAGTTGGAAGAACTTCTGAACAATGTGCTCGTATTAGATTGATCCTTACCACGGTGTAAGATGTATATACAGGTGGCACCTAATCAGCTCCAAATCACGTGGCCGCTTGTTCCGGTTACGCATTTTTTACTAATAATTTCTGCGACTGCCATTGCGTGGAGAAAAAGCTAACTCGTGTTTCATACGCGAAGAATGTTGAGGAAACAATTCTAAGCGGTAATTACTGAAAATACAAAAATTGTTGCATCGCCCCTCGAAAACCAGCTCGCCTATACTTCGGCTTTATTTTATATAAAATCCTGCACACACACCGATCGCCGGCGAGCATACCTTTGGGCCGACGCCACTGTTGACAACCTTGGAAACCTTGGTAGTCTTTATGAGGACGAAGAAAGGCGCCAGGGGCATTACGAACAGCCTCAGAAACTCCTGCTGCACCTGAGAGCCGCACAGGGAGCTCAGCAGGTCCTTGGTCAGCCGGATAACCTTGCCCGTGGCACTCATGAGCGGCTGCTTCACCTGAAAACAAGCAAACCAAGGGGAAATCAAATGTCCCTGTGGCTGGCTTATAGGAGTGTATAATGCAAATTCCTGTGCTTGTAATGCACATACCTGTATACACAATAGCGCAAAAAAGGGTGCACATATTTTTTTATTTTTTTGTTCTTTTTTGTTTTTAGAGCTGCCTATCTCACAAACCCCTCCTATACTTCGTTCCAGCTTCCGTCCAAGCGCAGCCAAAGGTTGAGGGACGGTTCACAACTTTGAGAAGAGCATTCCTACGCGCCACAAAGTAGTCTGCAAAAGTAATTTTTCTTTAAATAACTGTTTTGTGCGTAAACATTGCACAATATTCCAGACGTGTACTGCTAAGAATGATTTGCAACTAAAGGAATTAAATACCTGAAGTTTGTTTTTATAATTATATGTAAATGCATGTGGTTTGGTGAAAACACGTACATCTGCTGGCAACACGGCTGTAGCGCTCGGTTTTTCTGCTGCTTTTTCACACTGAGTCGCTTCAAAACGTCCTTTCGCAAAGGCACGTTTGGGCGTCAGGCGCGAGAGGTCGTGATAGAATATCTACTTTCAAATTCGGCAGGAGACTCCGGCTGCGTCATACCGCGAATGCGTTGTAAACAAGAAAAGCGTCCGACCCACTACAATTCACTGATATGCGGCGAAATCAGGGCACTCCTTTACCTGCCGATCACATTCAACGCCGAGAAGCTGGTGGAAAGGACTGCGCCTCAAGCCCTGGTATATCCAGACAATAGAATGAAACACCAACGGCCGCGTCATCGGGCACCTTGCAATGTGTACTTACATTTCGAAACTATATGCCGAAAAGGTGGAAAGCTCGGACACAGACGACAGCGGCCAGCCTACGTACTGACATCCTTTGTGACTAAATTTCAGAACGTGAAAAGGCACTTTTTAAACCTGTAGCAGACGATACCGTTGATACACCCATAGCAGACGAAATACTCGGCAAGCGCTGGCGGCGCGGACGACCAGCGGCGCAGCGGAGTGGTACAAAAGTGCAGGCCAGATCGCGTGACCTATTGTCGGCGTGTGATTGGCTCCGGCCACACGTAGCTTTGGCTGCGCTCGGACAGAAGCTGAAACGAAGTATAAACAGCTCTTCTTGTTTACAACCTATAGACACAGTTCAACTGCATTCTTTTTTTTTTCGTCCCCCGCCAGGTAGTTCTTTCGAACAGGTATAATACGAACCCAAAGTAAGGCATCCGCAAGTTTAATGATAATATGCAATGCTGGAGATGTTCTTTTTGTATATTCTTAAATTTAATCCACCAACGTTTTATAGATAATTGCAAATTTAGTTTATTTTTGGTAAAATTAGGTGCTTTGTTTTATTATCTTCAACGAGTTCTCTAGTATAAAATAAATACAGTAACATGCTGAAAAATAACTACAGTTGTACTTTGGTCTATTGATCTAAATGTCATATGCCGAATAGCGGAGTCTTCTCTCTTGTGTTGTCCTGTCAGAGTCCTCTCTCCTATGTTGTCTTTTTCACTGTTGTTTTTCTTCTTTCACAGCTGTGTTGTGTGGCTGGCAGTGCTCACGGCCCAGGTCTTTGGCAGCCGGCCACCTACCGTTATCTACTCATGCAAGAGTTGCCCTCGTGTATAACCTGCACCACCCACTTTGGAATGCAAATAGTAAAAAAAAAATTATAAAGGTGCCTAAAACGAAAGTTTTGCCTGTCACCGACGGCCTAGTCCCGCAAAGTGCTACTAGATAGCGCTAGCTATTTTTCGCCAATTGCCGCACATTATCATCATTATCGATGCGCAACGCAACAATTCCACTGCTTTCGTCTTCTGTTTTTCACGGCAACTTGCCAGCATCGTTTTGTCCTCGTTTACCTGGCGCATGGTTTGAAAGCACGTGCACTGCTTGTAGAGTCTGTTGTGTCGTGTGCGCCGCGTTGTGTAGCAGGCTGCGTGTTCTCAGACGCAAACAAGCGGAAGCAATGGGCAAGCACAGATGGTCCTACATTGCGGGCTCCAAACTTCAAGTTGAAAAATATACCGTATTTGCACGAATATAACACGACTACGAATATAACGCGAGGGCAGGTTTTGATGCCCTCAAAAAGAAAAAAAAATTACTACTATTATAACGCGAACCAAGGCCGCGTCAATTTCTCGCACTCGGGGGCATAGTAGATGTGAAAAGTTAATGTAAATAGAAGAAATATCAGTTTATGTTTTGACTGCGCTCATCCTCCCTGCTCAGGTCATTCCATTCACAATCCACTTGGCGACTACGCGGATAAGCAGCAGCACGGCACCTGCTTGTCTGGTAGTTCCTTTTTCTTCCGTGCGAGCCCCTCGGCAGCCAAACAAGGCATGAAGCAGAAGCACCAACACACAAACACCAGATCACTCTGGAGCAGAAACTAAACAATGCGCAGGCAGAAAAAAGAGTGCTGAATCCGATACAGGATCACACTTCTTGTTCTGGTTCCTCTGCATAAACAAATGCCTCGTGTTGCACGATTGCGTCTTGGCCAGTTTTAGCTTGGCTTGTGTTGACTTTACTTGGCCCGGCTTGGCTTGGCTCGAATTGGCCATTGCCCGCATTCCCGCATGGCGGGCGCGCGCGCTGAGTTTCTGCGGCGTGCACGCGTTGTACAAACACAAAAGCAATAAAAATGCTTTTTTATGTTTTCTATTCGCCCCTTCACGTGGCCCAATAGCTAATAAATTACCTTCCACACACCCACTTCTTTTCCCACCGAATATTTTGCATTGAGCCGGAGGGATGGCTTTCTCCTCAGGCTTTCTCCAGACTCGCGCGCCTCGTGGCTGAACTCGATTCCGAATATAATGCGAGGTGCGTTTTGGAGCACGTAATTTCGAAAAAAACATGAGTTATATTTGTGCAAATACGGTACTAAATAGTAGGGGTGTGCGAATACTCGAATATACAAATTCAAATCGAATAAAAAGTTGCCGAATAATTCGATTCGCGAATCAAATTCCTAGTATTCGGTTACTCGAATATTCAATATATTCGGCCAAAGACGCGCGGTGGGCGCGGAGCAAACAAAAAAGCAGTTTTTTCTCCCGATGTAAGCGCCGTGATGTTAGACAGATCATGCGAGAAACACCTCTTGGTCCTACCATTCCACAAAACTCTAACGCACAGGTTAGAAAACAGAAAAGTAACGAACGCCACAAACTTTGTAGCACGAAGATTTACTCACGATCATGACACAATCTACCCTTGAATCACAACTGAAACATCCCGTTGCCGCTTCCAGAGAGGAATTGTTGGGAAGTCGGAATTCCGCGCCAAGCCTAATTCTTTTCACGAGTAAAACTCCTCGTTTCAAATTGAAGCGCCGATGTAAAACACACTTGCCGCACTCGCAAAAAATCGTCTACTGCACCACTGCACAATCACAGAAAGAAAACCAACGTTACCACGCCAGCGAAACCAACCGAGTTTTCGGCGTCATTCTTTTGGAACCGCAAATTCTGATTTCGAATCAGAACGACAACTTGGTTGGTTTCGCCGACGTGGTAACATTGGTTTTCTTTCTGTGATCGTGCAGTGGTACAGTAGCCGATTTCTGCAAGTGCGGCAAGTGTGTTTTACATCGGCACTTCAATTTGAAAAGAGGGGCTTAACTCGTGAAAAGAATTAGGCTTGGCGCGGAAGAAACGGAACGGAAAAATAGTGTGCCTAGATTAGAGAGGGTTTCCAACAGCTCGATAGCCGCGTTTGAATGACGAACTGCGAGAAGGTGCCGAAAAGGCGAAAGCGTCGGTCGGGTTCGGGCAGGCAGGGCAGGCATCGTCGCTCTTGTTTGTTCGCTTTCTTTCCAAGCGACAACGCAACACATGCACATTCACGATCAATCTGCGATGGAGCCGTCTTTGTGGTTTCAGTTTCGGTTGCTCCCTCTTTTAAATCGAGGCTCTCTAAAACAGGATAGATAAACGGAAAAATGGATGCGTAGCGGCAGCTGGACGGTGCCTTGTGCCACCTAACCACATTTTTTTTTTTCTTACTTTAGATTATATTGTTTAAGCCAGTTTATGTCGTTGCTGTTTACTCAGATTTAACACCTGTCTATTTATTTATGTGAAATCAAATCCCAGGTGCCATTTTTTTTCCTTAAAATGGAGACCAACAATCGCAAAACGCCCCTTTTCTGAGATATACAAATACTTAAAAAAAAAAAAAGTTGCGGTGTTAGGTTGTGTTTTTAAAAAGAAAAAAAGGCATGCGTGGCTGTAACTTTTTTTTTTTTTGTGACGTTTAGGGTAGATAGATTATGTTTGCACCATAAAATTGGATCTTTAGTGCCCAATGTTCAACAGCAACTGCTTTTTTTTTTTTTTTTTCACCGGAACTTTTTTACATTTTGATTTTTGTTTTGTACAAGACGTATATTCTGCACCAGGCGCGTACTCTGCACATATAATAATCGCAATCGCAGCACACTTTGAAAAATTCCTACAAATAAAATCACTATTCGATATTCAATTCGATATTTGAGTTTTTTTTCTTGATTCGATTCGGTATTCGATTCAAAAGCTACTATTCGGTATTCGCACACCCCTACTAAATAGACAAATAAATGACATTTTTTTTTAGCTTTACTTGTGTATTACTTGCATGCGAGCGGATGAAAAAAAATTAAAAAGTGTGGCTTATACGCGAGTATATACGGTAAATCCTCTTTCCTCGACTCCGGTATGTTTCACTTTCTTTTCGAAGCTAAATCAGAGTTAGCTTGGGTAACATTGCAATTCTGCGTTAGAAGATGAAAGCAGAGGCACCTCTCACCTTTGGATGCAGAACAGTCTCTGTGATGTGCTTGGAGTGCTCGGCATGGCAAGCTTCGAGGACCCAGCCCACCAGCCTGCAGAACCAGTGCAGGTTCCCCATAGGCAGCTGGCCACTGGGGCGCTGGCCCCAATTGGAAAGGCCAGGACTGCCACCTCCTGCAGCAGCACGAAATGCGCAAAATGGCTGACTCACGCACTTGCCACTGGTTACGACCAAGTACACTAAAACCTCTTGTGCTCTCTTACGATGAGAAACCACACTGGCGCCATTTATTGAGTAGACTTAGAACACCTCCAATCAACGTACAGTAATCCTCTGTAAGCGTAATTCAATATAACCCTAATTTGATAAAAGCGACAGAGGCAAAAATACTGAGCCAGCAGCCTTGAAGGTGGACGGGAACACTGCAGCACACTTTGACTGTATACTTAATCAAACAAACCTCGGTTATGAACAACAAGCGGAAACTTTAGAGTAAAAAATTATTACCGTAAAATTCTGAGCAAGTGCCCCCCACCCAAACAAGAGCCCCCCAACTTCACTGCTAATTTCACATTTCCGTGCCGTTCCAGGAAAGCGCTCCTCTCCCCGCTATGCACCCGAATCATGCACCACGTGCTGACCGCGCCCAGGCAACACTGGCCTGCGAAGTTCAGTCCAAGAATCCAATCCAATCCAATCCTACTTTGCAGCCCGATCAGCCCGGTCGCTACGCGCCATTGTCGCTTTGTTTTGGAGGTGTCAGGTCGGCTATGCATTCTTACACAGTGGAAAAAAAAATCGAGGTCATCCATTGGCATTGTGAAAACGGGAAAAACGTACACCAGACGTCTCGACGTATCAAGATCGACCGGATACGGGGATGGGACAATAGTTTTGACAATTTGCTACAGCCAAACTACGGGAAAGCCAAACTTTGACGAAAGCTAAGTAACGGCGCACCGGTGTTCAGTGAATACGTGGAAGATGCACTCTTTGAATACCTGGAGAGCGAAATAAGTGCAGAATGAGCCATAAAAACCAACATTTTTCTGAGAGGCTGTCAAAATAGCCATCGGCATGCAGTTGAGAAACATTGCGGAATGCTGCGAACTTTTAAGGGCGAAGCTCCTTAGGGTCTCGTCTTGTCCGTCCGGCGTCCGTGCTCACATCGATTGCCATCCCATCTGTCTTCTTAAAAAAAGAAAAAAAATGTTTGCACAGTCGACAGGATTCGAACCTGTGCGAGGAGACCCTAATGAATTTCTAGTCCATCGCCTTAACCACTCGGCCACGACTGCGGGGGCTCTGAGATGTGGTAGTAACTCAAGAGCTGGGGATGTCATGGATGAAACGTTGCATGTAGCCGCTCAACGTCTATACAGGAGAAGGCGCTGCGGTCAAATGCGTATATATAATCGCGTTAAACTTTGCATGCATTGGCTAAACGTTTAGAGACAAGACGGCGCTGGATCAAATGCTCAAATGCGTATATAACCACGTTCCATACCACACATTCTCTTTCTGACATTGACGAAAACGAAATCAGCACCATCAGCACTACGTATGAACAAAATCAGTATCATAAGCACCACCAGAGCTTCGCCCCAATCAACATCATTCACCACGTGGAGATGCGGTCATTTTTTTTCTTGCATCAGACTCTGAGGAGTCTTTTGGTGGCAATGACACCGCATTGCAGTGACAAATCTTCGGTCTAATAAAGTCTATGTTCTCAGAGATAAATAAAATATTAAATCCGTGTGCACTGCGCTTTTTTTTTTTCTTTTCGTTTTCCCGCACAAGAAACTTTTGTCGTCGCCATCTTGATTTTTGGTGCCGTTCTGGGATAGCGCCCCCCCCCCCCCCCCCCCCCCCCCTTTGCAGGTAATTTTGACTTGCGTGCAGGGGGGCACTTGCTCGGAATTTTACGGTAAGTGGAGTTCCCGATAATTTTATCACGGCATCAGTGCTCCTCGAAAAGCTCCAGGCACCGCAAGAGCACTCTCACCACCGCTGCACTCCACTTTGCTTCGAAGCAGCCGTAGGATGTTTTGCGTCTCCGCAGTTGTCGGAGTTTTCCACGGTGCCTCTTCGACGTCGCTTTGTGTTTACCCTGGCCGCACGCAAGGTCTACGATCGCAGCATCCGTGGCAGAAACAACAATGGAAAGTCTGCATCGACAAGCGCGAACGAATCAAAGTGATCCTCGGTAGCTTCGCCAACACGTTTTCAGACACTCCTGTAGTGTGTTTGAAAACATGCTCCTCTGGGAAATCATGCACCGACTCGGCAAGCATGCACTTGAAAGAAAATCCAACGTGCGCAAAGCAGTTGCTGATCTTTACTCTTCAGGTCGTGGGCGCTTTCTTCTCAATCCTGTCCAATAAGCCTTGCTTGTTCAGCAAAATGGTTGACAGTACCGAACAGCCAGTGCCGGAACGTCGAATTCTTTGACGATTTCGAACTTGGAACGGCCACTTTTTTCAATCTCGCAGAACTAAGCAACTTCCTGTAAACACTCCCCCTCTCCCACACAATGCACCGCGCACGTGTGGGCCTTTTTCCTCCAAGCTCCATCGATCCCTTGGTCTGATTTTGCGGGCACCGTAAGTAGCATGTTAACATGAACGCCGCTCCCCGCCCGCGTCACCGCATCGGCGGATCTTGCAAGTGGGGAGCAGAGCAGTGCCTGCAGCGCCCCGGTGCCGCCTTCAGCTCTTGCATTGCCACATCAACAACAAAAGCAGTGCTCTGCATGTTCTGCCATCCGTCGCTTGTTTGCTGTTTTCCCAGTTTGCCATTTGCCTCAATGAAGAAGGGAAAGGGAAAGCAAGGGTCTCCGCACGCCTCCGCATAGATTTGCATGTTTTCGGCACCGGGGCCTTCTTAATAAGAGTGATCAGCCGCCTATACACCTAGAATATTCTGGTTCTAAATGCGTGCATTTCGGTCAGGACCACGTTGAGCTTCAATAAAAGCGATAATTCGAAAAAAGCGATTTCATCATAACTAGGAAGACTGTATGTGTTCTCAGTTTTTACGAGTCATTCTCTACCGTTGCCTCGAAATACCTCTGGCCATGCTAAAAGCAACCGTTTTTCATAGATGCCGCATAGATTTTATCTTGCACATAGGATGAGAGGTTGCAGGATAGTTATATACGAAAATCAGGAGCGTTCCAGAATACTCTGGTCTACTCATGAAACAAATGTGTAAACCAGCTATATAGCTGACGTCACTCAGCTCACACACGCACAAAAACAAAGTGTGAAACCTGCCTAGATTATGACGGCGATAAAATAGGCCCATGTTCGCTCTGGTGTGAACACAACTAGAACTTGTTTGTGTAGACCCGCTGCATTGTTCTTGGCAGGTGCAGTTCATCCAGTTTAGCAGAGCTAACCCGTACTAGCGTGAGAGCACCAGCCAAGCGGTTAATAAAAAAAACTCATCTGTAAGTTGATAAAGTTGCCCCTTTGCTGTACTAGCCTGGCAAGATCACGCACAGCAGAATCTGGACGTCAAATGCGTTCCAAATTAACACCCACGGTGAGACTGTCCACAACCACCCACTGACGACGTTCTCTCTCAAGGGCGCATTTACGCAGTCGAGCAGCCACCACTTGCTCCGGCGTATGCTTCAGTTGCCCCATTATTGCACATAAAGGCTTAAAGCGCCGAGGGAATGGGAGACTAAAGGCGAGAAAAAGGAGGTGGCGAGGAGCGAGATCACATGACCTCCAGCGCAATTGCAACTGGCTAAACACGCCATTTTTCAGCCACGACTATTATTGGCAAAAAAGTGAGCGTATCACCACTGTACTCGCCCTTACCCGGCGCCAAAGCCATCTGCAATGAACGTGCACATGCTCTGTTCGATTTCGCCAACCGAAAAGTCACTCAGTACAACAAGCGCAGAAAAGCTGACGCTGTAAAAGCAAACACCCACCGATATTCTTGCCGATGGACGATGGCAGGTGCTCTCCGACGATCAAGAGGATGTTGCAAAAGGTGTCCAGATAGTTCAAGTCCTGCAGAAAATAGAGCAACATTTATTTCCATCAGAAAACCGAAATACCTCAGAAAAAACGAGTTGCGTCCTACTACAGCGCATGGACTTCCACACCTCCCTCTAAGACAGGGGTTGGCAACCTTTTGTTGTAGCGGGCCAAATTGCTGCAAAAGGAGACAATTCGGGCTTGACGAAAAAACGGAAATGGGGCGGGCGGAATCGGCTTATAAAAATAGAAAGATAACAAAAACACCATATACTCAAAGTGATATACAAAGTTGTCCTGCTGATCCAGGCACATGTAATGTAAGATTGCTGAGACCCCTCCCAGTACTATAAGATTTTTGGTGTTCTGCTCGAAATTACTTGTCAAGGTGCAAACATTTACATTAAAACTCTTAACTGAGAGTTGCAAAACATTTTTGAGGTGCTCATCTGTCATTCATAAGACCCACGTTTGACTTCGTGATCCCCCTCTTGAAAAAGTTTGTTCCCAGATATATATGTACTGTAGCAAAACTTTGATTGAGGCTGCTGCGAGACATCCTAAATTTGAAAATTTTAATTCAGTAAGGTCACCGAAAAACTTGAAACAGTCTTTCGGTGCAAAAAAATGCATTCTTCAGCTTATTGTTTATTTGAAAATCAACCCATCAGCTAACTTTATCTGGAAAATCTCTTGATCTATACTCCGCGACAACTTTTCTTGGCAATGCAGTGGAAGGTACACGGCCGCGTCCCCTCTCCCATTTTGAGTGTGCTCGGGCTCTCCTCCTCTCCCTGGAAATGGGGGAGGAGGAGAGCCTGCGTACACTCAAAAGGGGAGAGGGGACGCGGGCCTGTACCTTCCACTGCATTGCCAAGAAAAGTTGTCGCGGAGTATAGTTCTGAGTTAATATGTCCAATTATTATACCGGGTTTGCAACCAAACATATCTCTAGTCCTGAAGTGTGCGCTTTGGTGGTGTGGTGTGGTGTGGTGTGGGGTGGGGGGGGGCATTTTTTATGACATGCCGGGGGGCAGCATGTTATTGTCTCACGGGCTGCCGGTTGTACAATCCTGCTCAAAAAGAAGGATACACATTTAATGGCAGTAATGCGATTGGTCAGAACCACTGGCTAGACTGCACTAGCTGCCACCCGATTAGAAGAGTTTGACCATATGAACTCATCCATCCAACCATTTTCTAACTGCTGGCAGAAGTCGAGGGAAGAATGAACTTTGTTTTATACTTTTTGTGTCGATTCTCTAGGTGAAAGTTGTGCGCACTCCTTTTGCGAAGCAGCAACTGGATTATAATTTTTGGCAGCACAGTGGCTTGCTATTCATGCTGAGGGCCGCACTTCCAATTGCTAACCTCCTTGAGGGCTGGAGTCAGGCGAGAGTACAGCAGCTGGCAAACTTCGTGACATGCATTGTTGGGTGTGGCGCTCTCCACCAGGGCTGCGGTGCAGGCGAAGCATTGGTACAGCTCGGCCCACTTCCTTAGTACCGCTTTCTTCGTCTGCAAGGACATAGGTGAAGACGTAAAAACAATATGAGCGGCAGCCACATCGACAGGAATCGTCGGATTGGAGCGTGCTGGTAAGGTACAGGGGTAAAGGGAAAGCGACATAAAGGACAAAGACAAGATAAGGCATCTTTTCATGAAGACGCGTCATCTTGGAAGAATACCTCCGGAACAACTGCTGGCAGGATTGGTCGGATCGACAGGGGACGGCACATGTAATGGCTCACGAAACTATAAGCTTGACGAATTGGAGCGTGCTGGACGTTACAACGGGTAAAAGGAAAGCTTCTCCTTTTATCCCTACAACAGGAATTCTTTCATATTTGTAGCCGACTAATCCTCCAAAAATCGCAGGCTGGCTGATCCTTTGTACAAGATGGGCAACCTGGCTAAGGGTACAAAATGGCTACAAGCGAAAACAGAGGGAGGCAGTGTTTGCGAAATACCATCTAGAATGAACACCATCCAAACAGTGATTGTGCATGTCATTCTTGCAATGAAGGGTCCCACCTCTAAGCCATGGGCTCTCAAGATCAAGGTCAATGGCAGTGTGTCCACAATATCAAGACAAGAGCCGTCCGTACCTGAGCAGATGCAAAGGGCAGGACGTGCGTCGCGGGAAAGCCCAATGCCTCGACCATTGTCGTAAAGTCCGGCTCCTGGTTGGTTCCCTGGTTCACTTCCTGACGATTCTGCACGCAGACGACCAGCGCAGACGCCAGGGCGAGCCAGAAAGGTCCGGCCATTGAAGTCGCAGCCAGAGACTGAGACGACACGGACAACACGGCCTCGGAAGAAGGCTCCGTAGAGGGTGGTGGTGCGGAACCGTCTGTAGAGGCGCACTTTTCCAGCTGAGTGATGGTCGCGTGGGCAAAGTGGAGCCACGACGGACCGTTGAGACCGAGGGAAAGCAGGGTCTTGAATAGGGACACGACCCTGCAAAGAAAGGAGATGTCAGCAAACAGACCGCACGCCATAATGTGACACCCAACTTGAAATTTAAAAAAAAGGGAGGTTTCAATTTTTTAGCACACAGAGGCGGTAAAAAAGTCTTGTACGTTGGGCTTTTAACTAGAGGTGTGCAGACATTCGTAACCTAAGTAATTTTGAAAACCTGGTTGCTATTCGACACAATTGGCAGCGCACCTCTACCGTTAGAAGTACCCAAGTTTTTCAAATATCTCCAAATTACAAACAATGATTTCAGAATTTGCCAATTTCCTCTGCCAAGCTGCAGTGCTTTGCACCACTGCTCTGGAGTCAAGCTTCACTGCTTTTCACTAGCGTTCTGGTGTGAAGCTTCACTGCTTCGTAACAATGTGCAGGTGTCAAGCTTCTCCACTTTGCACCAGTGTGCTGAGAGAAATGTCTGATGTCCAAGCAGCTTGGTTGTCTTAGACATTTTGCTCACTATTGTAGGTCAGACTTCTTTGGTTATAACTGTACTTCAACACCTAATTAAAAAAAAAAATGCTTAAAAGAAATCGAGCTATTATAAAAAAGTAAGGTAGTCACGCTTTGCTTGCTTATGACATGTGAAGCGTCGTAGTAACTCAACAATCGACCCATCATGCGCCCAGACTTAGTAACACTACAAGCAAAATAAAAATAATTTTGTATTGAAAAAAAAAAAAATGTAGAGGCAGATGGAAGAAGTAAGATTCCAGGCAGGCAAAAGTTCGGTATAATGGGTTATCCAATTCTACTTTAGAGGATAAAATATATAAAAATCAGAAATTAAGGCATCTTACTTTTCTTCAGAGTTCAAGGCCGTCACAACTGAAGGCTGAATCAGCAGTTTCAGAAAGGTCAGCACAGGTGTCCCCTGGAAATGGACACAGATCAACACACAGGGGTAGACTTCTTTTATATGTGTTGTATGACCCTAAAGTTTAAAGGAATACTTCAACGAAATTTGAAATCTACCCGTTGTGCTCAAGAATAGGCTGAATATGATCCACAATATCCGTAAATAATAATCGCATGTTTGTGTTTTTAGCCTGATGGCTGCATTTTTCGTTATAAACAGCCCACTCTGGCAAGCGCTCGGAGAGCAGCCAGTGGAGAGCACGTGACATCAGGCGCATTCGTAACGTAGGTTGTCTTGGGACGAACAAAGCTGCAGTGAGGCCGACGCTGACGGGATGCCCTAGCCGTTCCCGCTATCGAAGCGGCCAAAGCACGCCTGCGATCGGGCCACCGAAACTAAGCCCAAAGCAGCTTTTGTAAAAATTTTGAGTGATGGGTTAAAATCTCGTAGAGGGACTATACACCTTTCCAAAAAACGCTCGTAGGCCGCTGCCATGTTGCTGATGCGGCTGGTGCGACTCTCAGCACACCAGCTAGAAATTTTCTGCCACTCTCTGGGACTGTGAAGACACGCTCAGCGCGGTTCTCTACCTACATTTTTGCGGTTTTGCATTCGACGTTTTCTCGCCCCTCTTGAAATTTTCCACTTAATTTTTTTTTTATGCGTGCTTTGTACTTTTTTTGTTATCTTCCATTGTGAGGAATAAGGCTGGGAAGTGCTTGCCATTCAAGGGGCTGAAGGACGTCGAACGACCCTCGACGCGATTTTGCGAACATTGTTCTCCCCCTCCCAGAGATAATCCGCATAGAATCCTCAGTCATCTCCAAAAATAGTTGTCCGGGTTGGGGTGAGAAATGGGTCAGTCGCGTTTGTTTCTCTGCCTTGGTGCAGTTGTGAAAAAAGGACGCTCTCCCCAAAACATGCACCAAAACGAAGCCATCTTGGAATCTGTCCGATCGTCAAGATGTGACTGTCGTCGACTGCGACTGTGTTATTTGAGATCTTCCTCAAATAAATTCTTTTTGGATAACGCTGCATCGTGTGGTATGTACGATATATTGTTAGAATGTTAACACTTCCTCAATTGTATGTCCGTGCCCTGTCCATCGGTAAACACGTTAATTGTGAGCCTGAAAAATGCATGCCTTTCGGCCGTCTTCTGTTGTAATTTATTTTTGACAGCAAAGCGCTTTGCAGTTTCACATGCGGCGAATCCCGCGGCGCCATCAAAACTTATCGTAAGAAAAAAGCAAATAACTAGAACTATACATTCCAGTCGCATTCGTTCTGTTGCGCGCGTACCCAACAAAAATAGTTTACAGTTTTTTTTTTTTTTTTTTTTCAAGTGTGGCACAATGCTTTCTCAATGTCCTCGGGAACATACATGTACCACGAAACACAAAATATAGCGAGAAAAGATGAGAATTTAGCCGCCAGCAGCGTTTGAAGCTGCGCCTACGCAGGCTGCGCCTATTGAAATCACAGTCCACTCGGTTAGGGTTAGAAGGGACGCCGGTAAGAGTCTAGCCTCAAACTCCTGCCGTAACTATCCAGGTGTACTGGGCCCCAGTATGCGACGAGTGTGCATTGGGGGCCAGGCACCTGTAAACAATGCAGTGCTGTTCTCGTCTTGCCAGTGACAACAGTGATGTTATAGCGATGCAACAGGCAGCCGTCCTCAACCTAACAACTTCCCAGTTGGGGCGGTAACAGCCGTCACCAACGAAACCTTCCCTAAAATTACAGCAAACCAAATGCGAAAGACGCCAAAAATATGGAACAAGCTTCCAAAGGTGTTGTACGTATACCTAAACAATATTGTTGACCTCGAATATCACCAGGTCAACGTTTTGGAACCCGGCACTCGACGAGCCAATGTCTACTACGTACGTGAAGCACTCCGACTTTCCCGGAGTAGTAGCAGTGAGAGGTGAGTATTTTCTCCGGCATGAGGCTGACCTCTTGTATCGCTTTCTGCAAAAAGACAAGTACCAAAGAAAACAAGTCATTACAATGCTCACACTGCACATTAAATCTGCTTAGCCTCGTGCACAGAACGTGCGGCAGACAGAGACCCCCCCTCGGTTGCACGGTTTGCCTGTGGTACATTTTTGCGGCTAAACCACAGCGATCAAACACAATGTTCCGGTCCCGGCTGCACGATGACAACTCTAAGAGTGCAATCTCTCAAGGTTTCAAACGGCTCGACTTGTTTCAAAGTGCGAGTGAAGGGTAGGGGTCGGCAATTCTGTTCAGACGGGACAGCAGACAACGAGCATGGGAATTTATCGGACTTACAGCACAGGTCAGGGGAGAAGACAGTGCATATCCCGTCATGGCGTCGTCAATCAGTTTAAGGAGAGCCGCCACTGTCACTGTGCTGTCGTCGCCGTGTGCTTCGACGACTCTCTGAATCAGAAAGTGGAGCAGCAGATGACCAAGTCCTAGATAAAAAAAAAAAAAAAAATAGGAATAGACAAAAATATTACAGGAGGACACTTAAGATTGCTTACGCATAGGAAGGTGAAAGCATTATAGTCTTGCAGGAGAAATGTTTTCGAGTAATGCACATATTAAAGTTTAGACGACGCCTTAGAGATTGATGCCAAGTATGTCTGGAATGACTTCTAGGATGACGTCAAGGACGGTGTCTAAAACGACGCTGAGGACGACCTCTCAAGCGACCTCAAGGATGACCTTAAGGACGACGTCGAGAATGGCACCGAGAGGGCGACGTCTAGAACAACGTTGAGAATGACGCCTAGAGGACGACCTCAAAAACGATGCCTAGAGGACGACGTCTAGGACAACTTCTAGGACGACCTCAAGGACGTACGATTGAGCGGTGTGTGCTTGATGACATATTTTTATGGTCATCCTTCGGGCACAACGACGCCACTTTTTAGCGCAATGGGACAAGTAAGGCTTCACCTTAAAATTACGCAAGCTTGGTCATGCTGACAAAGACCAGGAAGCACGAAATGTGCCATGCACAAACCACATCCCCTGTGTGGTTTGTGCTAGCATTTTTTTTTTCTTCATTGAGATTCACAGACATTAGTTAGGGCGAGACCAAGTGAACAAGTGCACCGCACAGGCGCTACCTCATATGGCTCTTGTGCGATGTGTGACATCAATGGAGCAAACGGTCACATGGTATGAAATCACATCGCTCTCGCTGGCACGTTTTGCCGGGAGCACAAGGCTTCAAAAGTAGCTGTGCTATCCACCTCAGTGGCTCAGTATATGACTGCCATGGGCCTTTTTCAAGCTATAAATGTATAACCTTAACACCATGCAATGCCCCAGGTGTGTCGCTTGTTTGTGACAATTCATATTGAAAACTACTCATAAAACACATTCTGGGTTAAAAAAATGAGGTCCCGTGTCAATGTTATGTCGACTGCACGTTACGCAGAGTAACCCTAGCCAACGTCCACTTGGAGAGTAACGCCCTCATTTATAACCATAAAACTATGTAGAGAGATGATGTCATATGACACTGTGATGTCACGTGACTGTGGTGACACCAGTGACGTGCTTTCATGTGAAGTCAGTCAGATGACACTATGATGTCGCATGATGTCATGAAATGTCAAGACGTTATGTGGCATTACGACTTCCCATGATGTTGTGACATCTTGTGACAAAACAATGTCATGTGACAGCATCATGTCACATGACATCACGTGACTGTGGTGTCACACTGTCACGCGACGATAGCGATGACGGACGCCCTACACCATTACGACTCTGGGGCAGAGCCCGTAGCAGCAAACGCTGTATTAAAGGTGAAGTATGAAGCGATGAAAAATAAAGGAAAAACAATAAGCAGTCACCAATTTTCCTCCCTGCTTGGCCTCAAAACAAAGCGCACAAGAAACCCAAACCTTGATGGACCGTCACAGAATCCAACTTCCCCATCTTTCCTGCTCTGCCGAAGAAACTTGCGGGTGTTTCTTCAACGAAAGGCGGTGTGCTTACCTTCGACATCCCTTTGTTCCTCCTGCTGCAGGAAGAGAAAGGCGGCCTGACACGTCTTCTCGCAGGCTTCCATGTGCCGGCCCAGAACGCTCGTCGGGACGGGGGCTGCCAGAGGCGCTGCAGGCAATTGTGGACAGGATTGTCAGTACCCAGCAAATGCCATGTTTCAGCGGAAATCTAGGTATTTTTCTGTAGCCCACTTCACATCGAAGTGAGCCACGCAGAATATTTCAAGCAACCTGAGCTAATCAAGCGAAGGGCACCCCCGGAATAAAATATACAGAGGAGATTAAATGAAATGGCTTCTTAACGCAACTAGTATTCAGTATAGACCACTTACAACGTAACCGCTTATAGTGCAGGACCGGGTATAACGCGGTTTTTTGAAACCACCGGTTCGCCTCCCATAGAACTCCATGTAATTACATACCGCTTAAAATGCAGGCGCGCGAAGGGAAATACCGGTTATAGTGCGGTTTCTGGCACAGCCCGCCGACCGCGCCGACGACCGGAGCAGCGAGCACGCTTCTTTGTGCGACACTAGATAACGGCGCTGAGGGCGCGAGCCGCAAGCGGCACAAGCGTTGCACAAGCGGCACTCGCGGGGCAAGGAGGTTGCTCGAAGAAGTGAAGAGAGAGGCTTCAGTTGCCATAGCGACGGAGGGACGCACGCATGTGTCGTTCACGTACAGTATGTGCGTCCCTCGGCTGCGTTGGAAACAAACAACCACAACGACAGACCAATCGCAGGTCGAGGAGAAGTGTTCGCGCGCGTTGCATGCCGGTCGCGGGCCGGCTGCCTCTATCCGCAAACATGGCGTCGGTTGTGATCGTCGTCGTAGACGGCGTTCATCTCATCGTTCCGCGTAAAAGCGCTATCCTTGACTGTGAATTTTCGTTGTGTGTCGCTATGATAACCCAGCACGTACCAGAAGGGAAGGTCGACCTACTCGTGCACTTGTGCGGCGATGTCGTGGCAGCACTCTCAAGACTGCAGAAACGCCCGTGTCGTCGTGTTTGTTTACTTCGACTACAGTGGTGATTTCTAAGCTATTGTATCCTCGAACATCGCCCGGATTTCTCATTTCGCGCATTTCATGCGTGTGCTCAAGTTCAAGGCATTACTGGCGCGTACCGTATGAAGGATGCGAATTTTCACGCGTTTTCCTCTCCGGAGAAAAGTGATTAGGGTTAGCAATCCTGAACGCTCGCAACGTCCGTCCGCAACCCGCGACGCCGTTAAAAGGCTGCGCCAGGCAAAAGTCGCTCATTTCTTTCAAAATGTGTGACACACTTGAGACAGAACTGTACTAGTCTGGTGAAATAAAGACTTTCCTCAAACTAAGCTTTATTTTTCATCTAACATAAAATAAATTCTTTTACAAAGGTAAGTTGTCTCATGGCATGTATTTTGGCCTGAAAAATTGATGTTTTGGTTATAGCGCGGTACTGCTTATAGTGCGGATTTTCGTGACTCCCGCGACATACGTTATATGCGGTCTACACTGTATTGAGGTATTAAGGTGTCTACCAAATTACTTCTTTAAAAGTTTCAGGTTCTCCAGGTTTACCCACACCACTTCGATTTTGATTCGGTCTTGCATATATTAAAGGAGCATTTCTTCAGCAGCAACATCGTCAATCACACACTCATTTTTCGAAAATACAAGTGCAGAAAACTCAACATGAAAGCAAGCACGTATCGCACACATGAATGGCCTAAAAGTTTGAAGACATATGCAGGCACAACGAATCAATAGTTCACATCACCATCTATGTGACTGCAAGCCGTGTCTTCATGCTTTGCTCCGCATCACCGTGACTCTCTTATAGTTCATTTTCCCTGACTTCGCCAACTTTTTAAGAATTCCCTGACTTTTCCAAATGCTCTGAATTTCCCTGATAATTCTAGGCATTCTAAGTTGGTAGACATTCTGAGTTTGTAGGTCATACTATAGCACAAATTGTCAATACTGTCCACAAATACCTAATATTTCCCTAATTGGTCTGGAATCTTCTGGAAGCACTAGGCTGGCAGAAGGCATTTTGCTAAAACTTAGTAGGTGAAGAAACAAAGTCTCTCAGCAAAACATTTGCTGTGGCTTTGAGGTTTACAGGAACTTCTTTTTCTAATACTTCCTGCCAGCTTTGAGACTGTCACATTTTGTTTCAACATTTTCATACGATAATTCATGTATAGTTACTAGTGATGTGCCAAACTTTTGCATAAATCGAAAATTCGGCGTTGAATCTTAGAGTTCGGCAAAGCCGAATTTTTCTGAAGATTTGCCAAATACATTGTTGGCAAACCTAAAAGTTGATACATTGTTTTTTCGTGCAAAAAAATATTTTAGGTTTTAGTTTTTTTTAAATGCATATAGATGCCGTTATTACTAAATAATGTAATATTCTACAAGAAATGTATCAGTGTCATTTCTGTGTGTTAACTGGTCATTTTAAAGTGACCTTTCAGGAGTGGTGTGACAACGGGGTTGGGTAGTAGCGGCTGGAGTTAGCGCAGTCCCGATCAAAGTTTCGTTTTTTAGGCCTCATCAGCTATGTTGAGAAAAAAAAGGCGGTAATACTGTATTCTATACTTCCTCTGCAAGTCACCACTGCATGCGTGAAAATGAATGCAACAGCTGTTGAGCCTTCACCAGAAGAGATAACAATATTATTGTAAATTATGCATATTTCCTATTTGAGTCACTAACTTTGCATGAAAACTTTAGTCCCATATTTGCAACGTCTTATTTTTAACTTTTAAAATGCCGGTTTCTAATGTTTAAACACACCGGACATTTAGGAAAACGAGAAGCGTTAGGAATGTTGGATGTGTAACGTCGACCATGATAGTTTCATGTTTAGTTTTATATGGATAGATGAAAACTGCAAAATAACGCTCATTGAAAAGCAATATTATTTTGTTTTGGCACAAAGTACTTGTGAGCCAGAAACAGGATTGGAATATCGGTTGTATAACGTTGAGCATGATAGTTTTGTGTTTAGTTTTATGCGGACAGAGGAAAACTGTGAAATAACACTAATTGAAAAGCAATATTATTTTGTTGTAGCACAAACTACTTGTGAGCCAGACACAGGATTGCTGTTATGGCAAGCAGTGATTTAAAGTACTTGTCAGTCAATGTTACAACTACCTTGTTGCATCACTAGAAAAAATCAAATGAAAATGATGTTATCTCAAATGTACCACAACATTTGTCACTTGCACAGTGGACCGCGTCAATTCTGCGTCCATTTCTGGTCGATCTCCTGTTCTTGAGGCAGAAAATATTGAAGAGAATCACATTCAAAAAGGCTGACCAGCACACAATTACCATGTCGCCTACTCTGCACCTCGCCATAACTGCTGGCAGTATACACTGTACGATGATAACCGCACAACTGCACGACGTCCATTTGCAATCCATGGCTCCGTCATGTTGTCGCGAGTGCGCAGGCGTTTGCCAAATTTTTGTAGAATCTTTGCCGAACTTCAAAAGTTCTTCAAAAGTTCAGCATGTGCTGAACTTAGCCGAATCTGAACTTCGGCAGATTCAATACATACCTAATAGTTACAGTCACCCAGAGATTACTGCATCTGCCAAACAATTCTTGCACATCAATAAGAACTTAGGAAGGGCTTCTTCTTTTCTGGGCACTTCACTAAATGGTTCTTAATATCTTAGGTCTCACAGCAATACATTGAAGGTCCCTGGAACCTTTGCATAGAGAAAATTGGTTTATTTGAAAAACGAAAACTTTCAGCCTTTCCACTCTGGTGAAGAAGGAAGAGCAGAGGAGCTGTAGCTTCTGTTATCGGTGGTGGCTTTCCCGGCGAGCGATCTGCTCTTCTTTTGCAAGGGAATCTGAAGCGCTGTGCAGTGTAACTTTAGGTGATAGCGGCCTTGCGGCGATTGCAGAACTGTTCGTGCTGCTGCGCACATCACCGCTCGTTCCACTCCCGCTCTTCTTCCTCCGAAGAAAGGTTGCCGCCATCTAGGAGTGACAGCGGCAACCAGTTGCCTGGTTGCCGCCGTCACTCATAGATGGCGATAGCTGTCCAGAGTTCGGTGTCCTCATTTCTAATCCAGCGGACCACAATCCTGGGGACACTAGCCCTTAACAGCTCCGCTGCAAAAAATTAATTAAGCTTCACCCCTTCGTATAGCCCTGTAGCAATACCAAAGCCTATAGCTCTGCGGTAAGCTACAGTCCTTATGCTGGCGCAAAATATCGTCAAAGCTGCAGTTGTGATCTGTGCAAACTTATACTATGCATGCAGCAGTGAAGCAAGACAATAATAATATCACTGGCTTACGCAGCTGCAAGCCGGCAACGGCCGTCTCAAAGTCCGGTTCGGACTCCTCCTTGAGCTGAAGCAGACGGACAAGAACGAACAAGGCCTCCCGTTGAACGTCCGTCCTCTCGGAGGCTGCATAGCAAGAGATCAATAGGAATTTCATTAATTATCTTTTCTTCCTTTTTCTTTTTTCAGAAAAATATATAAAATTTTGAAGAGGCGCTTCAGACAAAAAAAGTGCACCTTTGTCAGGTGGCAGCCGAGAGCAGTCTTCGCCTAGAAACGACGTCACAACTTGGAGGAGAGGAAGGCAAACCTTCAGGGAAACGAAAAAAGAAAGTGTGAGATCTAGTTTAATCTGTTTTGTAAAGAGTATAGTCGTACACTGGGTTCCCAAGGAAAGCAGAGTGGTTATATCTGCATACCTCCCAAGTTCAAAAAATGGCGGGGGGAGGAAGGGAGGGAGGGAGGGAGGGAGGGGGGGGGGGGGGGCAATTTTTTAAAAAGAAATATTGACAAGAAATTTACATAAAGAGAACTTCATCACATTTATATTGCACTGCTCATGCTAGTGAGATACAGCTAGGCCTCACTATCATTGAAGCCATTTGTTACGACGGCAAAAACTCCTTGTTTAAATGCGGGGAAGGGGGGGGGGGGGGGGGTAGGTAATCTGCGTTTTCGGGGAGATCTTCTTGTCAGGGCCCGTTCACACTCTTGCGACTGCTTGCGACCTCTTAAACCTGGGTTCCTTAAAACTTCTTAAACCAGAGAACACACTGGCGCCATCTATTGGGAAGCAGTGTAAACTCGGCGGTCCGGCATATTTTTTTTTTTATTTCTCGCGCAATATCCTTTCTTTTTTGGCTCGAAAAGCTTTTGTCAATGTTATAAACGAGCCTTTCTATGGGTATTACGCACATTTGACCTCAGAAATCCCGCAAAACCTTCGCTTTTGTGAAATACAGTTCTAGGGTCACCGCATAGATGGCGCCACAATGTCAGTGTGTTCCCTCATTCTAGAAACATTTAAGAAGTTGTAAGAGATCTCGTCTCTCTCAGTCGTACTCGGTCGCAAGAGTGTGAACGGGCCTTCATTCGTACAACCATACAAGTTGGACAAAATTCGGGAGTCTCCCAGGTAAGACGGCAGACTTGGCAGGTATGCATCTGCGAGCTTCCATCGAACGCAAGTTTCCTTTGTTGACTTCAGCCCTAAAAAACTTTCCTCACTCGTTTTAAGCACAAATTAAGTACAATTGAGCTGCACATTGATGCCTTACTATAAGGCAAATGCTGCAGTCATTATTTCTAGAACTACATGCATCATTGTACCATCTCTATAATACACCAAAAAAGCAGCAAAAAAAAAAGGAAAGACAAACATGATTTCAGTTTTAGGTTTGTTACGAAGTTAGTTCACCAGTTTGCACAAGTTTTTAGCCTCATATCATTGTACCAAATTACCACTATTTCACCAGCAGCTCCCGACACCTTCTAGGTTTTGGTCAATTCATCTAGAGTCAGTAAACAACCAGCGAACAGGGGACAATGAAACAGCCCCATTAAAAAGATGGACCAACCTGGTCAAAAACCTGCGACAAATTCTGTTCGAGGCGCATTGCCAGGTGCCACATGGTGCGAAGCAGCTCGAGCCGGGCTTGGGCATTGGACGAAGCGGACCGCTTCAGCGGAGTCATCACCAACTTCAGCATCTTGGCCATCTTGAGATGATCTGCACATGCACACGCATACACACATCTCAGTAAAAAAAAAAAAGACTCTCTTGGATAGACGTTGTTGCAGAACTCGGCCATTTTAAATGACTGGACATTCTGCATGCAATCGGCGACTGCTCTTGGGCGGGGACTTTCCTCGGTGCGCACACAGTGACAGCAAAACACGCTACTGAATTATGAAAGCTCTCGGCTGTGGGCTTTGTGTACCACCAGAGCGGCACGGCAGCAACAGTGTTGCGCAAAACGAAAACGCCGGGCCAAACAGCGAAGCAAGTTGCCTTTACACCACAACCGACCGCTACTTAGAGCGAAAGTTCAAAGACAATTCGTTCGGAGCGGCGTATAATCAGTGCAACAGACTGTGGTTTCAAGCGGACGTGAGCAAATGGCTCCGCATTTAGAGCGCCTCCAATGAGACAGTCAGTTTTTTTTTTGTTTTTTTTTATAGCAATAGTTTTAGTTATAGCAATTTTATAGCAACAAGCGACACTTTGCAGATTTTAATGTCGTTGGTTGTCGTCGCCGCTATGAAAAAACCCTTTTTCTCTCCCCTTTGGGCACGAGGCCGGAAAAGTCGGGTCTTTCCGTCGGCCGCACTGCGTGGAGAGAAAATAGACGAGCCCCGGCGTTTCACCAGTAAAGGCGCAATGAAAGGAGTCTGCCTGTCATCTGCTTCAAACACTTGTTTTCAAAGATTACTGGCGTCATGCGAAATCCCACTTTGGCAGTATCCAGTTCCTACGTGTAATGGTGGATGGTTTTAGAAACCTCCACCGCACTTGCCCTTTTACTTCATGGATCACCGAGCACTTGTGGCGGTCGTCAGTGCCATCCACGATGGCAATGAGAATTATTTCAGAGTGCCAAAGAGAAACCCACCTGGCTTGAGTGCCAAGGTGTCGATGAGGACTCGCCAGGCTTCCAGGGCTTGGCACCGAAGTTCGGGCTTGGCTGAACCCAGGGGCTTCTCGATCACCTCGAGGAGCGCATTGACCGATGGCACGTTTTTCTGTAGGCACTGAAACAAGTGAGAGACAAATACTTGTCATTCAGATTTGTAGATGGCACCATTGCCAGCAGCGCCGGCTGTAGTTTATATTATCACGAATGACAAATACATATCCGCCAAGTTCGGAAAAACCACATCTGGAAGATTTTCTAGGCAGGGTGTTTAAAAACTATTGAAAATGAATTTACATTAAGATCACGTCATAACATTTGCATTGCACTACTCATGCTAGCGAGATACAACTGGGCCTCGCTGCCTTAAATGTGGAAAAGGTAGGCGGGGGGGGGGGGGGAGTATTTTGAACTTTCCAAGAGATTTTTTTTTGTCAAGCGTACAACTGTATAAAATTGTCGAATTTCGAGTTTCCCGGGCAATATGGGAAACTTGGCAGGTATGCAAATGATGAGGCGGCTAATAACTGGAGAAACTAAACGTTTAATGGGGCAAACTTTTGCCCAAAACTTTTGTTTAGGGCAAAAGTGCACCAGCGTCGCAAGCATCGATGTCGGCTAAACTGCAGAATCGAATACTGGGTCGAGACTGGCCTCGGACCCCCACACGAAGAACCTTTTGTACCCATACGGGTTCCTGGAATATCCGGCGTAGAACGGTCAGAGCGTAGAACATTCATACCTTGTCATACAACAAACTTCTGAACTCGCAAGAACGCTAAATTGAAAGAATAAATAAAAGAAGCGGTTGACCCCAGGAATCAAACCTGGGGCCGCCGCGCGAAAGCGAAGCACAGTAATTATTCGGCCATGCATGCACTCGCTCGGCGATGCAAGTGGCAATATGTGCTTTGACAAAAAATTTTACTTGCCTCTCCTAACCACTGGATGAGCATGGTCCACACTTTCAGTGCCTGACTGCCTTTGCCTCCTTCCACCCATTTGCATAGCTGCGGAACAACAAACTGTAAAAAGAGAAAAAATAATTATATATGTAGCACCGCGGCATTTTTATATCGCATTTCTAAACTTTAGCAATTTTCAATATGTTGCCCTAATGTTTCAGAAAACTTAGTTTTTTAACACGCCACAGACAAAGCTCTAGAGTTATAAGCAACAAGATAAGTGTGTTGGTCATCCCTGCAATTGTTTTCCATTCTGCATTTGACTGAACTGTAAGTTTTTTTTTAAATTTTATTTTATTCTGAGGTTAAACTTTTCGTTCAATGATGGAATAGACTGGTTAAACTATACCACCAATCTTTCAATACGAGCGGAGAAACAGTATAGACTGAACCCCCCAATTAGGCAAAAACAAGGCACCTATGCACCCTCTTCAATTCATAAAGTATACACTCCGTGCGACGCGACTGGCGCGCCGCCGCGCGGCCGGTAGCGAAGGTAGGCAGTGAGAACCCCGGAGAAAACGAAACCGAAACCACGCCGCGTACGTTGGTACGCATTGAAGTCTGAGTGTTGCGGTTGCGCTGGGTCCACAGCATGAAGTGCTGCCTGTGCTGCGTCATTAAGTGCTTCAATAGTTATGCGTCGTATCTCGTGGAGACAAAGTTTCACAGTTTTTCACCTCGCCGATGTTTTCTGGGACAGCGACAACGATGGAGCCGTGCCGTAAGACGCGAGAAATCTGGTCTCCCGATCATGTCTGCCACTGTGTCATCACGGCTGACATATTCTACACTGCCGCTTTGCGCTCTGCGTTTGTTTTCGTACCAGTAAAGCCTACATTTATCAGCGCCGATGGGACGAACTGAAATGCCATCCCACACTCGCGGTTATGAAATGCCAATTTCGTTGGAGGAATGCCCTCCAAAGAAGTTTCGTCCCCATCGTACATGTCATTGATATTTCCGGACAAGTATGGCGCGCAATCTGTACTTTACGAAGAAAGATTCGAACGGTAAAAAAAGTGACAAATATAAATCTAAAGAAAACACCAATGAAACTCGGAATCACTGGAGAATCGACGTTTGAGTATGGAAGTTTATGTGGTGTGCTTTCTTTCTGGATCAGCCTCCTTTTGGATGTGAAAACGCTGACACCCTGAGTTCTGTAGACAACATTTTTTTGTCTCGGCTTTAGAGCCACCTATCGCAAAGTGGTTCGAACTGGAAGTACCGTCCACTGGTCCCTTCCTACCTGTAAAGTGTGCACCTCCCACGATGAGTGGTATTATCTTGACAGCCTTTGACGGTCAAAACTGGTTCCCCATTTACTTACGCCGCCCAAACTAAATTTCCACCTGGTTTCGCTATGCCAACTCTTTTTGTTATAATAAGTGTTGTGCCAAGTGACGGTCATGTCAAAGTACCTGTGCGCCGAAAATCAGCACCTCGCACAACAGGTTATTACACAACAGCTGACCGCAAAAGCCTTGGCGGCCAAACCGTGTGTTGGCCGACAGCTTTGTTTTCTCGGCTTTGGAACCACCTTTCGTAAAGTTGTTTCAACTGGAAGTACAGTCCACCAGTCCCTTCCTACCTGTAAAGTCTCCACTTCCCACAATCAGTGGTATTCTCTTGACAGCCTTTTCATGGTCAAAACCGCTTCCCATTGAGTTACGCCGCCCAAACCAAATTTTCACCTGGTTTCCCTACGCCACCTTTTTCTTTTTGTATAATAAGTGCTGTGTCATGTTACTGTCAAGTCCAAGCACCTGTGTGCCCAAATGTGCACTTTGCACAGCCCGCTATAACACAACATTTTGGGTCTAATATTGGATATCCCGTACAGCTTTATTTCTTTATTCGTTAGAAACACAACTTTCAAACCTGCTGTTTTAAAGAAACTTGGCACTCTTCGTGCACAAACTTAGTGAACATCTCACTCGCCTCCAAATATCATCGTTCCAGCAGTCCTAGGTTTACAGCGACGAGCGAAATAAATTTCCCACTCAGAGCAATTATGGTGGCGGCCGTCTTGTTTTTCAAAAAATTGCTCCAACTCCTTTTTCGGCCGCAACTAGAGAAATTACCACTAATAACGACTCAAACTCAATATATAAGAAGTGGAGAACAGCTAAATGCCCTTCTGCCCCAGCACTCATGCAACGTCACCCTCAACTTATCGGCTCAAAAAGCAAAAGTTTCGTCCGCGCGCGCTTCCGCCGCCACAGTTTGGCATGCGAAAAGGCGCCGCAGGCTGCTGAACGCGCCTCACAGTCGAACGCCAGTTCCTCCGCTAGCGGCGCTGCGCGCGTTTTTCAAAGCGCCCCCTATAGTTCCCGCACGGAGTGTATAAGTGCAAGAAGAAAACCAAAAATATTTTGCAAAAAATTTTATTTTTTGTTTTATGGTTTGTGTTATTTTTACATCTTGAAATCTGATGTATACAAATAATTAGTGCCGGTTATGATCGCAAAATTTAGTCCAATATACATTGGAAGACCTCCAGGCGACCCAATACAACACGAATTTGAGCTATTTTTTTCCTGCGTGGTTCTTCAAGTTCTGACGTTGCCCACCATCACATTTAGGTTGACAAGGAGGCCTAGCCGTCTCCACTTCATTGCAGTCTTCTATCGCTTATATTTCTCACGAAAATTTATTAACAAAGTTTTATTTTCCGCACCGCGAAGGAGTATTGTGACACACCTATGGTAAAATTCAAACATGTTTTTCTCTTTATGTAATTTTAGGAAATCTTCACAGATTGTGCACAACAATTTATGTTCTTAATATTGCCCTATCACAACCAAATTTGGCATGCACATACTTCAGATAATGTAGAAGGCAACAATCTAGGTTGGTTGGAATGTATATATTTTATATTAATGAAAAATTGAAGAAATATTTGTTAGCCCCTTGAAATGAAATTTTTGCTTGTTTTAATTATTTTAAAATGAAAGAAGCGTCACACATTATTTTGTTGATCATTGCACTCAGTAGTTTAAATGGAGCAAATTAGTTTATTTCACTAGGCTTTTCAAAGGGTGCTACCATGCCTCACATATGCACAAGAACATGGTTTTATTTTTGCATGTACATTGCATCAAGAACCTTAAAATGAAAAAAAAAAAAAAAAAAGCTACATCAAGTCTAACACTAGGTAGATGTACACGGAGAAGATTAAGAACCATAAACTGCGAAAATTTAATTCCAACATCGTACCCCTGGCGCTCAATTTCGATACCCCTGGCGCATGTCCCCTCAAAGAGCAACACCACTCAATTATGAAAACCTCAGGATAATGAGTGATTTCAAATTAAAAAGCACTACTAAAAGGGACTACACCATTTGTTTCGCAAAAAATGGCACATATATATATTGTTAAATTTTACTTTAAACATGAGCAGAAATCGAAACTGAAACTTCGGCTCCGTCCAGCAACATTAGCCTCAGGCCGCCAACAACATGGCTATCAATTGGTATGAGATGTCATGTGATCCTCAACGCAACGACAGGCGAGATTGGGGCGGGTGTGCCAGGCGCAAGTGTCGTCTGGACCGCACTCTTCACTGCATTTTGGTGTCTACGACATTCGACAACAGCTGCACAACTGCCACATCAGTCTGCGCACATAGTGTGAACGAAACTCCAAAAGACAGTAATCACAAACGGTGAGATGACGATGGCGGTTGCGACGCGGGAAACGGTGTTAACGGCGGGACGGTCGAACGGCTCCCAAGAGGGGAGCTGTGCAAACGCGTTACACCAATCACGTGGACACCATTCAGGGCCGAGAGAAAACGTTGGTGACGTTGCCTGTCACGCTTGCCCAGAAAAGTAAAAACAAGCAACAAGGGGCAATGGTGATGAAGTTTAGCTCAATGTTTGCTATGCCAACGCTGTAGCCTTGACTGCGCAGTTGGCTGCGCCTCAATTGGCCCGCTAAATTCAGCCGATTTCGGTAACTTGGCACGTTGCAAAGTTTGCAGATGGTTTAATAAATACTTAGACTGAACTAGGTCGTAATATTTGACGTGCGGTTTTCCTGGGTGATACTGAAGAGGACTGCACTGCAGCATTTTCAAAAACAAAAAAGAAGCAGTGATTTTACCTATGTTACTGAAAATGAAAAGGTGATTCTACCGCTGCTACTGGTATAAACGTGCCGTAGTAGCAATATGTGCCATTAGACAGCACTCATATTACAGAAATATTTTTGTTACAAGATGACAATACAAGAAGGCACAGCTTCCAGTTTGTTGCGAATCCCTTTTGACTGTTGAACCTAGAAATGCCAGTGGCTAGATCAAAAACACAGAACTCTATTGACTGTGAGCTCAAGCCCCCATTCCGTGTTCACACATATCAGCAGACAAGGAAGGATCGGGTTCGGCTCTTAAAACTGTGAAACAAACCGCGGTGCTGGAGGTGATCTTTGGCCCACCCTGTCACTTACGTCTTTGATGAGCGGGTAGACACGGGGGTCCCCCTTCCGCTGCTTAAAGACCGCTTTGCGATGATTGCACAGCACGGAGAGAGCCTCCTGTTGCAAGGACGAATTCTCACGCAGCAGGCAGATCAGTGGCAAGTAGCACCAGTCCCCGAGCACAGCCGCCAGCAGAGCGTCGCTTAGCTCAAACACCCTGAAGACAAAAAAGAACACAAATCGTCATCGTCACAGTAGACACAAAGAATACGTGGTGCAAGCTGCTGTCCGATTCAGAGGGTATTTGGCTGGACAGCGCAAGCCACTGCGGTACACCCGCCAGAAAATTTAGAGAAGGGTTTCAGTGTCATTAACTTTCGGGAAGCAAGACTGGAACAAGGACATGATGCAAAGCAGCACTCAAAGAAACAGGACAAAGGAAAGAACACAGGAGACACTTGCACTGACTCACAACTGAAATATATTAAAGAAAGAGAAAGAAGAGAAAGGAAGAGAAATGTGCAACGAACACCAACTAGCCCAACTTACCACACTGCAGGAACAATGAATGCACCAGCCAACTTGTGTCTTGCGCAGTGTTTCAGACAATGTTTAGTAGTAAACTAGCAATTATATCCCGAATATAAGGTAGACGCCTGCTGCTTTTATGCCGCTCGGTTCAATTATCGCTCTCGATCATGCATCCATGTGCTGACTGTGCAAGTGTTTCAGTCGGGTGGCTATACTGCAATGCACCTGCTTCACTCAGTGAGGCCAGGTACAGTCACTTTCTTTTACGTGGCTTAGCAGTAGTGCAACCGAGCTTTGAGATGACTCTGACACAACAGCAATGTCGAGATTCAGTATGTATACTTAACTAAAGCTATGCAGAGAAGCTAATGCAATCGGGCAATTGCAAATGCAGGTAATAGCGAGCATCATTTATTTAGAATCATAAGGATTACTTAGTTGGGCATTATGTGCCTCACCCGAGCATATTGTTCCTAGCAGTGCACACAAAACTATTAAATAAAGTACTATTCAAACCAAGGTGTCAAATGCCGTAACTACACGCAAATGCTATTCTTTTATCTGAGTTGTCATGCTTTGAATATTAGCGTTTCAGATTGAGGTGAACAATGGGCCTTTGCATACATACTTGGGCGCCATCCATCGGCAAATTAGGAAGCATTTTTGATGGCCTCCTAAAAGAACTTCAAGCAGCTATTATGTCGGTATCATGATCGCCAACAAAAATAGAACAAACATGTAGTGTGTGTTCCAAAAAAATGGTGGGCCGCCTCTGGCTCCACACTGTTATTGGCTGCCACTAGCGTTTGTAAGCGCAACTAAAATGACAGACATATCTGTGACCACTGTGCATGCGCATAGGGAACCCCAAAAAAGGTTCATTCAGCTTCATTAGTGTTGTGCAAATATTCAAATAACATGCTAATCGATACTCACTTCAATATGAACTGCAATATTCATACTTTTCGAAGTATTGATCGCAGCGAGCGAGCCCCGTTGAGAGTGCTTCTCACCGAGCACCTGTGCAGTGCGAGGAAACAACATCCGTGGAGATCGCAGGCGTTGTTTCCCTGCAGTGCACAAGTGCTCTGTGAGAAGTGTGCTCAATGGGCTAACCCACCGTGATTATGCAATACTATGTGTTAGGCAGCAATGTCTTGACAACCCGTGATTGTTTTTTTGTTGTTTTTTTTTCTGTCAAATTTAAATTGAAGGAAGAATATTTGCATATAGCAAGCCGACTTATAAATCCCTTTGATTAGGATAGTTGTGACAATTTTGTCATTGCTATGCCACAGTTCAGAAATATAGCTGCACAAAAGTTAACTGAGCTTAGAAGTGGACAAGTGGAAGGCTGGGAACAACCTTTACGAGTTCAGCTGAATATTTGTTTAAGCATGGCGCATGGTGGTGAAAGGCTAAGAGAAACTATTTGATATTTCATTCAAACTTAAAATCTACTACAGTCGAATCTGGTTAATTTAAACTCGAGGAGGACCAAAAATTTGTTTGAATAAAGCAAAGTTTGAATTAACAGGAGTTTCCTCCCATAGAGACACATAGGATGGGACCTGCATGTTAGTTTAAATTATCCGCTAATTTGAATTAAGATTTTGAATTAACGAGATTCGACTGTATTTGCACATGATTACACTTCACTCAAGTCAACAGACTCCAAGTGAAACACCTAAAGATATGAAAGAGTGCCCATCTCACTTCTGAGATAAATGAAGTATCCTCTGGATAACAGCTTCCTTCAAGCCTTCTTTGGTTAAGACATTTTTTGCAGCGAGCAGCCAAAGCTTCAAGCTCTGAAATGGAAGGTTTACATCAGCACCCCCTTGCCATCAAAAGTTCCTTACCTTGCATATTCAGTATGTCACAAAAGAACACATTATGATCTTGTTTTTGAAAGCCTGTTATATAGTCGAACCCGCTTATAACAAACTCAAATATAGCAAAACAATGTCTATATCGACGCCCAAATTTTTCAAACAAAAATGCACTTTTTAAAATAAACAGTTGAATGGTTATATCGAATTTTGTCATCGTGTGCGGCCTTTCAAAAATCTGTGAAAGACTGTTTCCCAGCATGTCCCTTCTAAAAAAAAAAAAAAAAAAAAAAAAAAAAAAAAGTTTGAAGGAAAGAAAACACTTAAACCACAAGACATATAGAAGGGAAGACAAGAGAGATTAGTTGAAAGGAGGAACTCGTGGTGCACGCTTGGGAGCGTGCATCACGAGTTCCTCCTTTCCTAAGTTCCTCCTTTCACAATCCTAAGACCTAAAATCACCTCCACTTCCCAAGTTAGCTTTTTATTTATTTATTTATTGGTAAAAATTGCCGGCCGCCTGTGAAGGGGCCAAGGCAAAATCAATGAAAAGATAACTGAAAGCAAGAAGGAAAAGAAAAACATCACATAAAAGCTGAATTATGTACAACAAAGCAGACCCTAAGTAAATATGGGTAGATCTGCACACATGCAAAAAAAAACCCTACCCCCGCATATGCAAAAAAAAAAAAAAAAAAAAATTGACTAAGAAACATTAGTTGTAAAATACAGGGGTACACAATTTATCCAAGCCAATCTAAGAACTTGCGTCATCAGTGATGAGCAATTGGAGGCCATCTGAGAATGCAACAGGGCAGTCTTCGTTTACCAGCTGTGACGGAAGCTTGTTTCATTCAGTAACAGTGCGTGGAAAAAAGCTATAGATATAAACATCAGTGTGACAAAAAAACTTGCTCATTGTTTTGTCGTGTTTAATTCTCGTTAGTCGGTAACTAACGGCAAGATTCACCAAGCTTGCGAAAGGTGCACTTGTTTTTCTCCTTGCCATCCATCTTGAAGCTTAGTCGACCAGCATGTTTCCGTGCACGCTTTGTTGGCAGCTTACTTTTTTTGTTTGAACGCAGTGTGCTACCAAGTACCCCCTCCGTGCTCGCAAGAGATGGCGATCATTAAGCAGCGGCAGTCTCTGCCGTATTCAGACAAGCTGAGCCTAATTTGTTGCATCGAGAACGGTGAAAAAAGTTGGATGTCGCCGCAGTATACAACATGCCCAGAGGTATGCTGAATACCATACTCAAGAACAACGCACCCATCCGTCAAAAGTCCCGGGAGCGACAGAACACTGCTGGTAAGCACCTGCGAGAACCCGTGTTTGATAAAGTGGAGAAGGCACTCTACGCGTGGTTTCTCGAGGTTGCGCTTAGAACCTGCTTGTTTTCAACCCCATGGTCCAACGAAAGGCAGAAGACTTTGCGTACGTTCTGGAAATCAAAAGCTTCAGTGGTGGAACCGGCTGGCTCCAGCGGTTTAAGGATCACTATGGAATCGTCGAGAAGGCAGTGACCAACGAGGGTCACACAGATAACACGGAAGGCGTCAAGAAGTGGATCACCAAAAAGCGACCAGGAATCAACAGATATGCACCCGTGACATATTTGACACAGATTCTAAAATTCTAAAACCCACCTCTATACCTCTTTTTGCAGCAATGCAGACCCCGCAACTCAATAAATTAATTTGCATCTGCGCCCTCGTAAACCGGTGGAAGGTTGCGCCCTCCAGCGTCATCAGAGACAAGCTAAGGAGGACCTGCTCCCTAAGTGGTGGCACCACTAATCTTCATTTTCGTTGAAAGGCGGAGTATGGCTTTCGGTTCCTGCGCCTGAGCGGCCGCATTAAGCATGCTGTGGACTTTGTAGAGTTCACGAGTCCACTCGTTTATGTTGGTGTGCTGAAAGCTATAACACACGCGGCGTGCACTGTGCATTGCAGTGCTTCTGTAAGGCGCTCCTGCCCGCACTAGGCATAGTGCGTTTGTGCACGGTCCAACGGTTTTCTTGAAATTTAGGCATCATCCGAGAGAAATTACGCCTCTTTAGCGTGATGCAGATCTAAGCCCAGACGGAAGAGCATAGGCATATCCAAACGCTTCAGGCTTGTTCCACATCAGCACGCATTTCACCATTTCCTAAGCAGCAAGAGGATGGATGATCTCCGCCTCCTCGCACAAGTTTGGGTGCTTCAATTTAGAGGAAGTTCTTGCGAAATTCGCTGTTGTACAAAAGCCTGTCGATAGTGTTACAGTTAGTATTTCCAAATTGTATACTTTTTTTGCAGGACACCAAAAGGCCATGTAACAAAGTAGCGTCTGTTGTACATTCAGTGTCACATTGTGTATTTTAAACTGCCATTCTTGAAATTTGTTCTATGCAAGTTTTGATATAATGAACCACCCACTATATCAAACTAATTATTGCCTCTGACGAAGTTTGTTACAAACGGGTTTGAGTGTAAACCAAAATTACTGCCCCCCCCCCCCCCCCCCCCTTTTACCTAACAGGAACTGAGAAGAACGTACCTTTTCTTTTCTCCTAATCAACCTTCCTAGAAGTCGACACTTCTAGCAGCTTTATATTTTAAAAAAACCTCCTTGCATTTTATCCACCAATTTCTTACAACTCTTCTGAGTAAAGGCTAGTGTTGTAGCAATGTGGACCAACTGTTCCATTCACTTAAAATTTATATAGAAATTAACCATTTCTTTGTGCATATTTTGTACTACATTTTGAACTGACTTGAAATAACTAGTGGTGGGGCCAGTGAAGCTCATTTGTTTACTCAAACTGAAATACTTCATGTTCATATGTTGAATTTCTACATGCTCGCAGGTAAAATCTGCTTGCTTTGTGCAAGCCGGAGTTAAACCAATTAAGAGCTTGTGACTTAGTGTTTTAAACTTGTGTGCATCACCAAAAGAATCTAGGTGTGAACATGAAGGAAATGGACAACAAAACTTGCCTTCTGGTCCAGCGTTAGGAACTTGGCTTCATTTATGGCCAGGAGTATTTCGGCCACCTTTTCTATCACAGACGCACCTTTTGCACTGTTTGACAGGTCTGCAATACCTGGAAAGGACTAGAAAGCTAAGACACTACACAAATGACCCCCCCCCCCCCACACTTTCTGTCTTCCCTGAAAATGAGCTGTCTTGCCATCAAACCAGCAGTTGAGATTAGTGTGACGCAGGATTGCAGGAAAATGAATGGAGGATATAACAAGGCAGTCATGCTTCAGCCTGTTCAAATGTCTGACAACTTTTTCTTTCCAAAGCTAAGCTCAAAGCACATATGCTATGCAGATTCAAACAAGCATACTGGCATACAATTACGGGAACAATTAGGAAAGAATGCTTTTAGCTTAGAACATTTATTAAAAAATACAAGTAATCCCCTTTAGCCGACTGATTGGACGTTGTATGAATAACTTATGCTTAGTGTCAGAACCAAAACAATGTAGCCTGGACATAGGAGGTTGGCTGTGGATTTTCTATGCAGTGCAGCGGTGATAAGACCCCGATTGGAAAGTTATCTTGGCATATGGCATCAAATGCAATTAGCTTTCGAAAACAGAATCAGAGTCAAGATCTGAACAATGAAGACACGTGGCAGATTAGACAAATAAGGAAACCTTTAGAAGAAACAAATTGCCTTGTTGATCTGCCAGAATCAAAGAGCTTGTGGAAAAGTAAGCGTACAAAACAGTTGGGCAGACAGAACAGAGTTTCGTGGCAAAAGGAGAGCAATTTACAAACAAAAACTGGTTACATACCAGAGAGCAGAGAATCTTGGTTGGATTCACTAGAGCTCCTGTACGGAAAGACAAGACGTGGAGATAGTTTTTCTCTCATCAATTGGCTCAATAACAAAGCTATACTCCGTTCACACAAAAGCTGAGTGTGGTGGAAGCTAGGTTCCTGGCCGGACCAATCATCCGCCTCCCTTTCAACACCTGACTCCGCACTCCACACATGGGTATGGGCAGCGGTGTAATGATGCGGCGAGAGATGTATGTATGATTAGTCAAACGAGCAAGTAGCTCCCACCGCACTGTCAGCTTAGGCGTGACCGGAGTATGTAGCATGTAAACTAAAACTTTTGAGGCAGTTACAACGGCAAAAAAAAAAAAAAAAAATCAATTTCTCGACGTATTGCATTGCAATTTACTACAGAGGTGCAAGCAGGTAGTGGAAGTTGACAGCGAAAAAATCAAGGATTGAACTTACATCGTTCAAAAGAAAAAAAAACACAGAAACATGTTCTGGGCAACCTACGGCATCACTTCGCAGACGATTTTTGCATCGTGAGAAGTGCTGCCGACAGATGGCTCACGCTGCGCCGGGGGAGTGCCGGTCGATTCGAATTCTTTTGCAGGATCGTCTGCTATCATATCCCGAATCGGCCGGCACCATCTGTCAGCAGCACTTCTCACTACGCGTGCAATGCCTGCGGAGTGACGGCATAAATTTCCCAGAACATGCTTCTCTATTTTTTCTTTTAAACAAAATAAGTTCAATCCTTGATTTTTTAACTGTAAACTTCCACCATCTGCTTGCACCTCTGTAGTATATCGCAGCGCGATACGTAGAGAGACAGATTTTTGCAGGCCGTCCAAAGTGCCTTAAAAACGCTAGTTTACACGCAGTACTTCGGCTAAATCCACTTGCACTCGTTTTGCACTCACTTGTACTCCTTACTGGAGACGATAGTGTGCACCTTCTGGAGCGTGCTCGCTGCCCGGCTGTTGACAGTCTGCTGAGGTCCATTCAGGCACACCTTCAGCTCGCCCAAGAGTTCCGCCGAGAACATCTTGCCCGCAGAACTTGGAAGCTGAAACAAGAAAAAATTAAAAGCACGAAGAAAACTTCACCTTTATGAAGTAGACCCAGGGCCTAAAGTCTGGGGGGTCTCAGGGGGTCTTGGACCCCCCACTGATTTTGAAGGATGGTCTGAGACCCTCCTCCACAGCGCCAGCATTAGTGAAAGCAAAATCGTATCTTGCCATTAAACAACTTGTTTTCAGGGATGTGACATTTGGGGGTTAGCAATTTGATGGTTGCAGGTACAGCGTCGGTAGTCAGCAGTGGGGTTTATTTTGTGTGCATCTAGTACATCTCGTCAACCCCCCCCCCCCCCCCCCCCCCCTACCTTCTTGTAGGGACCCACCTCAAATTACGGGAGGCTTTAAGCACCGAGTAGACCTAAGTTTTGCATTGTTGCTGATGTGACAACGTTGACACCAATTCAAACTGCTGCGACAGCCCCTTTTCGGTGCATCGATGCCGCCTTTTGAGCCACTGTGACCATGAGATCAGTTTTGACGCGATGAGCGGCAAGTGACATTAAAAAAAGAAAAACGCCTCGATGATTTGTGCCAGCGCCAGACCACGTTGAAAATGCAACGGATCAAAGATTATAGATCTATGCTTATCTCGAGAACGAGGTGAATTCAATGGTACTTGTAACTGAGAGCAAAATAGTTCGATAGATCAGACAGAAGGCGATACTTTTCGCCGAGTGGACGTTGGACCTCCGCGCGCGCTATGGGGGCATCCTTTGCACTGTGATTATGCAAGTAATATAACGTATATTTGTTAATATCTTACCTTAAGGAGGTATCACCCTCGCAAGGCAGCAAATTCACGAAACAATCGTCATATTTTCGTGGGTTCCGCGGATGAGACAAAATATCGTACCGCCACACCGGGACTTTGGCGCGAAATGTGTTGTTACGTCACAGGTCACGGGATTTGGTCACTTTAAAGCTCTTATCTATTTATAAAAAAATAAAATATACCAAATATATTATAAAAATAAATTTATTTCTTAATATGCATTTTTTTTAACTTGCTACTTTAATTTAGGATTTTAACAAACCAGGTTACGGCGCAGCCATAACTTTTTAATGTATCCATTGAAAGTCGGTATGATCCAAGTCCATCCGCGTTTCTAGCCTGCTTTGCTTTGAGGCTCTCTGCAGGCACCAAAGTGAAAATGAGTAAAGCTATACGCACTCCGGAGTGCGCTTCGGACGGAAATGGCTATACGCACTCCGCTTTTCTCGTATAAAAAGAGTGGACACAACGAGTTTCCGAAGCGGTGCCATGGCATAGGGGTTAGGGTATCCGCGTCATGCGCAAGTGGGCGCGGGTTCGATCCGCGGTGGGCCTACTTTTTTTTTTTTTTTTTTTTCTCAAACATTTTGTTTTGTCGAGGCATTTGGCGATATTTACGACATTTCCTTTTTTGCGATGAACAGTAAAAAAAAAAAAAAAAAAAATATCGAATGTTGTCGAGAAACTTTGCAGCACTAACTGGTATCGGACTCCCTTTCCGGAGGTGCGATCGGGGCCAGCGGGGCTTGGATTGCCGGCTGGACGCCGCGAAGCGGCGTGTACTGGTTACGCTTTGTAATTAGCAGCCGATACTGTCGCCGCGAAGCGGCGTGAACGCAGGCGGGGGGCTGTGTTAACGAGCGCCCCAGTGATTCACGCGCCGTTCGAAAAGGGTGGCCCGAGCGGCATGATCTCTCGGAGGAGTGCGTATAGCCATTTCCGCGCGAAGCGCACTCCGGAGTGCGTATAGCTTTACTCAGTGAAAATAGCGATCAGAGCGGTGCCGGCGTGAGCTTCACGTTGCTTAGCTCAACTGTTTTTATGTGTTTTCTGCCTAAAATGGCGTTTATTATTTAAGTTACCCGTCGTCCTAGCTCTTCACAGCAAACAATGGCCGAGGCTTCCGGATCCGACGCGAGCGCGACCGAGGTATGTGAACACCGTGAGAAAATAGTCACGCCCACAACTGTTGATAGCAACTTTCCAACCGATGTTAATTCCAGACTTCTAGCGCAGGAAAGCGAAAAAGAAGTCATATGATAACGCAGTGATAAATTCTCCGAGTTTGGTTTTCAGAACATCGTAGAAATCACCATTACAGACACCGAACGGCGATGTGCGGGCAGCGCGGTGCCGCTGCAAGATATTTACGTCGCTTATCAAGTCGAGTCTGTGTGAGTACAAGTGTTTCACTTTCTCTGGCGGAAGTATGTATGTGTGTGTGTGTGTGTGTGTGTGTGTTTATATATATATATATATATATATATATATATATATATATAATATATATACATACACACACACACACACACACACACACACACACACACAGAGACACACACACACACACATATCGCATTCTAGGGGTGCGTGCGAAGCCGCTGTTACGTAATGTAAAACATTTTTTTCCCCTTTGGCGATTTGGTTTAATTCGGATACTCTTTTTATTGCCGCGTGAAAAGCCCTTGAGGCTGATCCTTGAACTGAATTCTAAATGGGTCTGTATCTTTGCAGAACAGCGGCACATTATCCAAGTTGTAAGAAGCCAGAGTTGTTTGCCCATGAGCACGATAGCTGATATACAGTACCCAAAAAAAAGAAAATATTTGCATAGTCTGTCCTGGAAGATCGTCGACAAACGGTTAAAGGCGTGTGTAGCCTACAATCTACAGTCCGAAACATTGGGTATTAATAGTATATCTGTTTTACTGTGTGTGCTGCACTCTGTTTCAGAATACGAGAGCCCGAGAAAACGCCCTACATTGTGTGGCGGCGGTACAGTGACTTCGAGGTGCTCCATTCACACCTCCAAGACAGCTTCCCCTACGTGATCATACCTCCGCTGCCAGAGCGAAAGGTGCCTCGCTCGTGTGGTCTCTTTTGGTCAGCGCTATATCCTTCGCTTAGAGCATGGTGGTCTTCTTGAAAGCTAAAGGGGGGAAACTTCCTTCCTTTCCCAACGAGCAAAGGAAGAAGTGAATTTGCTACATTTCATTTGACATGTTGTGTTCATTGTGGTGCTGATGCTGCAATGAGCACAATGTGACGTGCCAGTGAACCCTCTACCCAAGCCCTCTAGTAGCATTTGAGAGATTTGAGTTTCACTACAAATGTGAGCTTGCGACATTCGTGAAATGTTTCCTACTTTTAGGGTCGAGGCTGCAAACGGGCCAGATGAAAACCTCTTGGCGGAGGAAATCTGACCCAAAACTTTGTTTCAACTAGTTCCGGGTTGCCGATTTCTCGACGAATCAATTATCAACTTTGAGGGCCTGCTATGTTGATATAGTAGTACATTCACAGCTCTTTGCATTTAGTTCAGGACCTTTGCCCCTGAGAACCTTAATCCTTGGCATTAGGCCTTGGGATTGTGAATTGAATGCCCAATGCATGCCAAGTTTTTTTACGAGTAGGATTGCTGGTGCCTCGTAGGCAGCGTTGTCAGCTTGCTCTTTCGGGCATGAGCTTCAGCTTTGGTTGTCATTTCTACAGGTGATGTACAGGTGGCAGAAGCTTCCTTCAGACAGGCTGGACCCCGACTTTGTGGAAAGGAGGAGGGCCAGCCTCGAGGTGAAGACTCGCTGATAGTACTTGGTCCTAGGACCCTATTTAAAAGCTCGAAGTAGTTTTGTGAATCCAGGTGAGCGGGTAGGACTGAATAATTGATGTAAGACATACAGTAGTGGGAACGGTGCATACTTTTGGCACTGAAAATCCAAAGACTGGCTGTCTTTGAAGATGTAAAACTTGCTTGTGGAGGACTGCAGAGTACAACCTCACTTACCAACTTTACTTTAGAGAAGTGTCCCTTAAGGTTGAGTGAAAAACGAAACTACTGTATGCATGCAGGCTCTGGGCGTGCTTTCTCCAGAGGCCTTGATGTTCATATTTCGTAAATGTCTACGTTTGAGTTCAGGAGACAGCCCGTTCATTCTAGACTAGGAGAACAAGAGTCCCTCTCCCCCATTCCTTGTGGCACTGCTTTTAGCAGATTGAATCTCTCAGTTGCAATTGCTCTATAAGACATTACTTAAACTTGACAGTATGTAAAATGTTGATATTAGCCACCACCTCTCATTGTGCATATCTTACTTTGGTGTTGCTTCTCTTCTGCAAACTGCCCTTGGTTGGAGTTGCATCTCTGCATCTGCTGTATCAGCCTTCTAAAGTCACTATTACTTCCGTTCTAAGTCTTAATTCGTAGAGTTGCCTTTGTTCTTTGCCTTTCTTTTGTATATATTTTTAATTATTTTATTACTTATTTCCCTCCTTTCTCGTGCCTTTCGAGACTCGGGGACGTAATAAATACCTTAAAAAGTGCGCGTCAGCCAATGTGCCTGTCGACAAATTCATTGCGCAGCTGTTCCTGAGGCGGGTGGCTGGCCACCCCGAGCTGTGTACCAATGTCCTGTTCCTGGAGTTCCTGAAGCACGAGGCCAGCTGGAGAGATGACCTAAACACGGGCGGCCTGCTTCACAGGGCGGACAGTATGCTGAGGTCGCTTAATGCCTCCCTGCGGCTGCGCAGCCCCGACACGTGAGACCCCATGCTTCGTTTGGTTGCCCGGTCGATAGACCGCTCGTAAGAAGTGGACGTTAAACTCGACACGGGGAGACGGCACAAAATTTCAGAAAGATATTCGCCCACCTGTTGGTTGACGGCGACGCGATATGCAAAACGAAATGCTTGGCAGTAAGAACCGAGTGTAAACATAGTCACGGACCGCTTGAGAAACGTAGGGTGTGGCGAGTCCTGAGCATGGTATTATCCCTCTCTGGCCTGATTGCGGCATTAGCCGATAAGAATGCCGAGGAACGAATCACAAAGCGAGAAGTGTGAGCGTAATGGACCGTGCCCTGAGAAGTCGGTGACTATGGTACCCGGTTGTTGGATGTGACCTCTCTTGTGGCCGACGTGCTCTTTGTAAGGCGGTTCGAAGCTTTGTTGGCAGCATGACTATGCAGGAAGTGTGAAAAGAAATGTAAAGGTGCAGTGCAAGTTGCCGCCCAATAGCAAGGTTCTAGACACCACCATCTGTCTATCCGTGGGACCGTTTTCTCGGTTTCAGTCATAGAGGAACGACTGAGGGAGCACAAGCTCGGGGTAACTTTGGAGAATGCTCTGAGAGATCTTTTGGAGGCTTCGGGGAAAAGGGCTCTTATACAGCAGTTCAGCTTCATAGCCGGTTGTCTATTTTATTGTATGTTTCATTTTTTTTTTAATGCTATCACATCTTGTCATTAATTGTGAGGGGGCAAAGTGCCGTCGAGCTGCTCACATTATGCCCTTATTTTAATTGTTTGGCTTTGTTTACTCCTGGGGTGTCAAACAGCTGAACTTCTCTCGGAACGATGTTGTGCCTTATGACAAACAAAAGTCCACAGGAAGTGATGTATTTCACTTTCTGAATCATACCTTGGCCTTATTGTTTTTACATGTCAATGTGCCGGTCCTTTGCGTGGGTTCTAGTTGAAAACTGAATCTATTTTGCTTCTTTGTTTTCTGACCTAAGGGAGTTTGAAGAGGTGAAGAGCTACAGCGGAGACCTACAGATGAGCCTGTCCAATATCTTGCGGATACGTGCCGTAAGGACCGCCTGTTCTACTCCATGCCTTTGACGAGTGCCCTGTTTTCCTGTTGGGTGCTGCGTGTCTAGGTTCGCTTCTCCGATAATGGTCCCACGTTTTGTAATCGTTGCTCGGTAGTTTTCATTATTGGCAATTCTGTGTCTGATAGAATTGAAGCTGTTTTTAGTTCACTTTTGCCTACTTTGAGGCAGAACATTAGCATACAGCCAAAGCGTGGCTCTAATCAACTTGTTTTATCAGCAGCTAGATCTCAATTAACCACCGAGGAAAATGTAATTGCACCCAGACTGTGACACCGATGAATTTAAGGTCGGACATTCTCAGCCTTTATGTTTTGCTGTGAAAACGTGGCTTAATAATGACACGATCGGTGCATGCTTTGTAACTCCCTTACACTATATATTAGACGCCGCGAACGCGTCCACAGCCGAGTGACCCCAGATGGGTGATAAGCACTAAAAAGGTAGCATACACTGCGAGAGAACACATTTTTTTGATGGACATCCGAAACCAAAACAGGTTTACAATGTGGTGGCACGCCTGCATGCTGTATGCTCTGTTGCACAAGACTAGAGTGTAGTGCAGGGGTTCCTAAACCTCCCAGTCTCGAGGAACCACTTCCAATCTCGGCATTAAAGCAAAAAAGCAGCGCAGATTTTTGTATACTACCTGGTAAACAATATACATACTAGGGAATGTCTGTCACAGTCATGTATCAATTGCTCAGATCTAAACTTTACTTGGGGGCAGGGATGGTTGTAGAAACTTGGGAACTCAGGGGAAGGGGCGAGGCAGGGAGGGAGGGGAGGAACCCAGTTTGAGGACCCATGGTGTATTGTCCGACTCGTGTCCTTGTGGTCGCCGCGTGCGTTCACCAGAAACTGGCGGACCGTACATACGGGCTGCACCAGCTGCACCAGAACTACGGCCGGGTGCTGAGCGAGTGGTGTCGGCTGGAACGGGGCCCCCATGGGGACGAGCTACAGCGGGCAGGCCAGTTCATGGACAAGTACGCCCAGTGCGCCCTGCCCCTGCTGGAGGAACAGGAGCAGGCCGCAGACGCCCTCAAGGAGTACCTCTTCTATGCTGGGGCACTCGGGTGAGAGGCTGCGACCTTTGGGTCCCTGCTACTCAATAACCGTTACATGGTTGTGATGCTCACTCGGGTGTGATGATGTGACTGTCTTCAGTGCTTGTCCTTTGGTAATGTGGTGTCTTCTATATCTGTGATTATGGGGGTGTCTGCCTGTCCTTTGACCATTGACCATCTGGTGTCTTTCTGTCCATTGACCCTTGACCATGTTTGTCGCTTTGGTGTCTGTCCCTTGACCATGGACTGTCTTTGGTGTCTGCCCCTAGACTATATGGTGTCTTTGGTATCTGTTTGACCCTTTACCATGTGGTGTCTTTGGTGTCTGTCTGTCCATTGACCCTTGATCGCGTCTGGCCTTTCGGTGTCTCTCCCATAATATTGTGCTGTCTTTGGTGTCTGCCTTTTCTTTGACCATGTCTGTACCTTAGTGTCTGTCTCTTGACCATGTCTGTCCTTTGAATGTTTGTCTCCTGATTACATGGTGTCCTCCTTTGTTCATCGGTGGTAACCTCAAGGCAGGAAACTGTCTACCATAAAGCCTGGGAACGGCATTACAACCATGTATTCCCTCCTTAACTCGAACTGGGTTATCTATCAATTAAGTCTGTGGTGATTAAATCACACCACGTACATCCCCAGCTGCCCGACGGACCTGGCCTAACCAGCCTAACTGGATCTCTTCCCCTATTTCCCGCCCCGGTGAATTCCCCTTGCACACGGACCGCGGTGACCGGGGTAGGTGGGGAGCGGAGGGGAGGGGAAGACAGGGAGAAGAGGTGAGGCCGAGGAGAGGGAGCTGCCCGGGATAGGGGCAGAACAACTTGGAAATAAAAGCCAGTTGAGTTTGGGACACCCACGTGAATACTTCTTTGCCTACGCTGCGTCCTAGTCCTAACATTGGTGACTTGCGACACTCATTCGCACAATGAATGAGCAACTCAGCTCCGACGTCCCAGTGGTTGTCGACGTCAAGTTGCCCCCCTTTTGGACCGCGGACCCTGAGCTGTGGTTCCTCCAAGAGGAGTCGCAGTTCGCCGCAAGGTGCATCACCGTGGACCTCACAAAGTACTGCCACGTGGTGAGCAGCCCGCTACGGCGAGCAAGATTCGCGACCTACTGTTTGCCCCACCTGCGGAGGATGCATACAGCACACTGAAGCGGGCACTCATTCGCTGGGCTTCTCCCTTGGAACGTTGGTGGTTGGAGCAACTTCTTCACGAAGCTGATCTCGGGAACCAGATGCCCAGTCAACTACTACGCCACATGCAACAGTTGCTTGGCAGCATGGTGGCCAGTCTCGACAGTTTTCTGCTTCGGGAGATTTTCCTTCAGCGGCTTCCCTCAAGCGTCCGCATGGTGCTCACCTCCATCCAGACTTGTACACGTTACTGAAAAAAAGTAACAGATTACAATTACAGTTAAAGCCTCAAAAAAGTAATAAAAAAATTATGCTAAAGTACTCTATTACTTCCCACGTTACTTTTCATTCAGCTTATTTTATTACGGTAACCTAATCCTTGGGGTCTCGTGCTCAGTTGTTCCGAAAAGAAAAAAAAAGAGAAAGCCTTGACCGTTTTCGCTTAGAGTTGAGTGGGAGACGCCAGCACACCCAATCGCTCTCGTGAAAAAATAAAATAAAAAGAGCGCTGTTTAAATACATTGCTCACGAGAGGCTGGATATGGTCATTTTTCATACCCGGATGTAGTCTGGTGTACCAAAAAAAAATGCACCCAGGAAACGAAGCAGAGTGAATTGGCCTACTAATCCCCGAGGTCCCGTGGTTTTTTTTTTACCGTTGCCCAGGGCTGAGTGACTCCAGCAGATCTAACCTCCCCCCCCTTTTCCCCCCAAAAAAATGAAAAATTGTAATGGGTAATTTTGTAATCCATTACAAAAAAAAGTAATTCAATTACAAGTATTGTTACTCCTTAAAGGAAGTAATTGAAGCGTTACAAAATTACAGTAAATTGTTATCTAAATTTTTGCGAGGACCTAATTTTAGCGAATCGCCTACAATTCGCGAAAAATACGACCCGCGAACAATTTGGGCAATATGCGAACGCTACGGAAGCTACACTCAATCCGCGAAAATTAGAACCCGCGAATAGTTTCAAATTTTCAGCTTTGGCCAGATTCGCGAAAATTTGAGCCCGCGAAAATTCTGTCGTTTACAGTAATCCATTACTTGTAACGCGTTACGTACAAGTCTGCCTCCATTGGAGAGAAGGACCTACCCAAGCTGGCCGAGTGAGTCGACGCACTAATGGCGGTCGCAACACCCTCCGTCGCGACCATGCAAGTGGAACCAACGCAGCTGGACCATCTTCACGAGCTCCAAGCGGAGATCTCTCACCTTGCCACTGTGGACCTCAGTGACTAAGGAATGTGGGGAGTGGAGGGAAGACGGGGAGAGGAGGTGATGCTGAGGTTTTTCTTCAGCTTAATACTGGATGGTGCAGGCGGTGTTTGGCTTATGTCAATACAGTGGCCACCTTAGATCTACAGTAATATTTGTTTGGGGAAGAATGTTGCCCCCCTTTAGGTTGGGCTTTGGCTCACTTTAGGACTGAGCAATTTCCACATCACTCCAGGTAAGCCCCAGCTTAAGAACTTTCAGCTTTTCCACTCTGGTGAAGAAGGAAGACCAGTAAATCTGTACTATGGTCAGACGACCTTGAGGACGACTTCTTAGACGACCTCAGGGACGAGGCCTAAGGACGACATCTAGGACGACCTCAAGGACGACTTCTAAGACGACCTCGAGGACGACCTTAGGGACGACATTACACGGCCTTAAGGACGAGGTCTAGGACGACTTCAAGGACGACTTCTAGGATGATTTCGAAGACAACGTCTCGGACGACCTCAAGGACGACTTCTGGGACAACGTCTCGGACGACCTCAAGGAAGATGTCTAGGACGACCTTAACGGCAACTTCTGGGACGACCTCAAGGACGACGTTTAGGGTAACCTTAAGGAGGACTTCTAGGACGACATCGAGGACGAGATCTAGGATGACGCCTAGAGAAATTCAGCCTTTCCACTCTGGTGTAAACCAGAATGGAAAGGCTGGAACGGTTGTCGCCATCTATGAGCAGGGCCGGCAAGCCGATTGTCTGGTTGCCGCCGTCGCTCATAGATGGTGGTAGCTCTCCAGAGTTTTGTGTCGACATTTCTTGGCGGGGGACACGATCCTGGGGAAACTAGCCCTTAACAGCTCCGCTGCAAAAACGGAAGTTTGTGCCTTAGGGCCAGATACGATATCCCCTCACTACAAGGTCATGCTTCGTGGATTACAGGGTGCCAACCTAGGACCATATAACATACGCCAACAATTTATGCAAAAGTGTATGTGTGTTCACGTCGACTCACGGCACCCACTTTGTCACTCTTGTTCCTGGTAAAATTTAGCCTGGCACTTTCTAAGCTGGAAGACTCTCATAGTACTTGTTCATGTTAGTTTTGCTCACAGCTTTTATGTGTAGATTCACGTAAGCACTTGCCGAGCGTAACTAGTATGCCATTTCCCCTGATCCTCAACTTCTCTGCAGGGCGGTGTGCAAGCATCACGACGTTCTGCAATACGAGCTTGAGAAGAAGGAGGCCCTCTTCACTTCTAAGGAGAGTCAGCACTCCCAGATTGTGAGCCTTTGATTCTCCACATTGTCTTAAGCAGGGTCACCAAACACTTGCAGAGTGTGGACACTCACGGGCTTGCACTCGTTAATGCATGCAGTGGTCTTTCCGTGAAGACAGTGGGCAAAAATGCTATCTCTACCGCTGGGAGATGCACCAACATAATGGTGCATCTCCCAGTGCCTACTAAAGATAGCCAATAATCTGATACCTTAATAATTTGTTTTCTGACTGGGTGGAGGGTGCTGTGTGCTACTGTCCGTGCTGACTGCTTTGACCACATTTGCAAGGTAACATGATTTGAAGTCTCTTCGTCTTGTAGTGATCATATGTGCTTGTGTTTGCAAATGATTGTATTCAGTTTCCTTTCAATACTGTGGCAGGAATATTCATTGTTTCATAAGATTTCAGTACCTACTATTTATATTACTAATATGCTATAGCAAGCTCTCGATAACTTTGGATATTTCATACTTCTGGTAAATTCAAACAAATTGTGACATTTTGGTTGTCCCACTTTGTTTGCAATGTATTAATGAGCTGCCTGATTCAAACAATGTTCTTGTGTAATTCATACTTTTTGTTCTTGCATACGGCGTTGCTACCGACAGAGAACAGTATCTGCTGCCGTAAACAGTCGAACATTTATAAGTGTAGTTGGTTCAACCACGAAAGCCTTCGAAAATGCTACTAACCCCTGCCGCCCCAACTGCATACTCTGCATGCCGCCCGGTTGAGTGCGCTTCTTGCTGAGCATCGGCTTGCTGTGGAGAAGCAGCACCCACAGAACTCGCTTCTGCGGGTGTCGCTTCTCCGGGATGCACCGGTGCTTGGTGAGAAGCATGCTCAACGGGTCTAATAGTCCAAAATATACTTCTTTTTTTTTTGTGGGACGCCCAAACTGAATTTTGTTTTGAGGTCTCATGTGCTGTCTAAACAGTCCACAATAGAAATCATTTTTGAGGGTTGAATAGACTTCTCTTATGTTTCGCCAACGTTTAATGTGTTGCATACCTGCTTATTATTAGTAGGCCTGTATAGAGGAAATCATCAAATATTTGCTTTGTAGGTGTAGCCATCCATATAAAAGATCATAATTTTATCTTGCATTATATTTAGATAAATTTCTGATAATTCAAACAAAATTTGTGGTTTTCTGGAGTTTGGATTAATGAGTCTGCTGCAATATATAAATACAGTATAGACAGTTCCTTCTGATGTGCTTTGCATATGTTTTCTCCGCCCCTCACTTGGTTTTTCTCCTCATCTGTACATTCAACACTTCATTGTTTAGCAAACTAATAATTACAGTAGTATTGGGGTGTCTGCTGTCGGAGAAAACTAGGAATTTTCAGGAAACTTGGGCAAAGCATGATGAGACCCAGGGAAATTTGTGAGTAAATATATTTTTATTGCATCTTTTTATGGATGTTGGTTTCTACATTCACAAGGCTTGAACACTTGTATTTAGGACATCTATCAATAATGAACAAGTCATTATAGTTACATCAACAATAATAAATCTGGGAAGTTCCTTTGAAAACTCCATAAACAAATCCCATTATTATTTCTGAGCTCACAGGTCAGTTTTGATAGTCTTAATTAGCCCTTTCCTTTTGCTATCTAATTTTTGGCAAGATAGCTACGGAAAACCTGGAAAAAAAACCTGATAGTGTCACAATACTTAGAAATACAACTGAAAGCATTTTGTTTTGGCATTTTGTATCCCACTGCCAGGACTTCCAACCATTTGTTGCCATTCCTCAATTACGCATGCACAATTATGCTCATCGACTAATCACGATCCCACTCTTTCTTTTTGCAAGTCGTACGAGGACATTGACCAAAAGGTAACCTGCTGGACGTATACTACAGTTGTAAACAGTATATTGTCTAGTTGTGCTTGCAGTCAGTCTTTTGTGACACTGCAGTAGCAGTGGCATATGTTTGTGCCTACAGCTTTGATGACAGTAACCAGGCTGAGGCAAGGCAAACTGTACTGCCAATTCACTGCATCGTTGCAAAATGCAGTCAAAGTGTGGCTTATAAATCTAGCAGATTGGCGGTGGGGGCAATTATTTGCTATATTTGACTGTGTGGAACCAGAAACAGTATATTAATGTGCCCATTAATGCTTTTTCTGGAAATCAACAAAGGTTAGATTTGTGCCTTGCGTTAAATCTGACAGAGGCACGGGACCGAGCGCGAGCTTAAAAAGGCGGGATAAAAGCAGAACACGCATATTGTTGTTTGCGCAAATTTCTTTCCAGCGCGCTGATGATTACCTGCGCTCGCTTCATTAAAGTGAACCTAAAAGGCAGATACATGGTGGAATTTCAGTGTTGTGTCTGTCGCATCCAATGCGTTCTCAGGGACAAAGGTTAAACTAAGAATAGGACGAGGCGATGACAGACAAGTGGGAGCAAACAGACAGAAAGGCGACTTGCACTCTTACGCTCTTTGCGGGTCTTCTGAAAACAAAATGATGCGTTGACCTTTTCACTTTGACTATGCTTGCCCTTGTCCACGTTGGCGTGAAGCGGTGCCAGTGGGTGTCATCCTGTGCAGGTGGATGGCGGGGCCAAGGCGGGGCAAAGCCTGGTGTCGAGGCTACTGAGCCCCAGCAGTCCGGAGCAGAGGGCCTCCTCCCTCGAACTGCAGTTGGAGACGCTCCAAGGACAAATTCAAACCCAGACTAGAGAGAAGAAGCAAGTTCTCTACTCTTTCTTTTTTCTAGTCTTGTGCAAGGAACTTGGCACCATAGACACCACAGCTTAAAAGTCTAGCTTCTTTGTATATGCTTTAATGATTGTGGTTTTCGTGACGAGCTAGGCTTTTGAGTAAATTTTAAAATCTGAATCCAAAAGCGTCAAGGACAGGCACGGACATGAACTAGACAGGACAGACACCATAGCGCTGTCCTGTCTACTTCATGTCGGTGTCTGTCCTTTGCGCTTTTTAATTCAATATGTTAATTAAACCAACTAACCCACCATAATATTTTAAAATCTGCTGTGCCTAAAGGTGATTAATATGCCACCTGTGAAGATGTGCGGAATCACTCTTATCGTACTTTAAATGGTGTCGCTTCTCAGCTGATGCTAGGTATGATAACACTGAACTTTGCCAATGGTATCAGCTGCTCCAGTTGGTGCAATAGGAATTGCTATAGATTTGGTGCAATAGCAATTGCTATAAAATCCTACTGGAACAATCCTAAGCACTCCCTTTTTAAAATGGCGACATGTTTGATGCACACTTGCATTATGCTACGAGGCTTTTCTTCCTCTGGATTTTGGATTTTAAGAGCAGGGATTTGTTAGAATCTATAGCAGTTTGTAGTACAGATTTGCTTGGCTCGACTGTGCTTAGCTGCTTTTTCCCTTTGGCAGGGAATTTGCCAAGAAGGCCCATGCAGAGATAGCCAAGTTCCAGGTGCAGAAAGACAAGGACATCAAGGAGGCTCTGATTCTCTACGTCATCTCACAGATCAAGCTGTGCAACGAGGTGACCTCCATTGAGCAATACCTCAGGTTTTTATGCAAGGATAGTTGAAAGGATGTTCCTCAGTGTCAATTTTTTTAAATTGTGCATAGTGACCAGCTAGTATACTATTATTGCAGTTAAAATGTGCATCGCCTTTGTTTTTAAGTTTTTGGAGTTTAAGACATTTCTCAAGTTCTTATAAATATTTAGTATGTATTGCTCTAAAACCTGCTGCTAGTAGGGGGCTCCTGTAGCAATGTATGTAGTTGGGCAAGTTGGTGCATACTTCACCTCATAAAAAAGTGGCATGAAAAACACACAGGTAAAAGGCGGTCACAGCCACTCTGCCAACTCTCAACTGCCGATTTTGTTTACTACAGTGATGTCTCGTTAGTGTAGACACGTCTGTTCCCCCAAAAGATTGTCCATAATGTGAGCTGTCCATATTAACGAGGCAAAAATGCATATATTTTCCCAGTTTGTCTCTCAAAATGGTGTCCATATAGCGGGGTATTCATATTAGAGGGGTCCATATTACCGAGACATGACTGTACTTCAAAATGTATGGAAATAAGAGTTAAAAAGAAAGATAAAGGCAAAATAAAGCTAAAAAGCTTCTTGGTTATTAATGACCTTGTCTTAGCAAAGCTGAAACCAAATTCTAGTCGAGGTAGTGTACTCGGAGGCGGTATTTAAAATTGCTTACTCGCAAGGGGGCAGAAAGAGGCTTTGTGGTATTTTGTCTCTGCCACCCATCTGGGTGTATAACTAAGAAATTATAGTATTAACGAGTTTTAGCAGGTGTAGCAAGATTTTTCTTTTTTGTAACATACTGGTTGCATGTAAAATAAGAGCTTTTCTCCAAATGGTCTAAATCCTGATAAAGATAAGCTTAATGCCTCGAACCTCGGTTGACCTCAGTGAAAAGGAACACACAAGCATATACACGTTCCTCAGCCCCAACGAATCTATATATGACAGAGAGAAGATAAAAAGTAGTCATCAGGCAAGCAGAGCACCGGTGATTTGACTGGTTGCAAATATAGTTCATGTTTAAACAAATTTAGTCCTTGCAGAAGAAAAGTACCTCTTGCGTAATTGTTTTTGCAAAATCCGTGCCTTGTTTAATAAGGTTGCACATTATTTTTTCAGTCAATCTCCATCTGGAAAAACCTGCACAGCTGCTTTGAGAAGATGTGAAGCCAACGAACATATCACTTCGTTTTACAATATATGGGGAGAGAATAAAGGGATTTGAAGGGCTGGGAAATCTTTGTGCTCATCTTATTTGTGAATTGGGTGTTTTTCTTGCTGGAATCTTTGGTAGTTTGAATTAAAGAACTTTTTCGCAGCATGTGTAAAGCTGTTTATTGACCAATCTCGGGAGAAATATTGGAATTAAGTAGTTAGACAAAGTGTATGTCCAGTAATAACACACTTATTTTTTTGTTAAGTCCTGTACAGTAGGCTCGCGATAATTCACTCTGATATTTCATACTTCTAGTTAATTCAAATAAATTTCAAAATATTGTTTGTCCCGCTGTTTTTAATGTATTCATGACCCGCCTAATTCGAACGGCATTTCGTGCAATTCTTACTTTTTCTTGCGGCCCCGATGAGTGCACTTTTTTCTTAGCACTAGTGCACTGAAGAGAGGCAACACCTGCGGAGCTTGCTTCCGCGGGTGTTGCTTCTCCGCAGTGCACCGGTGCTCGGTGACAAGCACTCAATGAGGCTCAGGCAGGGCACACGAGTTATGAAAACGGGCACCACGTGGAAATTTCCATAGGAACTTGCGCGGACGCTGTGACGTGGCGGCATGGCATAGGTCCACGTCTCGGCATCTCAGCATCCACTCGGGTTGCTATGAAAGCTGCTGCTCTGTGACCGTTTTCATCACCCGTGTAGTATAAACCGCATGTAAGCAATTTGGTGAATGAGACAAGCGACGGCGACCCGCTTCCCTGTCGCTCGGTCAGTTGTGCGACGAGGCAAACTGCATGAAAGGGACAGGAGCAAGCGACCAAGGCAATGAGCAATGTTTTCTAGAAATCCAAAAACCGTGCGACGCGACCAGCGGCAGTGAGAAATCTCAGTCGCTCGTCGCTTGCGCCACCGCTCGTTTCGTCGCTCGCAAGATCGCTTACATGCGGTTCAGCCTTAATAGTTCACATTAGACAACTTCTTGGACTGATGAACAAACTTAATTTTTGTTTTGAGTTGTCATGTGCTGTCTAAAGAGTCCACGATAAACAACATTTTTGAAAGATAAACTTACATCATACACTTCACAAATGTTTCACGTGTGCATACCTGCTTATGATCAGTTCTAAGCAGAGGAAATCATCAGATATTTGCTTTGTGTGTGTAGCCATTGGTATGGCAAATCCTAATTTTATCTTGCATCATATTAATGGATCTCTGATAATTCAAACAAAATTTGTGGTTACCTGGAGTTTGAATGAACGAGTCTACTGTAACTGGTCGAACTGTTACAGCTTTTATGTGCTGAAACAGGATATTGGCACATTCTCAAAAATTGGCAATTTAAAAGAAAAATATTCAGCTACCAGGAATTGTGGAGCTTGGTCCACCTTTATGAAGTCTGCGATACTATATGATTTTCTATTGAAGGAAGTGCGTTTTACTTTGTTTTTCGTGTAGTATTGAGCTGCTGTTTCAATAGCTCTCATTGCTGGTAACACAATGGTAGCAGTGGTAACACAATGCATTTTGTGTTGCATTCTAGTAATGTTATAGATGAACTTGGGGTGCATCTGCGCCTCGACGGAGTAAACATAGTTGTTTAGCATGTCTCAAATAAAGTGCCGACACTGCTATTCTGCCCCATCCAGTTTTCTCCGAAGCACACACTTGTCTTCTTCCACTCCTGCACTCTCCCCTCCGCCATATGTGGTAAAAGGGATGCGCTCGTAACACCCTTTCGTGGCAACAGCAGTTGAAATCACTTTCACACTTGGGAATTGCTTTCTAATGCAGTTTTTATTATTCAACTGGTAAACGGTACGTCAATATCTGTACAAGAAACATGCTAGTGTACTGCACTTTTTCTTCAGAATAAGTCCACTGCCCAACTTGTGGTAAACCCACACTATTCAAGAGTGCGATCACTTTTAAAAATAACTAAAATGCCCAGGAAAATAGCCTCCTAAGCATCACATTTAGCAGGCACTTTCAGCCTACTCATCACACACACAAAAGCATTCTCAATCCACTACAACATGACTTAGACAGCTCAATTATGAGGCCCTGGATAGTATCAGTGTCTCGGTGCTTGGAATTCTCTGGAATTTCTGTCGAAGCTCGATGAAGATTTCATTCAGATGACGCAACAAACAATGAATGACGTGTAGTACACCGCAAACGCCTAACGCTGCACCGCCAACATTGCTGCAAGGTGTTGGGTACAAAAACTTGCCCCACTGGTGGCGGAACATCGCATTAGCACACTGTTGCAGCGAAAAACAATACTGCCGCAAAAGAGATGGTGCCATATTGTTCCAGCACTGCAGCAGGCCATGTTGCACTGCCAACTCTACCTGCAGAATTTGAGTTTCGTGAAATGCAGCACGGGCACATTGCTGGAGTGAAGAACCATGTTACGCTGACACTGATGTCGCAAGAACATGCCCCAAACAGAGCGGTACACCGTTGCAGCCAAGTCGAGAGTTGCAAGGACAATGCTGCACTGCTAGTCACCCCAACCAAAAGCACTCGTGCATGGAAGGCAAACAGAAAAAGTGAACGATGAGTGGCTTTGGCATGAGTGTTCGCTTCCGCAGAAGAGCGACATTCACACGAAGCAGGCACACGTGGCTCTTTCTAAGGCTCTGGATAGCCCTCGTCGGACGCTTCGCTTCCCGGCTGGGCGTCCGCCCTTTGTTGCTGCTGCTGCCACATGGAGGCGTAGAGGCCGCCATACTCCAGAAGCTCTTCGTGACTGCAAGTGTGGAGGGATGGGTGGTATTGGCTATACTCTTTGTGTAGGGCTGTAGCTTGTGCCACCTAGCCTACAGGAACGATGTCTTCAGCTCTGTTTCCTGTGTTAAAGCACTGCCATTTTAACTCCAAGATAGGTCAGCCACTTAGTAATGAATGCCCACTAACCACTTAAAAAGAGATTGTGTAGAGAGCAAATTGGTGAGATTCATGGAAGTATCTAGCAGATAATGAGGCAGAGATAATATTTGGACTAACAAAATAGGGCTCTGCAAATATTGAAATACGTAGTACTGAATAATACATTATTTCAGCAGTTCTCAAACTGAGGTTCGTGGAACCCCAGGGGTCCTCGGAGCATTCATGGGGGTCCACGTTAAGTTAAAAAAAAAAAAAAGAAAAGCTCTAAAAGAAACAAGAAAAGTCCTCTTATGCCAGCATTGCACAAAACTTCTGATGCAAAGTGCATTGGGGGGCCTGTGGGTCAGAGGGTCCATGACAGGCAAAAGTTAGGGAACCGATGATTATTTGATGTCCACTTTGCGATGAACTTATTCATACACTTTGAACTGTTGGCAAAGTCACAGTCGTGACGAATAGCTAGGCCCCTTTGAGTGTGCTTCTCACTGAGTTCCAGTGCATCGTGGATGAGCGATACCCGCAGAACGGACACCGTGATCCCGCAAATATCGCTTTGCCGCAGTGCAGCTAAGTGCACAGGGAAAGAGTATTACTGGTGCAGGCTCGCGTGTGGTGCATTTAAAACTTGGACTTGATGGATGTTGATATCTACCTTGCAGTAAAATTTCCAAAATTAAACTATGACTATTATGTCTTGCAGCAATGTCCTGGGACAATGTGTATCATTAGACCCACTGTTTTTTTTTGTTTTTTTTTTTGTAATTGAGATTGAAGGATGAGTATTTGGGCATGGCAGGAGGATTTATAAATACCTTGAATTAGGTATACATAGCTGGGCATCACTCTAAGTTTAATTTCATGTCAAATCCATTGTATACTTGCCAGTTCTATGTGGGCCTAGAACTGTATAAAATCACTATCAATATACTATAGCTGGATTAAAATTAACTAAGCTCAGCTGTAGACAAATAAAAACTTTCAAATAAATTCAGCTGGATTTTCGCGTAGTCTTGGTACGACAGTAGTGAAAGGCTTGGAGAAAGCCGCAGCGTAAATATGATTTTTGATTTGAAAATGTTCAACCCAAATAGCTCTTTGCTTCAAACTCAAATTTTACGCACATGCCTAGCGCAAAAGGTATCTTTTGTGCTGGGACACCGAGCATTGTATCCTCGTAATCTCAGCACATCTGGCACTTGAGGGCCAAGCATTCACAAGCACCGTCATTCTCTAGGGCTCTGGCAGTGGCTTACCTCCCAATTTCAACAATCTCTCCGTCTTGCAGCACGAGTATCTGGTCGGCGTGAATCACAGTTGACAGCCTGCCAAGAGAGGAATGCAGCCTTTACAACCCTGTCTTTTTCCCACAAAAATTTTATTGCAATGGCCACACTTCTGGTAAAGTTTGCTCTGGGATCGGTGGCCGAGTGGGCTGGCGCACACCAGCTCGGAGCACGTAAAGCGAAACCTCACGCTGCAGAACCCACGGATTCTGGGTTCAATGATTCAATTTCCACCCCTGCCCATTTCGATCTGGATGAGCATCATACCGGTGTGCAGTCGTGTAGCGCTACTGCGTGGTGCACGTTAAAGACTCCAGGCTAGCTGTTGTACTGCACTGGCTAAATTTCTCATTTACAGCTAAGACACCAGATGCGTATTGAGGCTGACTGACTTCCGGCTGTCTAAACATACATACATTATTATTTAAGCTGTGCCCTTGGGCAAGGCCTAAACAAAGCATTTTCCAATTTGCTTGACAGTATAATATATAGGTGCTTTGTGCTGGCTGGTGCCTTCAGCTTTAACATTCTTAGTTGTATGCATCTGTTCTGAAGCATACCACCGATTTTTAGGTTCTTTATGGTTCTTCAACAGATATTGTCGCAGATGGAAACATACTGACAAGCGTAAAACTGAAAACAAAGGTTTAAACAGGAAACTTCCACCGCAAACAGAAGAAAGAATGAGCATAGAGAAAGCAGCAGCGAGCACCAAAGGCAGCAGCAGCAAGCGTCAAGGTGTCGGCGTGACAGCTGGCTGGTGCAAGAGTGACTCGGCAAAGCCACGCTGGGTTCCTTATCTACCGCACGCAGTATCTTAAAGGGATGGTGAACCGAAATTTGGATTTCAGAAAGCAATGCAGGAGCTGTAGGCGGGACGCTACAGTCCCCACAACACTACTCGTAAGGCGATATCTCAAATCGACGGCCGTATTTTTCAAAAACAAAGGTTGAAACTGAACGGGGCCGACGAGGTGCGTGACGTCAAGATATCTCGTTTTCTCCTCTCTTCGTTTTGCCCCCTCAAGGCAGCGAGGTGGAGAAGACGCGAGGCCGTTCCCTCCCCTTCTCGGAGAAACATGACGTCAACCTATCTGTCAAATGTGCCTCCTCTCCTTGAAAAATACGGTCATCCGTTCAATATATCGTTGTAGGAGTGATTTTTTGATGTTTCTAGCATCCCGCTGCACGCTTTTGCCGCCGTGCTTTGTGGAATCCAGATTTCGGTTCAGCATCCCTTTAAATTTTCGGCCTAGATTGTTCAAGCGTCAAACATTTGGATTAAGAGTAAACACAAATCTCCTAGAAGTATGGAGTAGTAGCATTCCCTCTCGGCCCTACATGCGTCAATAATATAGTAGTTTCTTAAAACCTTGATCATAAGGAACCAATGTCACTAAGTTTGGGGGCATCACTGAGAGGGAGAAGGAAATTTGTAATAAAAAAACAATACTAAGAAATACTAAACAAAAAGAGGATTTTCACACAGCTAGCCAATTAGATGATCACAGCTAGCCAATTCTCGAAAACAAAGCATCGCAACTAAGACAATTCTAGAACCATCAAATAAGTTTCTCACCAGTGCCCCATTCTTTCCCTGCAGTGCTGCGAGTTTACTTATGGCATTCACCCGGTGTTGCTCAAATTGTAGCGCGACCGCTTGTGGTGGTGCCGTCATTGTGAACACTCTCCTAGCTGCCAGATCTGCAACTGTCCCATTTTCTAGCAGTGACTTTGCACCTTATTTCCCTCTAGGGCCACTAAAGAAGCTTCAGAGCATGGACATTTCAGGCATTTTATTGCTAAAAATCACTGTTGAAAATTATCTTAAGCTTTGTCCAAAATCATCATAAAACACTTTCCTGTACTCCAGAAATGTTAAAATGCTCACCTGTGTGCCACAATGAGCGTGGTCCTGTTCCTGCAGATCATGTCTAGCGATGCCTGAATGTTGCGCTCGGTTTGAGTGTCCAGAGACGAGGTAGCCTGGAGACAAAGAAAACCGAAAGCCTTTATACTCTGAAATATTGTGGTGCGTACGAGTAACACTGAAGTGGTCCTTGCAGCAAACACAATTACTTGCGCGTATAGTTAAAACTAAAAATAGGATCACTTTCAGGTATCTCAGATGGGGGTTAGGTATGTCAAAATTGTAGAACAACAATGTTACTTTGGCCGGCGCTTTGTACGCCAACCAAAGAAGTGGGCGGACGCATGTGCCACTAATGAATTATGACGAGCAACATATTGATAGTTTCTTATAACCAACCTTTAACCACACAGTTATTATTCACAAATAGAGGCATTTTTAAACCATTCTCGTTTTATACATTTCACGGTAGTGATGTACAAGCAGATGTCCGGATTCCAAAATCAACAGTAGACTGGCACCACATTGCGAACATCGCAGCCCTCCCATGAAATTTTAAAGTAGTCTACACTATAAAAGAGTGACCTTCCTACATCTCCACAGCCATATCAGCAGCTTATCAACGCGGTATCAACGTTGCAGCATACTAAAAGTTGACCTTACAATGTTGGTATAATTTACCTACTATATGTGCACAGATATCACATGGGGGCTCCTCTGTAAGTGCAGACTACACTAAGAATAATACAAGTGGATAGCCTAGTTGGTTAAACAAAAGAAAACAAAAAAACAGTTTGCATGAAAGATAAAGAACAAGTAGAAGACTGGACTGTTGATATTTGTTGATATGAAAAACACTGGCCAAGTGGCACAAGCCGCCACCCAATTTACAGGCTTCAGCCATGTGCTTGGATCTAGGGTTGTGCGAATATTCGAAATTTCGAATAGTAGTTCTGAATAATACACTATTCGATATTCGCTTCGAGAAGAACTTCACTATTCGCGTTTTTCAAAGTGTTGATTGCGGTGGGTTAGTCCCGTTGAGTGCGCTTCTTACCGAGCACTGGTGCACTGCGGAGAAGCAATACCCGCGGAAGCAAGCTCCGCGGGTGTTGCTTCTCCACATTACATCGGTGCTCGGTAAGAAGCGCACTCAACAAAGTAACCCGCCGCGACAAACACTTGGAAAAGTATGAATATCGCAGTTGCGTGCTTGGACGCAAAACATACGTTCAAAGCGAGATGGTGCACGCGTGCCGGCTGTATATGAAAATAAATGGAAACTTTGTGAATGTGTATACTGTAAAACCCTTTATTTTCGGGGCCCCTATTTTTCGCGAATCGGTCACAGGACATATCGCGGCCACTAAATATCGCGATTTCCAGGGACCTACAGTGAAATTATTTAAGACAGAATTTTTCTCGTGCCTTTAAGTTTCGAAAATTTTTCAATTTGCGAAAATTAAGGGCTCACAAACATTAAGGGTTTTACAGTATCTACATTGTAGTAAAAAAAGTTTTAAAATTAAACTGACTGTTTTGCAAGAGTATATGTTGGGCAGAGGTGCCCTTACAACCTGCATTCATCATGCGCGAGTCATTCTTTTTTAACTCGAAATTAAAGAAAGAATATTGAAGATTTGTAAATTCACTAAATTGGGTATATTTGGCCATTTCCATTGGATTCATTTTATTACAAATTTGTTGTTTACTTACCATCCCAAGACATCAGACCTTCTGAGGTCACAGTTCATAAATATAGATAGATTAAACTTGGCTTATAAATGAACAGGTGGAACAACCTTCAGAAGTTTCGCTGGGGTTTTGTCTAAGCATTATGTTTGGTAGTGAAAGGCGTGGAAAAACTATTCGATATTCGATTCGAAAATATTCGGCCAAAACCAATATTCGCTTCGAACTCAAAATGCACTATTCGCACAAGACTACTTGAATCCATCCAGAAACATACCTCGTCCAGCAGCATGATGGAGGGTCCCTTGAGGAGGGATCGAGCGATGGCCACCCTCTGCTTCTCGCCCCCAGAGAGCTTGAGTCCCCTCTCCCCAACCACGGTTGCGTAGCCCTTGGGGAATGCCAAAATCTGCTGGTGAAGCTCCGCTGCCCTTGCGGCATCTTCCACCTCCAGATCGCTTGCCTCCACCCGACCATACCGAATGTTATACCTGCGTCGTGGGTGCAACATTTTTTAGACGTTTCTTTGATTGTGCTACAGTAAGATCTGCCTACACCTCTCGTCCTCATCTGAGGCGGCGCTTGTTTCTGAGAAGCTGCTGTAAATTCGACGTGCTGCGAGAACATGTAAGCTGCACACTATTGTGGGTAGGGCGGTACGAGTAAACTTGAAACATTTGTGCTACAGTGAAATATGCTGGTGCTTCTTGCCTTCACCGAGTCTGTGCTTCTGCGCGAGAAGCTCTTGTATATAGCAGGGGTGGCCAAGCTGCGGCTCTTCACACGTTAAAGTGCGGCTCGCGGCACCCTTTCCCTACAGCCCCCCCCCCCCCCAACCCACTCATCTGCCTCCCTCCTGGTCACACAATGGAACTTGTTTTAAATCGAAAGGCAGGTTGCGGTTTGGTAGTCTTGTGCTACTGCTACATTGAAAGTAGTTCGAGCTTTGTTTATTGATCTGAACAAAAGTTTGCCCCCCCACCCGTGGCTCTTGGAAGTTTCGTGGTTTTGTTTGCGGCTCTTAGGCCGGGTCAGCCTGGCCACCCCTGGTATATAGGCTGGCTACCTATAAGCCGCACACTACTTACTATCTGGCAGAGCTTGAAAACGTTACTTTAAAAAAGGAAAGACGTTTACAATTCTCCGCAATGCCGAATTAGAGCGCAGCTCTTGAGGAGGAGGGGAGGGTGTGCTCCTACTCCCCTCACCCCCTCCTTTTCTGCTTCCCTCCCATTTAGCAGGAAATTTTCGCTAAATTTTCCGCTCAATTTAAGGGGGAATTTTTCAGCTAAATTTAGCGGGGAAATTTGATCGCAAAATTTAGCGGAAAATTTTTCCGCGAGTTTCAGCGGAGAAATTTTCCGCTAAAGTTAGCGGGAAAATATTGCCGCTAAATTTAGCAGGGAAACTTTGCGAAAATTTTCTCGCTAAATGTAGCGGGGAAATTTTCCTATAATGGAACGCGCGGTTACGCCCGCTTACATTATTTTCATAACGCAACGCGCGCGGTTACGTTGACGGCGACGCCACTCAAGCCGGAAACAGGCGCCGAAGAGCTGCGTTCTAAAACAAAATAAGTCACAGTTCTATGAGCTGAAATGCAAATAACTTATAAGTTACTGTTTACTTTCTGGTTTTATTAACCGAAAAACACCGATAAACATCCGCCGGTCTCGAAAATACAAAATCGGTGAAAACCGAAAAACACCGGTTCTTTTTATATTTTCAAGCAAGCGGGTTTTTTTTTGTTGTTTTTTTAAAAGTTTTGCATACTTTCCAGTTTTAACCGAAAAAACACGAATAAATACTCGCCGGTGACGGAAATAGAAATTGTTCAAAACAAAAAAGCACCGGTTTATAAATATTGTTTTTCTAGCAATGTGCTTTTGTTGTTGTTGTTTTTTTTCACAGAAAAGATTTTACGCAAACTTCCGTAAAGCACATTATCTTAACCGGAATCATGCACTTTGCTTTTGCTTTATGTCTTTTGTGACCTACTTGGTCTTGGACCCTTGGAGGACAGTAGCTTTGTTCCACTGTTCTCCAAGGTCAGCGGTCCTCCTGGCCGGCCGAGCTAGAAGATCACTATCAATGGCCCGAGAGGCCAGTCACAGCTGGCCAGTACTGTCCCAAGCCTCAAGAGACGTTTTGGGACCTCTCGTGTCCAGCACAAATGTTGAGCGGGCATTATTGAAACTCTGCGTCGTCAACTGGAAGGAGCGGGCGTCAGTGACAGACACGAGCCTAGGAATGTATGCATGCATATACTACAATAATCAAGTATGAAAGAGGTTGTGTAAAAGATGTAAATAAAATTTGGACTGTTTTTCGACTTCAGCGGTAGTTTACATTCGCAATTTTTACCCCCGATAATCACCGTTTTAGCGTTTGCACGAGAGAGTTCACCGAAAAGCACCGGTATTGGTGAAATAAATAAACACCGATAAATATCCGCCAATTTTCGTCATAAATAAACACCGGAAAGTATACACCCTACTTATAAGTTATGAATACAGTAGGCTTGCAATAATACAAGCTCGGATATTTTATACTTCTGGCTAATTAAAACATATAAAAACATTCGGGTTGTCCCGCTATGTTTTAATGTATTTACAAGCCGCTTAACTCGAACAACGTTTTTGTGCAATTCATACTTCTTGTTCTTGCGGACTCGTTGAGCATGCTTCTTACTGAGCACCGGCGCACTGCAGAGAAGCAACACCCCTGGAGCTCGCTTCCGCAGGTGTTGCAACTCTGCAGTGCACTGGCGCTCGGTAAAAAGCGTGCTCAACAGGGCTAATATTCCGTAACAGAAAACTTTTTTGCTGGACGAACAAACTTAATCTTGTTTTGAGGTGTCATGGGTCGTTTAAACAGTCCATAGACAACATGTTTGAGAGACGAATAAGCTTATCTCATACATTTACCCAATGTTTCATGTGTGGCATACCTGCTGATGATTAGGAGGCTTGTGCAGAGGAAATCATCAAACATCTGCTTTGTATAGTTAGTCATCCATATAAAAAATCATAATTTTATCTTGCATCATATTTCAACGAATTTCTGATAATTCAAACAAAATTTGTGGCTTCCTAGAAATAATGAGTCTACTATACTTATGTTTTTACAAATGTATCTAGGTAGGTGAAGTTACAGTTACCGAAATGTAAGAAAGTTACATTCAAATTGTTTTTAGGATATCACATGACAGCAAGATTTGCTACAATTGCTCTCCAGCAGTTGAATTTCCGTCGTAAAAAAGGATGCCGGCACAGTTCCATTCTAACTCACTGCTCTGTTCATTTAAAAGCGCGAGGCAGTAATAGCATGCATAGTCGCTGACAGAGTGGGAGCGGCAGGGTGTGTATTTCGAATGTCCAGGCTCCAGATCGTGCTTCGTGCCTTCCGTCGTGCTTTGGATGTGCGTGCATGCTCGAGGTGCAAAAGATGTTGAAGCATTGTTGAAGGTGAGAAGCTGGCACTGGAGGCGGGACAACTAAAGCCCTTCCCTGCCATTTTAACCTTGTTGGTGACTACAGTAGTGACATTAAAAAAAAACAGAAGCAGGTCTGTATTTAAGGAAAGACGCTTAAATTGTCTCTATTTGACCTCAAAGATTGCAAATATCAAAACTATTTCAGATACATGTGCCAAGTCGACGCATCAGCTTTTTAAGAATAGCGCTGAAGAATAACGTTGAAGCCACAATAAAAGTTTTCAATCAATCAGCCAGTGCATTTGGTGGGAGGAGGGAATCGCGACGTATTGTAGAGACCTCGACATTTCTGCACCTTTTGCAAGCCTTGCCTGACCAGTCAAGAACGTTGCACGCATTCCCTTGCAAACGACATGCCCAGGGCAAGTGAAACCTCTGGGTATGATGTTGCACCCAGCAGTTGATTTTTTTGGTTTTTCTAGCGTCTATCGATACATTCAGGTCAAATGCTTCCGATATTCAAAAAATCACAAGACAAATACATGCTACAATTCACGTCTAACTCGTTTTCTTTATTTTTTTTTGACAACCTCTTCAGTTTGCCTTTAAGAATAAATCGATGTGAATTTGCATGTCTGTCAACATAATTTCGATAAGTAAAAGACATTTATTTGAGCGGACAGACTTTGAATGCCAAATGATGAACCGCCAAAACAGGCCATACCTAATATCGTTGTTGAAGAGCACCGTGTCCTGGGGCACTACGCCTATGACCTGCCGCAAAGACTTCTGCTTCACCTGAAACCAAAATTTACAAAAAGCCAATTGGTAAGGCCAACTGTCTTGATGATAATAAGCTAAAAGACAAGAAGACATTACAGCTGGTAACCAAGTAAAACCAAAGAGAATGGGGCTAAATTCCAGGAAATTGACACTCGATGCAACATATGCAGCCACGAAAGGGAAACTATAGAACACATATAATTTTAAGGAGCACGGGGCTTTGTCCCACCCTCTTGGGGGGGATGACTACGGATTTGGAGGGGGCACTGGAATTTACAGACATGGATGGACGAATGGATAGGTAATTGCGGTAACTAAGAGGAGATGGGAAGATTGGTGGAAAAGAGCTAGGGAGGGGTAAAAAACAATACAGATAAAAATAAGCAATGGAATGACTTTAAAAAGGTGGGGGGGGGGGGGGGGGTTGTGTTATAACAAACATTATACAAATGTAACAAAAAAAAAAAGAAAAGGATGATGAAATGTTAGGCTAGGTGGCGCAAGCTGCCGCCCGTTACAAGGGGTATAGCCATTGCCATCCATCCATCCATCCATCCATCCATGGTAATAAAACAAAAAGAAGGTGACCAGCACATTCTAAATGCTAGTTTCAATGGCCCTGAGCGCATGCTACAGCCCACTGTTTTTGCACCTTTACGGGAGTCCTACCGAGTCATATTTTCTTTCCAATGTGCTAAATATAACTCGCAGGTACCCTTTCTGTTCGAACAAGTAAAACATAGGAATTTTTGAATGGAATGAATATGTTAGGTTAAACGCTGCTTATTAAAAAAAGCTTGCTATTTCTAATAAGTGCCTGTTGTCACATTGAAAGCAACTGGTTCACCTGACTGACTTCCTGACCATCGATGGTGATGCTTCCGCTCTGGATGTCGTACAGGCGGAACAAAAGACGGATGATGGTACTCTTGCCGGCACCAGAGGGGCCCACCTGTGCCAAAAGAATGCAATCAGAAAAAAGTTTGGCCATAACATTATAAAAGTTACTGGCAAAGTGGGCTCACCAAAATAGCTCTTTGGTTTAAAGAGAAACGAGTATACCCCCAGCAACATACTTTGGCTGAACAGCCACAAGCTTTGGCAATCTCATAATTTCGTAGTTGCACATTCTTTCAATTGTTGGTATGTCGCATAAAAGCTGGCCAAAAATAGCTTGTTGTATGGTCGAATGAAGAATGCACCTCTCCTGACCAAAATACAGCAAATGGTATTCAATCCTTTGCCAAGAATTTGCGATTCAAGAATAACCATGTTGCAGGAAACTGATAGAGTTTAAGAAACGGTGGGAGTTCCAGGAAAGGCCCAGTGTTGTTTCACCCGGTTAAACTGAGAAACGTCCAAGCTGCACCAAATACACCTGACGTTCAATCAGTTTACGACAGTTTGCATTAAAAATGCTCCCATGGAACGACAGCAAGGGCGATGTTTCAGCACTCACGAGTGCAATCGTGTGACCGGCAGGCACGGTGAAAGAGACATTCTTGAGGATGGGACGCCTGGAGAAACAAGAGCGAAGACGAGTCACGGGCGCTCATACCCCAGAGGCACTGGCATTGGCGAGTTGAGAGAGAACGGCTCGAGAGACAAGATGGGAGTACAGACTTACTCGGGATTATAAGAAAAGCAGACATTGTTGAACCGAATATCTCCCTTGGTAAGCTTCAGGTTGGGAGCATTGACTGCATCTATCACCTGTGACCGAAAAAAGTGAAGGGTATAGTTTCCAAGTTTCAAATGTGCTTCATTATAAAATGGCAAATATTGCTAAATAAAATACATCCATTCACTGATCCTCAATATTAGGTGATCTGCATGGGCATGCACAAAATGTGAACGAAAAGTACAAGTGGGAAGAACGATAAAACCCACGTATAAATGGAAAACCTTACCTCTGCCTTGGCATTGAGCAGATCAAACATGTTTTCCATGTCTATGAAGGATCGCTGAATCATCCTGGAAAAGGGGTCAATCTTTGTGAAACAACAAAATATGTGTTCTTAGCAATTGAGAAACATCTCTCAATTCACATGTATGTTGCATAGCATGTATGATTTGAATGTGCTCAAACAACTCATGCCCATGTCAGCTTAATCCATAATAAGGTATTGTCTATGATATATATGTATAAAGGGTGATACATTTTAGAGGGTGACATCACCTTCAAGTGTTGACTTTTAAGCCAGTTGCTCCATATTGATGAAATTTGGAGGGTCTATTCATCTCTTTGCCTAAATGCACTGTATGATGTTTCACCTCGATGGGACGATTTAATGATAAGATACGGGGGGAGGTAGACAGCTACTGATGTAAATTGCCTCACTTGGCAAGAAAATCTATCATATAAAATTGCTCCAAAATATTAAGCATTTCTAAGCTTCGGCCTTAACTGAAGATATGGGGGGGGGGGGGGGGGGGGGTGCGGCTACCTATTTTTTACTCTGAAATCTGCATTTTTTTCTATGCAAAATGTAAATTTCAAAAGCATTCCACATAATAGGACATTTTTTCCTCATCAAAACCCTACTTTTTGGCAATAAGAACTTCATTTAAATAGAAAAATAAATCTCTAGTCGCATTCCTCATTAAATTTCAGTTCAGAAATATCCAAAGCGAAAAATAAATTCTGTAATTCATTCATCGAAATAATATTTCCAAAAACGAAAGTTGCTGCAAAAAAAGTGAAAATGAAAAAAACCTATTCGAAGTTTCAACATCACTACATTCAATTTTACTGGTGGTGGTTGAAACTAAAAGGCACCAAGAGCTGATCTCCTGCATGGCTTTGCTGAGTGAGGCCGAATTTAAAAGGGCATACTACCCAGAAAAAAAAAACATTTCTGCAAAAAAGGTAATTTTGAAAAATGCCATATTTACATCCAACATCTGGAGAGTATTCACAGAAAGTTTCATTTGTTTACACAGCATAGTTATTTTCTATAAATTATTTTCGGTCCACCGATCCTAAAGAAAAGGTAGAGGTTCGGGCAATTTGAACGTGTTTTTCTCAGTTCTGCTTTCTGGCGTCAAATTCCGCTTTAATAAAACTATCGTTTCAATATGAAACTATCGAGAGACTTGAAATATTTCCGATTTTTATGCCGAAATTTTTTGGAGCCGGTTACTATGAACTTAGATTTTGCATTTTCATGTTCCTTTATTATGAAAATTTGTAATTTGCAAAACTTGGTAAATGTGAAAAAAAATTTTTTTTCCTAAATTCTTTTTTACTTGAGAAGTGCATATTTTCTTAAGTTTCTATCATAGCAACTGGCAACAGGTATTTCAGTATGCATTCCACCAGAAAAATTTGTGGTTATCAACACCATTTCTCAACAATAGATTCATTGAGCAGATTCCATGTTCGGGGAGTTTCAGCCTTGTGAACCTCATAAAATTGGTTCACAAGGCTGAAACTTTGCATGCCCTCCTTCTACATGGCTACAAACACCACCTGCAAATATCATGCCGATTGAGGGAGCAGTTCAAAGGTTGACATTCCCAGGTAGTCTTCCCCCTTAAAACGCTTTCTTCAAATGTCGTTTTGTTGTCGGCGTGTGGACATTGATTGTGAAACGAGTGAGGAATTGGATATGCTTGCAACACACGAACCAGCATTGGCAATTATGGGCGGGACAAGCATCGTCGAAGTACAAAGCAGACAAACCCATGCGACTTTCTATAAACAAATGTTGGCTTTAGTCAGTTTTCTGTTCAAGCAGGACGGGCTTTTGATTCTTGGCCATGTGCATAGCCTCTCCCACGTGAAAGCTGGACTTCTATGGTGTTCTTGACCGAATAGAGTTTACTCTTGAACAAAAATGTTTAATGTACTAAAACTGTGAAGAAATACTTTTTAATGGAGATTATAATTATCATTCTAGGGCATACTGCTGCAAAGCTACATTATTACATAGTAGTAATTAATAAGTTAGACTCGCTAAATCTAGGAAGTGCGACAAGTCTGACAGTTTGATTTGACACTCTTTAGTAACGCTACGCTCAAGCCAAGCATATAACACTCCATGTTGACGAAAGCAGGTGGTTAAAAACCTTAATCTTGCAGCCACTAATGTGGAAAGCTTGAACATTTTAGACAAATACGCAAAGGTAAGGAATGAATGAAGACACCAATATTGTAACAACCATATCGAAGTCCAAGTTTTAAAAATGTTCAAAGAAGGTACCTGTAGTATGTGCCCAGGAAATTGAGTGGCGTGTACAACTGCATGATGTAGGTGAGGAAGAGGACATAGTCTCCCACCCCGAGCCCCGCCGACTGATCCACCACCATGTGTGCACACAGCAGAGTGCCCGCCAGCACCCCCAGGGCAATCACCAGCGTCTGGCAGCTGTTCAGCAGGCTCAGCGACGCGTTGGTGCGCCACTCTGCCACCTGCGTCGCTCATACGACTGAGTTTCACTCGGGTGATTGAATGTGATGCACAGGTACTCTCACCGCTGAAGTTTGGTTTCTTTCATACATTGGCCCACATTAATCACCATTTATATTGCCTCTCGCATGTTGGGGCACCCGGGCAAAGTTACAAATTCCGACTGGTCCAGTGAATGAAAGATGTCTACAGTCGCCAGAAACGACACTGCTGTGTTTGGCATCCCCATTAGCCCTCTTGCAGGTTGGTATGAATTGGTAGACACCTATATCGAATTCAAATTAGCGTAGTTTGGAACTGATTGATGCCAACCGACTGATGGAGGTTCCATGCTTTAAAAGCTGATACAGATTGATAATAAACAAAGGCAAAAAATGGATGCTTTCTACGTCTTGAAGTGAACTTGTGATGTTTGAGGAAGGTCGACCTGAGAGTAGTTTCCTTGTTCACCGTTTCCACCTCCCATTTTCTTTTTATCTGTGGCTGTGGCAAACGAGACTTCCATGTCTGCATTTCTAAGAGCTTATTTTCACAGGTATCTTGATCATTTTTCTTCTTTCACGATTAACGGAAGCCACAGCAGGCTTACAAAATGAAGGCGTAAGCTCCTGGTACATGCATGGTGCAAAACACTTTGACAAAAATACCTAAATATATCGTCAACATACTTTCCGGAGCTGTCAACTAAGAAGCAGTCAGGGTCGGGTAGATAAGACTGACGTAGTTAATGATTGCTCTAAAGGCAAGGATGTTGAAAATCTTTTTAGGTTTCATACACATAGTGCATCCATTCTGCAAAATTAATTTTGAATGAACCAGAACCTTTTCTTAATTATTAAGAAGCCAAGTTTATGAGTGAAATACAATGCTATGCTTGTATGTGCAAAGCCCTCACCTGATACTTCTCAATGCATTCCTTGTAACCAGCAATTTCATAGTCTTCTGCATTGTAGTATTTCACCTGAAAAATAGAAACACATTCCACTAAACACTTGTATGTCTGAAGCCCTAGCTTCGTGACTAAGATACAATTAAAAAATAGGCACAAAATGCCGTTATTGTCTCTGCTGGATGGGTATTCATAAACTAACAAAAAGGTTGTAGTTCTGTCATACACAGAAACTTCTGTTCTGTTTCCAACCCTGCAATCTTCTTTTTTTTAAATTTTATTTGACACAATACATGATCGTCCACCAAAAAAGCTCAAGGTACACCTAAGCATTTCTTATGAGTTGAGAATGCGAAAGCATGCAAGCCGCCCGCCCACTCCCTTTGTCGTCTGCTCGTCTGCTGCATACCAGCGCGCGCGCGCTTTGGGATCTCGGAGGCCATGGCGCAACGGCCAATGGGGGCCCCGCCGACACGCACCAGCTGATGAAACAGAAGGCGCGCGGAAACTATCTGCCGTTTTCGTGCTTCCAACTGATGACGTCAGCTCGCTTCATGAAACAGTTAATGCTCTCGCATTAAAAGTAAGACCAGCCTAAAGGTTAGTAACTTGTTCCAGCCTTAAAATGCCACCGAGGACTCAAAACTAGAGCATTATTTGTAGTTCTCGAGAAACCTGTGAATGGCCCACAGTTGGGGGAAATAGAAGTACCGTCTCAAAATTAAGCAGGGCGTCAACCCCCCTCGCTTGAGCGGCGTTGTCAAGCAGGTTCATCTCTCGCCTGAACTTGGTTCTCCACTCGGTCAGGGCAATGGTGCACGCTAGAAGCAGATGCAAAATGGCTTCATCAGGGCAAAAACTTAAACAAACTCTGATTATAGTGGGATAGAAAGTGAAGCTGACACAACAAGGGAGCAGGGATGGGTATGAACAAATATTTGAACTTTATGATAAAGTGTGCGAATATGAAACTTGTGACTGAAGATTGAACACAAATACATAGCAAAATATGACTGACATGTCACCCGTTTTAAAGCGTGCTGGCGCAAAGCAGTGAAGCCTGATGCACGTGTACCGGTGCAAAGCAATGAACCTTGATGTAAGAAATCTGACAATTCTGAAAACGTTGGGTGCTCATACTTTTCGAATACTCCAAGGTCTCAAGTACTCTGAGCATTAGAAGTGTGTAGCAAATCGAATAGCAAACACAATTCTCAAGTTATTAAAAGTTTTGAATATACCTGCGCACCTCTACTTAAGATCATCTGCTTTTCTTTTGTCTCCTTCCTTAACATATATATTGGTGTTTCTCTCGTGAGTGTGCTTGTCTGGCTTAGTTTTGTAGCTTCAAATTCTAAAAAATCAGCATAAATTCAAATACATGTGTGCTGTACGTGTTAACAGCTGACTGGCAACTAACCCAGTTTTAGAGACATAACACAAATAAGTCACGACATATGGCATTCTATTCAGAAAATGCTATTGTCATACAGAGACGGGTGTGCACTATGCATTTACCGTAATATCCCGAGTCATTGCCCATCCCCGAGTCATCGCCCACCTCCCTTTTTGGGCCAATATCGATTTACAATAAAACACAGACTCATTGCCCACCCCTTCAAATACCCCAATGCTGACTCCGCGATTCGCAAACATTCATCCTACCCGAATGATGCAGCCATGGACCTTAAAGTTGGAGGACGTCTGTGACAAAATAAGACGAAGGAGAGAAAAAAATTTCTCTTTGTTAACGCATTTCCTCCACAAGCGAACTTGAAGTCATAGTGTATCTGTGCGAAAACAAAAGAATGTAGATAACAAAATAGAAGTTTGTCTTGCTTTAAAAAAAATTGGCCCGAAAAAAAAAAAAAAAAAGGAAGTTGGAATGATAACAATGCAGTAGCCATTCAGGGATTGCGAGGAATGCCCCATATCCTGGAATGTAACCGCGGAGTGTAAGGTCAAAGTCTGTCTCTGCCAAAGTAAGGTCCCCGGGAACCCGCTTCTTCTCCCAGCACATCGCGACGGTTGTTTTGCAATGTTTAAGACAAAGTCAACGGGCAAATAAAATTTGCTGGAACGCCGCACACAGACGTTTGTAGAGCGTCCCATTTCGAACTTTGTGATTGCGGTGCCGTCCAAGCCACGCAGCAACGCCGCCTTAACCTGCGCTGGTAGTCCGCCATGCACGGATGCATACATGCATGCACCAAACAAGAAAGTTGCGCAAGAGCTTGCAACTGACAAGGCGCCCGGCTTGGCCCGACACCGAAGTATTTGCCAACGCGATTGCCGGCTTTCCCAGCATCGCTCTTTGTTGCTTCTTTGGTCCGCTCGCTCGTTGTGCCTGGTTAGTTTTTCTATTTTCTTGTAAACCGTTTTCTTTTTTTCTTTTATACTAATGAGGAGAACATAGTGGTGTTACAAACATGCTTCCACGGAACAAACGTTTGCACTGTATGCCGATCGGTGGTGTTCATGACGCGTATGCAAGCAACGGACTTCACGATAGTAAAACATTCATGAGCATTTTTTGCATAAAACAATAAGACTAATTCAAGTTTTGAGTTTAATGTTTAATGTTTAACGTTTAAAGTTCTGCAACCACGCTAAATACTCACAAAACAAAATGGGCATTTTTTCCCCGCTTTTTGAACTTTTTGAGCTCACCCTCCGAGACATGGCCCACCTACTTTTTATATGAACCTCGGGTGGCAGGGGGGTGGGCGGTGACACGGGATATTACGGTACTTAACCAATCATTTGGGTTCACATCCTCGCATCTTTTTTAATAAACTCAGTAAAAAAATAGCTACTATTCATAAGAAGTATATCTCTTGAGGTAGCCCATGGCAACACGCATGCATCTGAGGTGTGTCTGCACAGGTGCCATAGGTAATGTTAAAAATTTGTCGAAACTAGGAATTGCTCAAGTAGAAACATACTGCCACCAAATGGGAACTTACTGAGGTACAAGACCATAGTGACGAACACAATGAGGCCAAACCATGCATTGAAAGACACGGTGAAGTAGACAACAGCCACCACAATGTCAGCTATTGCTGGCAGGATGTTGAACAGGATGTAGCTGTAATGCAAGGGGACAATGCATTGGCAAGATCCTATTCTTTGCGTCCATATCCGTGGAGAAAGAATGTCGGCATGTACGCTAAGGCCTTCTACCGACCTGAGCAGAGAAGTGACGCTGGTCGTTCCTCGATCAAGAATCTTGAGGACTTCCCCTGTCTTGCGGGACAGATGCCACCTCATCGAAAGACTGCATGAAAATTCAGTGTAAACGAGGCAAACTCTTCTCCTGGAATGCACTGGAAATCCCGACTGTCTCCATGCAAAACAGAAAAACGCCCAGCTTTATAAAAAGAAAACAAAATAGAGTATGGTAACTTAGCTGGTGCAAGCTTTCTGAAACTGTTGTCATCTTACAAATGGCATCTGCTTTTAGTCCTCATGCCCTTCTGAAACACTTCACTGTTCAGCAGTCATGTTTGCTGTGCTGTGTGCTTATATTTTTGTTCCTCCTGTATCGTTTCACGTCATTCTGTCTGTCTGTTCGACTGAATGCTGGCAGTACATACGAACAAATAAATAAATGAGGCATGTGCAAGCAGTGGATTTTGAGTTTGAAGAGGAATAGGGGTTCGGCCGAATATTTTTTGATAGAATATTGAATAACTGCGGCACCTTTCTCTGAGCCTTTCACTACTGTTGCACCATGCTTAGATGAAAATCTAGATACCCTTGTGAAGGTTGTTCCCAAGCTTTTGCTTGTCCACTTCTAAGCTCAATTAATTCTAAGTCTAATGCCTACATTGGGGTGGCAAATAAATGGCAGATTTGACATAGAATTAAACCTACAGATATGCACAGCTATACCTATAGTCCGTTGCAACTCAAGCAGGCAGGGTGAGGTTAAGACGGGCCGGCGACGCGGAAGCAGACAGAACGCTGGAGAAGAGAGGGGGAAACCTCCTTCTCTCTTTAGCGTTTTGTCTGCTTCCTCCTCCCTGGCCAGCCTTACCCTTGCCCTACACTCTTGAGTTGCAACGGACTATAATCGACAAAATTTATAAATCTTCTTGCCATGTTTAACTATCCTTTCTTCCATTACGAATTTGAGAGAAAAAAAACCAAAAACACAAATGATGAATACAGTTTCTCAGGATGTCGCTGCCTAACATATAGTAAGTTTAATTTTAAAACTTCTAATGCAAAGTAAATATCGACATTTCCCGAAGCTTCCATTTCTTTTTAAATACAACAGGCGCATCGTGCACCATTTCTGTAGGTCTTGTTTTCTCCAATGCAAGCAGCTGCACAAAGGCGAGGCGAGGGTCGTAGAATTCTGGTGCCAGCTCCGCGGGTATTGTTTCGCTGCATTGCACTGGTGCTCGGCAGGAAGCACACTCACCAAGGCCAACCCGCTGCGATCAACACTTCTTAAAATATGAATATCGCAGCTCACCTTGAAGCCAAAATTGAGTAGAGCATTATTCAAAACTACTATTTGGAAGTTAGAATATTCACACAGCCCTATATTAAATTAATAAATAAATAGAGATGAACATAACTCCTGAAAGCTGTCTCTCACTAAAAACTAAAGAAAAGCTTTTTTGCTGTCATGCCTCTTCTCCCAGCAACCAGGGCTGTGCACAAGGACATACTTTCCAGTTCCAGCGAGACTTACTGATGCAAGTGGCTGTAGAGCTCCACTTCAATCTCCTTCACAGTGTACTGCTGCACAGAGATCCAGAAGTAGGAACGGACATTGGACAGCAGGCTGCTTGAACCTTGGGACCGAAAACACCTCAGCTCATTTGGCATCTCGTCACTGACAAATGCCACTCACTTTTAATTCTAGCTGACACAAGGTGGGGTGAGAAATCCCCTGGATTAGACCATTCTTGTTGCTTTCACCATGCACTACATTGTGCAATATTGTAACGCAGTACTGTGCAGCACTGTTGGCTCTTGTGTGCAATAGCAAGAGCCTATTCAAAAGCTAAGAATTGAAAGACTACAACAAAATACAGCATTCAATAATAAAAGATTCAATCTGTTAAAGGGGTACACCGGCGGTTTTTTCATGGCCGCTGATTTGCCTCAAAATTGGCTGAACAGACCGATAGACTCGGCCCTACGAGTTCCCCAAGTATTGTGTGAAAAGAAATTCGCGAAGTTATTGAATTTTCGAATTTCGTTTTCATCGCGTTTCTCAAACCGGGAGCCCCTACTGGCAACATTGAAGTGTGACGACAGAAACGGTACAAAGTGGGCAGTAAGCCATGTTCCCAACTGATTACAAGAAGTTTGATGGTGGGAAAAGAATGTTTGGCAACTAATTTACTGAGAAGCACGCAAAAAACACTCCCCATACTCTGTTTAAGACTACAGACATGACCTCAAAGTCTGTACCATGTGCGACGTCGCACCACTGAACAGCGCACAAAAATTTGAATGCTGGTTTCGACATCATCTTCATTTACGGTTTTCTCAATTGCTATTTTGAATTTCGAGAAAATAAATAGCATACCATGACAACTGAAGTCCGGGTAGTCAGAAAATACAATTTGTTTAGGTAGCTCAAAAAACGGCCGGAGTACCCCTTTAAAGAGGTAAGTGCAGGGTGCAGAACAGAACAAGAGTCGAAACCGTGCGATTCAAACTCCGTTGATTCAACCAGAGCAGTGAGTTCTCCGCACTGTGCAATACTCTAACAAAGATGCTAGGCTATAGGGGATAATACAAATGTTTGAATGTTGAATACCTTGACCTTGTAGACACCAAAGGAACACGTAAAGCATGATGTCTTGCCAAGGGTAGACCAGAGCCTTTTCGTTTTTTAGGCTGTCCACTGTAAGACGGGGTGGGGCGACAATCAGGCAAGCAGCATTTGGAGGAGCAAAATATGGGGGACCGAAACACTACTAGGACTATTAAGTAATCATCCATAACACTCAACTTGTGTATGTTGCATTGTAATTTATCGTCAAATCATATTTTCACCGCAGTTTGAAAAATAAATCGGGATGGACATCACTCAGAGCAAATAGTAGTACATAATGTAACTTTTTTATACACCTATCACAAGAGTGACAGCGCTTGTCCCATCTGCGTGTTTCTTCTCCTTCGTCCGTGCTTGTTTGCGCTGTTTTTACATTATGATCAACGAATACCAACTAGCCCAACTCTCGACATTAATAAGAGTGATTCTTTGGATCAAATCGGATACAACTAAAATACACCCACCACCTGAATCATGTCAAATTGTATGCAGCAGTTTTCAAACTTTAAACCGAACAATTTTTGCAAGTAAAAACTACCAAGAAAATATCATTTGGGAACAGAAACAAATTTACTTTACATCATAATAGTCTTTAACACTGGACTGCACATAAATAATATTAGCTGCTGGATTTTAAATATTTTTATATGAAAGAGAAGAACAAAATCATAAAGGCCACTTCCAAACAGTTTCAGTCATGGTAAATGTCACCTTGCCGCAATACACCTGTGCTGTGGGGAAAGTGCACTCAATGGCCTGTCCCAAAAAGTTTGAAAATATCAAAATGTCAACATTAAAAGGAATAAACTGACATTTACATCAATATTTTAAAATTTGGAATGTTTGCACATGTCTACTTTTATTTTTGAAACCAAAAAAAGATTTGACAAATGTCTATACTACACAACAAATACAAGAGCAGTTTTAACTGAAAAACACAGGGTGTCTGATGCTTATACAACTCAAAAATAAAGATGAAGAGCTTCCCTTTTGACCTAGAAAATGACTATACTATGGCAAAGTAAAAGTAATTTTATTAATGTGAACACAACACATTAAGGCTACCTCTAAATGGTGTGAAATGCATCTCTATAATAATCACATCTGCCCCCTCCCTAAAAAAACAAAAACGCTTCAGCAAAACCTGTTTGTTGGATCTGTAGCTTGGCATAACTTGCAACTACTCATGATAAACCTCGACCAAGGCGCAAGCTCTCCATGTCTGCTCGTTTTAACGGTGAAAGCTGCAACGGTAGTCTCTCGCAGGTGAAGAAAAGGACAAGTTCCTTCCACAAAGCCCTCCACTCTTTCCATTTTAGCAGAACGAAAGGTGGAAAGAAGGAAACTACCAATCATGGCGAGCGCAGGTGGGAATCACCCAGCTACTTTAAACCTGCAACAGACTTTAGAGGTGGGTGCACACTCTTCAACTGAACTTCAATTCTGCTGCCACTCGGACAAGTGACCTGTATTGAACAACAAGGTCACAGCAGATGTACATAACAGGTCCGTACGCACCCACTTTCTTGCTGAGGAGCGGGATGAAGACGTTGACCGCACGCCCGCTCACAAGGAGTACGAGGCACATAAGCACCACCAGCTGGAGCCGGTGGCTGTGCTTGGGCCATAGGAAGGGGAGCAGCAGCCGCAGTTTGGCCGTGAAGCCCTTGAAGGTACTATGCTCTCCTTCTTCCATCAGTGGCTGGAAACAGTTATCACGAACGGATAGGCTTTTACTTTAATGCTCTGTTCTGTCTGTTTTGATCTGTAAGGTAGCCTTACCTAACACTGTGTTCAAGAACTGCGTTCTATCCGATATCACCCAACGCAGGACAGCAGCGGATGCAACGAGCCGTTCAAGCCAAACCAGCGCTGAAACGTACTGCACCCCTCCCAATGGTTACCTGACACCCGTGCAGCACTGGAATGGCCGAGATGGCTTGTAGCTTTTGCTGCAGTCCATTGTAGGGTGGAACGTAGTAGTAAGATTGGCGAGGCCTCTTTCTGTGTGACGTTTAAGAGTGCAAGAAGGATCCAATGGAAAGAGACTGTACCGTAATCTCTAGATAGTTAAATGTTCCGAAGGTATTGCATGCATTAATTAGCACCACATGACTATCTTGTAGTCTGTGCCTGACCACATATATGTTTTCAGGTCAACCCTGCAGTAGTTGTTATATCAGCATGAAACGTGCTAATATGACGAAACCTGGCGTTAAACATACCCGCACACTAGTGTCGGTATGGTGACGAATTCTTCACCAGTGCCAGCGTACCTTAGTTCTACACTCAGATGCTAAGTAGGATAGGACCGTAACATAAAGCAGAGCTCAAATTCGTTGAGGGTGCCTCTTGTATTCCTCTAAGCCCTCCAACATAAAAGGGATGTGTTGACAAAAGACACGAGCCAAATGGCAAAGCTGCGCTCCCACCTGGCTTTCAGCAGCCTGCACATGTCCTCTACTGTAGAGGAAGTAGTCCCTGGAGCTGGGCACAGAGGGGCCCTTCAGCCCAATGGCAAACACCAGAAGGGACAGCACAAAGCGAGCCGCGTAGAAGGCCATCTCTGCCATGTCCCGCTTACTGCAGCAACAGAAAGAGAACAGCGCCTGTGAAAAAAACTATTTCACACATCTGACATAGTATATTAAATACCACCAACTGCAGTCATGCATTAATATGAATTCCCTGTTACCTGCTAGCAGGAGGCAGCAGGTACTGCCTCCAAAATGTGCCACCTTGTTAGTTGAAACAAAGTAACAACACAAATAGTGGACAAGCTAGGACAAGCAGAAGCACCCATCCTGTTCAGTTCTTCAACCTGTCTTCGTCTGTAACACTATCCGTGTTCTTGGTACTGCTAGCAGATGACACTGCAAATTGTAAGCCAAAAGAATGAACAGTAGACCACACTCACGAGTGGAGATGGAACCACCAGTCGGGGTTGTGCAAGCCCAAGAAGGCTAGTGCCTCCTGGACCATGCTAGCAGCCCAAAAGAGCAGCAGGGGCAGACCATGCCCATGAGTGGGCACGCTGGGCAGGGCCCAGTGGCGCTCTAGGCGGGTCAGCAGTGCAGAGAACACCCAAGCGGGACTCAGGCACAGGGCCCAGACCAGCTGGTGCCCCAAGGGCTCGCCCAGGGCACACTGGGCACCCAAGCGGGCTAGCGCAGATATTGCCAGAAGGATCATCAGGGATACCTAGCGGGAGGAAGGAAGGTGGTTGGAGTGGACCTGTGGTAGACTAGGGCCGGATGGGTTAATGCCTACTATCTTCCATTTTACCATGGACCATGCCTACCATGGTGTGGCTCATGGTAGACTGACCCATCTGGCCATAGCCTACCATAATTCCACTACTTTTAGAGCACAGCTTTTAGGCACCCGTTTCCGGGTTCAGTGGTGCCGGCGTCAAAGTAACCGTGTGCATTGCATTATGATATGTTTCCCCGCTAAATTTAGCGAGGAAATTGATGTCATGTGACCTTAACACCAATTCAGTTTCCCCGCTAAATTTAGTGAAAAAATATGACGTCACGGCTTTGTGTCACGTCACCCATGAACAAATACAGCAGCAGGAGGAAAGGAGGAGAAGGAGGAGGGAGGAGGAGGAGGAGGAGGAGAGGGTACAGAGAAGGAGGGGCCATACCCTCCCCTCCTCCTCAAGAGCTGCGCTCTAGTTTCGCATTAGAGAGATTCGTAAACATCTTTCATTTTTTTTGTAAAGCACTTATGCGGTCAGAGATGAACTAGCAGAGTATTACATCTGTGACAATGAACTTAAAAGCAAAATCCTTTGACTATTGACATCTCCGGGCTAGTTTTAGCATGGCCAGTTCTTTGTGCCCTAATGTGGGGATGAACAAATAAAATGGTAGCTGGTAAATGTCAATCATATGTCTGCCCTCTTCCCCAATGAAGTCTTCAAACAAAAGCAGACTCACATGAAACTTGTACCAGCCAGCCCGCTGTAATAACCTGGTGTCGAGCGGAGTGGCATACTTGCGGTAGACTGAGAACTGAATGCTTCCACCAATAACGATGAGGCCAAGGAGCAGAGGCGGCCCCAGGGTGTCCAGAAAACATTGGGACAGCCCTGTCTCTGTCCAGATTTCGTCCAGGGACACGTTGGGTGGACAGTACCGCATCATGCCAGTTTATCAGGTTTTTTCGTTTGGTAAATGCTGTGCCCTGTGAACATTCACCAATGCGCAAGCTGAAACACGACCAGGTGGGCTACAAGGGGACGTGTGACATATATCACTCACTTTTCTAATGGGCGAGAGTTGTTAAGTGATTCTCCGAAAGCAGATCACCGTCCGCAGATTGACGGCAGTGCCACAATGCCTGCTCGGTAAGAGCAAAAGCAGGAGTGCAAGGTGGCGCTGCTGTCGACCCATTTAGGTTTGATGGACAATGCGATTTGCTGTTGTTCACGTGAACAACAGCAAATCGCATTGTCCATCGCTGACTTTCTGCAGGTAGGACGGCCTAGAAAGTCAGTGAATGTGACTCTCATCAGTGCTCTGGGATGATCATGATGAAAATGTACAATAATGAGTATGAAACTGTCAAATTTCAACAGTACTGTTCCTAAGCTGTAGGTCAACATACATACTGTCCCTCAGCCTTGTATTCTTTTTTTGTTTTATTAGAAATAATACATCATACACATCAGATAGAATTATGCAGAGCTGTGAGTAGTTTTAGATTACCTCTTAGACATGGCACTTCTTTGAGCGCGTGATAAATATTACGACAATCAGCAAGTTTCTAGGGAATGATCGCGTATATCATACTCTAGCCAAAGCTTTGCTTCTCAATAGTGATCACGCGCGTAGACGTTTTCAAGGGCTGGGCGGACATCAAAGCTGCATATGTGCTTGAATCGGAAACGGGCTGCGTAGATGAGTACAGTTTATGAAAGAGCACATGACCAACTATGCAAACGCCGTAAGTGCCAGTTCGTATTCGATCGCAATCGAAGTTATCCAAGAACAACGTTTCCTTTATATCTGAACAGCGGGAACGAAAATAGAAAAGAGCCCCGTGGCACAATCAAGGTAAAGAAGCTTAGCAAGTTAAAATTTTATTTTCCGGACGAAACAAAACTCAGCAGTGCCCATCACGAATGTGTTTGTTTTGCTGCTTGTAGAGGTACGACACGAGCTCAACTTTAACGCGTGCTCTTTAACACTAAACGTTCGCGCAAAACCAATGCTCTCACGACATAAAAATATATCAAATACTCACCGCTGCATCGGTGACACAGTCAACACAGTGGACACTTGGTGGGCTAAAATGTATTAAGTTCTCAATAGACAACTGCGCTGCCGGCGCCGCACGGGTTTTGTTGTGTCTATTGTTATTTTACGAAGACAGCTGATCGACACCAGCGACACCGCGTGCGAGCCAAGGCTAAAGTCTAGCCAAGGCGCGCTACTGGCGCTACCGCGCTACAGCGCTACCATAAAGAGCTATTGAGGTATCTCGAATAAGGCCAGTCCTTGTTTCGTTGTGGAGCCAGAGCAGCCAGAGGGCGCAGTACTAGAAAAATGAAGGCGTTCATTGACATCAGCGTAGTTGGATTGTAGATTGAAAATTATAACTCTTTCCTAGCTAGAATTTATTTTTCTGAACCCGCACTTCAAGCCACCGAGCCCTTCTTCGAAGGTGAGGAACCCTCTCGTAATGGTGGCTTCGAAATGGGGCGCACGAGCCCAGGTATTGCCGGCGAAAATTGGAATACTCGGCTAGTCGCCCAACTTGGCCCTCCGGTCTCCGCTCTTCTAATGTGACCAATCTAGCTGCAAAGACGTCTTTAAATAGATTAACCGCTAGTTTAATGATCTCTCTCGACTAAAATGTGGTGGGCAGGGCTTTCGCGAGAGTTATTTGGTGGCTGGCATCATCATACGCGGCTACGTGCACTCGGAGGCCAATGGATTTTCGGAGGCCAGTGGATTTTTTTTTTTCTTCGTCATTCAAGGGTATACGCGTGATGAAGCCCTTTGAGGTGTGATCATAACAGCGAAAATATACACCCTACCGTTACCAGTGTAACTGTGCGACGCTAGTTTTCAAGTATTCGCCGCTCGATGCTTCTGGTCGCGTGACGACGTTAGTCAACTATGTGGTGACCAAGTGCGACATACGTGCTTTTTCGGTAAAACTGAACGCTCTTTGTCAGTTTATACTTTCCTTCTACCCAGGGTGAGCCAAGCGTGTTTTTGGGATTCCTACCATGCTATTTATTCTATTAGTAGCGTGCCGAGCCCCGAATCTGCCTTCGTTAAGGGCCGAGCGAACGGGCCGCCAAATTCTGAATTAAGTTGCAAGCTCGAGTCCTTGAAATATGACTTGCGGTAGGTATGATCCATGGCATAGACGATAACCGCAGTTAACATTTTCTTTCTATATAAGTTGGTGTATCAGAATCTATTGTGTTCGCATTGAACTGATAGAGCGCGAAACGCAGATGTTTTTTTGCTCGACGTCGACGCTCGCGTTTCAGACACGTGAGTATGACAAACTACGTTGGCTTTTCTAACCAATAGCATGGTGTACTTTCTTTCAATCATTCGGTGGCTTTATGCTGATGTCAAGAAGCGTATAGCTGTCGGTTTAGTCTTCATTGGCACGTTTTTCCTTGTCTTGGAGGCTTTTTTTTTGGAATGGGCAGGTTGTGTTATCCTCCATGAGCAAAATTTGACTCTCCCTGCACCTCTCAAATCCGAGTCGCGCTTTGCTGTGGTATGATACATCTCGCCAGCTGGTAGAAAACGACGAGATAAAGCGTTTTTCTCTACATAACACTCTGGCCTACGGTAGTGTCCGATTCTTTCTTCGCTGACCTAACACGGGGTCAGAAGTGGGATCATGGACGGATATGAGGAACCGCTACCAGCACTAATTTTTGTGCAAAAATGTTCCAAAAGCCGGGTGAATTCATGATTGAGAAGGTTTACTCCGACTTAACATAACAAATTAATAACAAAAAGGTAGACGTTTTGCCACCTATGCAGGTGGCATCTTCAGTATACACTGACAGAAATGAGGCGACGTGACTTGCATTGGCAAAACAGGCAGAGGGAGGGCAACGAGACTGAAAGAACACAAAAGGGACGTTGCCAAGGCCACCCATGCAACGTGGTCTAAGACAACTTATCGACCACTGCTGGACGACGGGACACACCTTTGACCTGGACAGTGCGACGACGCTGGCCCGAGAACAAAGGGGGGGGGGGGGGGGGCAAAGGAAATTTGTCAAGTCCTGGTTCATTCGTCGTGACGCATCGGTGTGCAACACCAACCGTGGCCCCCTGCCGAACGTTTAGGGGGACGTGTGTGATAAGTAGACTGGTCGACCTCGCCTCATTTGTGTCATTGTATACTAAAGATGCCACCTGCATAGGTGGCAAAATGTCAGTACCTTTTTGTTACCAACCTCTGTGGAACCCGGATAAGCGATCCTGCATTGGAAGGAATGGCTACTGCCGTAGCAGTCCTGTCGTTCCTGGTACAGCCACCGGAGCCATTTTCTTTCTTGTCTCCAAACGAATGGCCAAAATAGAACCGTTTTCAACGCTTCCACACTGCTTCCGGAGTCGGCGCAAAGTCCGAAGAACACCAGATCGACGACGCTCTCCTCTATATTATTGGAGACCAAGCTGAGGACATCTTTCTCACATTCCATTTGGCCGAAGCAGAGGCCATGAAGTTTGTCATCGTCATGAGCCACTTCAATGCATATTTTATATCACAAAGAAACATCATTTTTGAGCAAGCTCAATTCAATTCCCGGGTGCAACATGAAAGCGAGTCCATAGAAGAGTTTGCCACATCGCTGCTCGCCCTATCCAAGTACTACGGCACGGCCCAATGCAAGAGCAATTTGTATGAGATCGGCCCGATTTAAATCTTAAATCTTAATTTAAATCTCCAGCTCGGCGCCGATTTAAATCTTAAGAAGGCCCTGGAGTCAGCGAGGCAACTTGAAAACGTCCGTCAGCGGCAAGCCGAGCTGAATCAAGACGTCTAAGCTGGCAGCAGCGTCGGCAAGCTTGACACAAGGAGAATTTCAACTAACCACTCTTCCTGGTCTAGCACCCAATCACCAGGCAGTCTAGAACATAAGGGGCCTGCTTCGTCCAAGACGAACAGCCAACGGGACAAGAAAGATTGTTCATGGCTTTTCGACGAACCCGCTGTCCCAGAAAGTCCTGTCCAGCTCGACACAAAAGTTGCCATAAGAAGGGACACTTCTCTGCAGTCTGCCTTTCCAAGAAATTCTTGCTTCGTTTGACCATTTCACGATGACGACGAAGTTGGATTTATTTATTTATTTATTTATTTATTATTTTATTTGAAAATACTGCCAAGCCCTTAGGGATTTTCACAGGAAGGAGCACACAAAAGTAAGTAAGTACACACTCGTTCACATTTGATCACATCTACAACAAAAAAGGCAAGTAATTTGTACATTAAACACTGGGATATAAATAATAGTAGAAATACCTTTAAGATTAATACACAAGGGTTCACATACATTTCCAAAGCCAAATTAAACAACCACTGTTCAATCACACGTAAAAAAATGCAATTAGTCATTCATAATTACACATCACTGTGCAATAAAACATCCAACCGAGATAGAAATGATGTGATGGAGGTGCTGTTAGTAATGACAGGATCTAGTTGATTCCATTCTCTGGTAGCTAAAGGAAAAAAAGAGTAGCGGAAGCAGTCATTTTTAAAGCAGATTTATCGGTGGCGTGACGTGTCCTCGAGTCGACAAGTGGGAAATAGCGGTGATGCTTCAAGTGGAACCTGTGAAGTTCAAACTGGACACAGGCGTCGACGAGACGGTCATCTAGCCCCCCATCTTCCGGAATCTCCCCGTGGTCGGTCCTGATAGCACAACCCCGTCAGCTTCACGGTCCGTCTGGAAACCTTTTGGCAACGCAAGGGACAGCTCGTCTCAAGATCACATACTTAGGCCGCACTTTGGTGCAAGACGTCTACATCTTGGAAGACCTTGGTACACCGTTGCTCGGTAAGTCCGCATTACAAGCTTTGCAATTGGTATCGGTGGTCAACAAGATTAGTCCAAGCCCTTGCATTCCCGACAGCCCTTCAAGAGTTGACCCAGAAGCACAATTTTCTGCGCTCTTCAAAGAGCTCGGTGAGCTCCCGACCTAGTCCGGCTGAAGAGCTTCGAGAGACAAAGTCAGAAACAACAGCAAAGGTCTTACAATCGCTGCCACGGAGTTAGCGACAGATGTCTGGGTTGTAAACCTCAAAAGGAGAGGCACAGAAGCCAAGGTTCCACATCGTGGATGGTGATGGAGCTACTGCTTGGAGGCACAGAACTCGTCTCGTTCAATACGCCAATAAAATCCCGGCGACTGACTCGTCATTACAAGGGTGCCAACATACATCTCATGTCCACAATAAGAGTGGCTGCTGCTTACAACCACCTTGGCGGTACTGTCCCTAAAATGGGGAGATGTGGTACGATGCATCTTGCCATCATCTTGTCATCTACTGGCTAGCCTTAGCCGCCAGCTGGTAGAAAATGACGAGATTAAGTGTTTTCCTCTGCTAAAGTTGAAGCCTGGGCGAGTTGGTATGACATACTTAAAAGGTTAAAACAGCACTCTGTTCGTGCCCTTCTTTACCCTGTCCGTCGTTTTTTGCGCTGTTTTAACCTTTTAAGTTTTCCTCTGCGTGACACTCTGGCCTATGGTAGTGTCATTCCTTTCTCCACCAACCTAACAGTTGCCCTACCTCGTGGCTTTGAAATTCATCTACTGCAAGTGCCGTTGTTCAGCTATCTCCTGCTACAAAAGCTCTTTCTCTTTCTTAATCCTCTTTCAGCAACAAATTGAGTACCAGGCACATCAGAGCCACGGCTGCTTTTACACCGCAAATATCTAAATCCAGGATTTGTTCAGTGGTTGACTTCATACCTCGTGTTTTTGAGAATCTGCTACAGTCTCCGACAGACTTTTAGATGTCTGATCTCCAGTATGCGCTCGTTCCGTTTTATCATACTTTGACTGCGCACACACGTTGGAGGCTCACGAGGCGCCTTACCATTTACGAGGGTAGTCAGCTCGCACTGGAGGCAGGACAACCGAAGGACTTTTTTGCCGTCCTCACCCTTTCTGTGACAGAATAGCGTGGGGGTTTGAGTAACGTGACTGTGATGTGTAGCACTTACCTATCAGTGCAGAGTTGCATTTTAACCTCTTAGCTTCCTTAAAAAGTTCTAGTTCATTCTGTTTTGCAGCCTATAGCACCACATAGCGTGAGCTGATAATTACGTCAAATTGTCCCACCCCTGCTCCGCAACTCGTCGAAAAGCTCAAAGCGGAGTATACTTTGGTAGACGGGCCAGCCTTGTTTTTCTTCGACGGGGGATGGAGACAAAACGTTAGTCACACCAGGAAAAATGTATGGCTGGTTCAACTTCACACGCTTTCATTTGGCTGGCCGAGTGTGTTGCAACAGCTTGTGGCAGTTTGTGACGAGAGGACACGCCAGGGCCATCTGTTGGGTAACCCTGGAACATCTCCGACATGCACATATTTCTTGCACACCGCTCTTTTTCATGGACTCGAAATAATTCCGACAACATTATAACCAACCATTTGTCGAGGATAGTGCATACATTTTATCTCGCAAATACTGTAAAAACCTCAGTCTAGTTCTAAGGAGATCGGAAGTGTTTCCAGGTCTGTCCGAAAGATGTCGCTAGTGTAAGTGTTGTAAGCGGTTACAAGAGGTTGCGACGCAGTCAAGCACACTCAAATGTGAACATGTCAACCGGCCTCTTTTTTTGTAACCCCTCTTCGGGACTATGCAGTATAGACCTCTTAAAACCTAACCTTCCCTTGCCTCGTATAGTCGCTTTTGTTTTGTTTAGTGTTAAACATTGTCGGCGTATGTGCACTTGCAGAGGCGGCCACTGCGTGAGACGGCATGTCCCTCAAGCCCAAGCGCATCGACTTTGAGGGCACCTGGGAGCAGCTCAAGGACACTGTTGCCGGAGTCATCACGCTGGGGAAGGTGCCCCGCCCCATTTGGAACGACCGCTTCTCATATCCTTTTCAAAGTGCCGCAAGTTTTAAGGCTCTTCCCAGGAAACGAACAAGGCCCGTTTCTGTTCTATGCAGGGCGAAAAAGGACAAAACAAAGAAAAAGATGGCCTGACATTCTTTCTTCTCTCCTGGCAATGGCTGCTTTATTTGGGAACAAATTTCTACAGTAACGGAATCGACAGTGTGCGACGGAAGGTTGCCCTAGGCTTTGTATGGTTGTTTACAGTGAGCATAGTAGGGACCTAGAGTCATTGACGCACGGCACTGGTGGATTCCTTGTAACTTGTCCAGGTCGGCATCCGGGCCGAATTCAAGGTGGCGCTCTTACTTTTTGTAAGCTTCCAGTGTGTAATGTCACTTTACCACGATATTGTAAACAGCACAGGTCTCGCATCGTGGTACTGTGTCGGGCAACAGTGCGTGAAATAAATCGATGGAGGGTGGCCGCCATAGCCTATCAAGTGGTAGCTTGTGCTACCTAACCTATGCGGACCACAAGTTCGTCTGCTTCCTTTTGCAGGGGTTTTGGTGACATCAGAATGCCAAGTTCTGATTGGCTGTGATAAAATGATAGTGGGTAAACCTCAAACCAAGCTGCCTTGATGTCTACCCTTTATCCTTCAATCGGAGCCAATCAGGGCTTGGCGTTCTGGCATCCCCTTAGCTCCTTCAAAAGAAGCAGACAAACTTGCGCTCTGCATAGTTTTCTTTGGGTGTTGCCAGCACATCACATTGTCTCCTTGACTGAAGTCCACAGACGTGTATGCGCTCTGCGTAGCGTTCCCCGAGCCTCTGGGCGATCGGCTCTACCAGGAAACCAAGAAGTTTCTCAATGCTCACGTTCAGTACCTCTATGAGGTGAGGCTTCATTCGCTCCCAACCCTTGGCGGGTGGCTCCGTGGAGCGAAGGAGTCAACTCGGTGATTTTTACTTCGAGATCCTGTCGTTTTTTTTTGCAAGCCCTCCGCTACTTCCGTACACTAAACCGGAGAACGCGGAGGTTTATTTGCGTGACGCAACCAAAGGCGTCGTTATAGGGTTTTCATTCTTTGCGTGTACCTGGATTTCGAGTGTTGGCTCTCAATTAATGTTTGTTGAAAGTTTAGGCACAAGTGTGCATGGTGAAACGTCTACAAAGCGGCCATATTTGTACCAAAGCTCGTTTCTGTTTCGGCGACCTCCAGAAGGCACTTCGTCGCAATGGTTTTGACACTGCTCCGTACAAGAGTGGTGCTATTCCCTCCACCTAATTTTTGATCTGTGATATGGTTATAGTAGTCTCTTCACAGTTAAAAGAAACAGTATGTTTAAATATGCCTGTAATGCTGGCATTCAAAACACTGATGTAGTGAGGATTCGTTTTTGAAAAAATTTACTTTCCTATAGAGAAGCTCTACTGTGTATCGCCTGAGCTGAAAGTAAACTTACTTTCTTTTACATAGTCATTATAATGTGGCTACCTGCTTAGCACTGGGCATTGTGTGACTGTGATAACTCTAGACTGCAGTAGCCAAGGTGGTTTCACGGGCTGTGTGTGTAATGGAGTTAAAATCATTCAGCCTTGTGATGCTGCGTTTTCTTTCTAGCTTGTGCTCTCGGGGGATGATCTGCTTGCCACGTACTACAAGCACTGGCTGGAGTATAGCCAAGGGATTGACTATCTCAACAAGCTATACATGTGAGTACCACAGGCTGCTACCTGAGGTCATGGTACTGGCATGGACTCCTGGCATTCTGGCTCGGGAGGAACCAGTCTTCTTTATATAATTGAAGTGACTTTGTCTTCCCGTGGAATACGTTGGCTAGTTTTGTAGCTTGTGTAAGTGGACTGCCAGAGGACCAAACTGTAGGAACCAGAGTGCATGTGTCCTCATGCACTTGGGCATGTTTGAAGTGACGATAAAGAAAACTAGACCCACTTGACTTAACTGATTAAATTGTTAATATTGTTAAGTCAAGTTGGTGTAGTTTTCTTTAACATTATGAATCCTGGCTTTCGGGACATTTTTGCGTTGGACGTGACATAAAGTACAAATCAGTTGTCATTTTGCAGACATCTTGTTTGACTCGTTGAGATAAGCGAAAGTAACCTAGTAAAATATGCACTACACGAATTCAATAGCTCAACTCATCCATGGCATGTAGTGCAATGTCCTACATCTCTTAGGAATAAAATGCCTTCATTAGAGAAATGTTCAATAATATCTCAATGAAATGTTTCATAACAAAGGTATAATGAAGTGGCATCATCTGCAGGGTATTCTAGTTGTTCAGCTGTTTATTTTGAGACAAACATGTCCTATCCGGGTACAGTCGCAGACGACGTGAAAATCTCGGGCGAGCGCGTGGTTTCGAAGACCTCCACTGCTATCTAACGGAAGAAAATCAAGTTTTCATCGAGGCTATTGTATGAACGAGTTGCGCGTCAGCAGCTGTCAGATTTTTGTTGTCACTCCCGACTTGGTTGGCAACGATTGCTGAGTTGGCATCAATAGGAGTAGTGCTCGGTGAAATTAAATAAAAACTGCTTATTGTCCTTTATCTCGGAAACTTGTTACCAAACACCCGAAAACCGATTACTCGGCCCGCCGAATTCAACCACATACGATTTTGCCTTCTGTGGCGAAATGCCTCTGCATTCGGCAAAATCTGCACGGACTTTGTGACGGCCGTTTGTGCGGGGAGCGACAACAAAAATTTTAAAAGCTGCCAAAGTTTCGACAACGGCTGAACTTTCTTCCGATAAATAGCGTGGCACGCTTCGTCCGGGCTTCTGCGTATCATGTGTGACTGTACTTTAAAAAAGTTATTTTTCGGGGAGTTCGACGTTCCTCCAACTTCACATAGTAAACGGCGGCCACGTTTTTACCACCCCGTCCGGCGTGCAGGTACCTGAACACGCAGCACATCAAGAAGCACAAGCTGAGCGAGGCGGACCTGAGCTACGGCTCGGTGGAGCCCACAGAGCAGCTGCTGGAGGTGGGGGAGCTGGGGCTGGACCTGTGGAGGCGCAACATGGTGGCACCCCTCAGGCATTCGCTGGTCTCCTTGCTGCTGGAGGCCCTGTCCAGGGACCGGGAGGGACACTGTCCCCAGCAGAGGGTTGTTCAGGGGGTCATCCACTCCTTCGTACAGGTGACATTCCGTGCCTCCGTCTGCCGCAGCACGGCGCCCGGAACGGGTCTTTGGCCAATGCGTTCGGCGTCCCGCCGCGCATCGAAGGCGAGCGGTGTAGGACGCCACCACCAGAAAACGGCACGACACCTATGAGATGTCTTCGGACGGAAATCGAGGGACCACATTTGAGGACGCGACGAACACGCCGGTCAAGACGTGTTCTGGGCGCCATGACGGTACCGGTGGACTCGTCGCCGACTGCCGATATCTTTCTCTCTCGCCGCGCTGCAGGTGGAGGAGTACAAGCGGAAGCAACCTCTGTCCTTGTACCAGGAGATGTTTGAGGGCCCCTTCCTGCAGGAGACTGGCAAGCACTACCAGCGGGAGGCACACCGGCTGCTCGAAGAGTGCGACTGCTCCTCCTACATGGAGCGCGTGCTCCAGTGCCTGGCCCAGGAAAACCTTCGGGCCAGGCGCTTCCTCCATCCCTCCTCCTACCCCAAGGTGAGCTTCGGTCGTCGGGAGGACCGGGGCACTCTTGGAACTCTCGTCTTTGGCACGACTATTCCTGCATACTCGACTCTCAAATAACAAACATTATTGAGGCATAGAATCACGCGAGATGTTTTGAGCGTTGTACAGAATAATTAATTGTCGAATAGATGGCATGGATTTTGGGAGAAAATGTGTCCGATCCAGCTCGTGCCAATGTCCTTCGAAGCCATTTCACCAAGTACGTCTTTAGATACTTTTACGGGTTGTGCGTCCTTTCAATGTGAACTAAAAACTTTGCTTTGCTTGTCATAACTATTTTCTTCCTATCTGCACGTTGTTCGTGTTGTATTCATGTATGCGCCTTTACATACCGTAAAATACCGGAGGAGTGCCTACCTTACTTCCACTGAAAACTGGGTTAATCGAAAACGAGCGCTTGTCCGGTCCGATCGGGCGCTTAACGCATAATTTGCAGTAAGTTTGGGAGATGTTATTGTTAATAGTGGGCGCTTGAACAAAGAGGGCTTTTCAGCGGTACTTTACGGAATGTGCCTCGTATGGAAACTTTGGTCATTCTGGGGAATGGAATAGTAATGTGCGATCACTTTTATTTTGATTCACACCCTTAATCAACTTTTTGAAGCACGAAGGGTGTCGAGCAGCCCACCTTCTGGGGACACTGTTTGCAACCGTCTAAACGACACGGGCACCCCGTTCCCTCGCAGGTGACCCGCGAGTGCGAGCAGCACATGGTGGGGGCCCACTTGGGCTTCCTGCAGCAGGAGTGTGCCGCCATGGTGAAGGGGGAGCGCCGCACGGACCTCGGCCGCATGTACACCTTGCTGCGGCCCCTGGGCGCGCGGGCGCTCGAGGCCCTGGTGGCGCAACTCCAGAAGCACGTAGAGAGGGTGGGGCTGGACCGTTTGGTTGGCCAGGGGGCAGAGCAGCCCCAGGAGGCCCCGCCCACCACGCCGGGGGGCGGCCCCGGCGAGGAAGGGGGCTCCTCCTTTTCGGGAGCCCAGCAGCAGCAGCCGCCATCGTCGTTGCACCCGCCGGGGGGCGTATCTCCCCAGCACTTTGTGGAAGCGGTGCTGCAGGTGCACTCGACGTACCAGGTGGGCCGGAGGCTTCTCTTTTGGGTCATGGAGAGGCTCGCTCGCTTTCTGGGACTTGGGGTTTGCGAAAGCGTTGCCCAAGCGTCGGGCGCTCTTGACAAGCTCAGAAGTCGGAGTCGCCGACGGAATGAGAATGGCAAGGCGTGTCTTTTGAATGCCCGGAACCCAGCGCAAGGTCCGTGCTTTCCGCCGTAACTTTGGCTGCGTACGTGCGCTCAAAATGCATGAGATTTTGAAGCATTCTGAAGGTTGAAAGCTAGAGCTCAAACAACTACTGAAGGACCTCCCCGCTGTCCTCATCCTGTCGATGGCTACAGGGACTAGATTCTGCGGGATTACGTCTGACACATGAATGTTTGGCGGAATCGGGTTGGGACGAAACTTTGCAATGTCGCCTTCGGCGACTCCGGTGAAGTCCACGGCACTTGGCGACTAGAACGAAAAGCTGTGGCGGCAGGTTTGCTCACTGGCCTTCTCGAAGGAATCGGACATTCACGGTAACTGGAGGTCTGAAGACTAAGCCTAGAACTAGGTTAAAAAAAAACGCGACAAAACTTGCCAATATTTTCGTCCACTTTTTTGTGCCGTGTTGTCAAGGTTAGCACAGTTCCCATGGGGCTGTGGCGCTCTTAAAGTTACTTGCAAGAGTCTTGTTTGCACGAGAGAGTGTGCAAATGACACACTTGATGAAGCCACATGCAGCAGCGCAGTTTGCAGCAGTGGCGTAGCCAAGGGGGATTCCCTTGGAACAGCCCCATATTATATACATATACTAATTAACCAACCTCGCCCCCCTCCCCCCCTCCCCCTCGCCGTACCCCAGGTCATGCACATCCAGGCACCCAACGAAAAAAAAAAAGTATTTATGGTTTTGCCATTGCTTTGCAGCACTGAAAGTATGGCAACTTTGACAACATAGCATAAAACTGTTGATGCCAACTATAGTAAGCTACTTGTCCATGAATTTACATAAATTTTCTTAAAGAAGGTAACATTTTAGTTCTTAGCATTGGCACCTTAGCTCTTTTTCGCTTTGATTCTGAAACGTCAGAATGAAGCTTAAAAGTAAGTCGATTTGCTTTCATTAGGCTGCATGGAATCTGTCATTTTAGTTTTCTCCCGTCTCTGACTGTTTATTCTGGCTAAAAGTTTTTAGTCAGATTTGGAGTAAACATCCTGAATCTGATTTGCTGTGGTTCCTGTCTTGTAACAAATTAAAACTCCCATTAATTATTAAAGCTATAGATTCTAATTATAAAACAATTAAATTTTTTCTGTGCTATTTTTAATGTTTAGGTGTCCCTAACAACTAATTATAATTGGTAATAGCCACGTAATTGACCTTTTATGCTCTTGCTTTTAATTTTGCCCTTTTCTGCCAGAACCTGGTGAAGGAGGTCTTCCAGGGAGACCAGCAGTTTGTTGGTGCTCTTGACAAGGTCAGTGCCACAGCCGCCCAAAGATTTCTGTATCCATCAATGGAAGTTGTGAATGAGTAAACATGCTAACAGTCCCACGGTATTGCAAGGACACAAACACTAAAGGAGCTACTCTGCGTTGAGGAGCTCGGAAGTAGAAAAAGTTTTCATTTTTTCTTGGCGAGATAATTACTTCGCCTATTTTGAGTATGTCAAGCTTATTTGCCTGTAACAAATGCCAAAACATAGGATTCAATATTCTTTTGATCTTTTTATAGGCGAGTTCTTACACTACGAAAGAAGCTGAGGTTTTTGTTTGAAATGTTGCATAAGGTGAACCTTGTAGCTTAGCAAAACTTGACCTCGAGGCAAGGGTTGACAAAAATGATACCTACGCACACACTGTCTTCAAACACGACCTCAAATTTGTTTTACAGAAAAATTATATAGTTTTGCAACCCAACAAATATTGCTAAGACCTATTACCCTGTGCTAGTGCTCGAATATATTGATTTTTTAAATGTTGGATTTTTTTTGTTTTTGTTATGTTCTTAGTTCAGTTATTTCATACATAATTTCTAAATTTAAGCCATTTTGCTTCTTGCTGTAACAGCTTACTGGTTAGAATTAAGAAGTGCTGCTCTCTAGTGTGTGGAGCTTTTATTTGGGGCTAGTTAAAACTCACATTTCAACAACTTTTGAATTTTACAGGCTTGTGCGACCATCATTAACAACAGAGGCAACACGAAACAGCCGTGCCGGTCCCCTGAGCTGGTCAGTGTCACTTTCAGAAATTTGTACGAGTGTCTAGTTCTGCATGATTGGACTTCATTCCGCCGTTAAAACTTGGGACAGCAACTCCTCAGCAAAAAATAAGACAAAACAAATCATGAAGAAATATAAGGCAGCTAGACACAAGTTGAAAGTTTCTCCAATGTTTCGCCAAGTCTCTTTGTGAAAATTCGGTGTTGCACCCAGGTTTCTTTTCTGGGGGTTATGAAGCAGTACATCACGGTGTAGTGCTCAATACTGTGGTTAATTGGTTGGACTTGATTCTCTACAAAATGTCAAGCATGCCCATGTCATAGTTTTATCTCTTAGAGTGCTGATTTTTGTGTTGTAGGACATTGGTGCCTTGGTGCTTTCTTGAGAGTAGCAGAATTTGACCCCATAAACTGGATGTCCAGGCACTTGGGAGGCTCTGTTTCACTGGCCTTAAGCTCTAGTTTTTGTATTGGGCAGGTTGTATCAGATGTAATTGATACCGTTTGTTTTAGGCACAATTGATGTTTAGAGAGCTTTGCAGGCAAATGCCTGCAGTTGTTATGGAACTTAAAAGTAGGCAAAAGCAAGGTCGGGGGAAAGGGTAAAATTGGCTTTAGCAATTATTTTTTTCTTCATTCATCAGTCTTGGTTTATGAATGTCTTTTTATCATGCTCATTTGCTTTAAGTTTGAGTACTCGCAATCGGTGACCACTGGTGACCCCAGTTTGTGTTGTGCAGCTGGCCAAGTACTGCGATGCCTTGCTCAAGAAGAGTGCCAAGGGAATCTCCGAGTCTGAAGTGGAGGACCGTCTCACGCAGTCCATCACGGTCTTCAAGTACATAGATGACAAGGACGTCTTTCAGAAGGTCCAACCTCCCGCTTTTTGGCCTTTGTTTATCATAAATTTAGCAGTAACGCAGTTGAGAGCTCCTGGGATGGCGAAATACGTGCAAATGATCCATCTGGATCCTTCCTACTTAGGAAGTGGATCTTCAAGTGGAAACTTTATTGTAGGATGTGCCAAGGAATTGTATTTCACATATGTGAAATCAGGATCTGGCTTGGTGCATCCTTGGCTCTTTCAGTGCAATTTGTCGATACAGACTCCTTAGTTGTTTAGGAAGTTCTTATCTTTCTCAAGTGCCTTGATGCTGAAGCGCAGAAGAAATAAGATCTTCTGGAGCTGGCAGCTCGCTCTTGTAGCTCGAATAGAACAGGGAGCGTGATCTAAGCAAACTGAGCCTAGGGGGACCCTGGCTATAGGGAGGCTTCCTTCCCATCATTTTAAAGGTGTTGCATGCTACGCTTCTCTTTCTGCATACGTGGTATCTTTTTGTGGCTGCTGCAAACCTGTGCTTTGTTTCGTTTGGCAGTTCTATGCCAAGATGCTGGCGAAACGCCTTATCCACAGCCAATCCATGTCAATGGATGTTGAAGAAGCAATGATCAACAAACTCAAGGTGAGCTGCATCAGTAAGCCCAAACTTTGGACTTTGCTACTTCTCACATTTTTCTAGTTTTGTTTTCTTTGCTAGACCCGTGGTTGCATGTAACATCTTTAAAATTCACTTTCTTTTACGCTTAAATGAAATTTTTTGTTTTGCGTAAGCAAGCTTTGTCGGAATAGCAGTTATTAGAGGTTTTCATTCTGTTTAGTCGGGGCTCATTTTCAGTGTTCTTTCAATAGTCATGTAATGTTATTACCTCTCAGGTTCTGGCATTACCTTGAGACTATATTTGAGCTGTAGTTTCCCTGCAAGTTCTATTAATATAAATAATTTTTTTTTTTGTATAGGATGTGAGAACGTTGAATATTTCTTTGCCCAACTTCAGCTGCTTTTCTAGGTTTGCGCTTAGGTTATCTTAACTCTCAATGCTTGAAATGCCTTTAGTTCCATAATATTCATTTAAATTTTATATTTCCAGTTACCCTGTGTTAACCACATATAACGATGTACTGTTTATAATTATACCACATGCAATGCCAGATATAACAATGTGTCACTTGTAACAATCAGTTTCTAGAGGACCATGCTTTTTTGCATTGGGTATCCAGTCCAGTTACAACAATAATCGTTTATAACGATACATTTTTGGGCTTTCTCGGTCTCTTCATAAGTGGATTGCTCTGCACTCCAGTTATGCGCTTGCTGCTGAATTTACTGGAAGATCTCTAAGAAGGATGCCTTTTCTCCACATGTAGCAAGCGTGTGGCTACGAGTTTACCAGCAAGCTCCACCGTATGTTTACGGACATGAGCGTGAGCGCCGACCTCAACAACAAGTTCAATTCATACTTGAAGACGGAGAACATCGACTTGGGAATCAACTTCTCCATCTACATATTGCAGGTGATCCTTTGTCTCTCACCTTGTAATGCGGGTGGACCAGCAAAGGGGGAAGCGAACTAACTCCCAAGGTGCAGCCGGTGGGGACTTGAGCTAGTCCAGCCGAGCGCTACCCAAAAGAGGTAAAATGTCTCGCGAGGCACCTCCGACATGCTAAGCCAGGAGGCTCCAAACTCCGGCCCGCCGGCCAAATCCGGCCCGTGAAGGTCTTCCGACTGGCCCGGAACTGGCCGCGGTTCTTCTAATAAAGCCTGCCCGCGGCACGCTTTCAGAGGCCCACCTGGTGCAAAAGTCAGCACACGTATAGAAATGGTGCCACTACACGGATCAACCGCGTAAACGGTGTAATCTGTGTCCTCTCGTCATATTAGTATTCATTAAACATTGTCATCATTGGCATCACCACATCAAGACTTCGGGGTTTCTGAAGCATGGAATAAAAAATACCATACAGTAAACCCCCGTTAACTCTAACACGGATATCTCGAAAGATCGGTTAAGTTGAAACTTCTGTACCTTGCGAAATAAATCCCCATTGGCACCATGTATTATGACATCGCTTATCTCGAAAAGTTTCCGGGACGGGCATCGGATATCTCGAAACTTCGCCTGCAAAAATTAAAAAAAAATTCCTGAAATGACGCTGAGGCCCGAAGGAGAAAGTTTATCTCCATCGCGGACGAAGCGACCGCAACCTAGAAATAACGCTAACAAAAAGAGAGAGAGAGAGAGAGAGAGGGTCTTCGGAGAAAAATAAACAAAAGAAGGAAGCGCCGCGAACGCGTTCCGGGCGCACTGAACGCGACGAGCGTTCAAGGACGTTTGTTTTCTTGCTTTTTGCTTTCTCCCCATCTCCCGAGACTTTTCTTTCTCTTTTTTCTCTACGCTTGAGTAGAGCACTATATAGCTCCTTCGGAGCAGAGTAGCGCAATCTTGAACGCCCGGAGGTTCCAACTGCGGTCAGAAATGCATGGAGAACGTGAGAAAATCGTTGTTTCTTCAGTTTTGTGGGGATGTGCGGAACGGAAATCATTTTTGACAATAATGAAACATTTTAGAATAATATGAGATAAGTTTTGTGCCATACAAGGACGTAACTTTTTTAAAAAAATTGCCTGAGCGGCATCATGCAGCAGACGACACGGCGACGTCACACCATTCACGTGACCCGCTCCGGCCAACCCGAAAATCCCATCTCCGCTGCGAGCAAAAATCGTCTGCTTCAAACGCCATTGCCTTGGAAATTGCCTTCTCAAAATTTGCACACGCATCCGATATTATTAAAACTTTGATAAAGTGTTTAGCGCTTTACTAACTTCACGACAGGCTAGTTTTGAAAAATGTGAACTCGCCGTTAGTTTTTTAATCAGCCGTGTTATGTTGATCTCCATGTATTCTCCCATAGGGTGGGCCGCCTCTTGGAACCCCGAGTACCACGTGACTCGCGCCGAGCCGCTCTGTCGGCCATGTTGTCGGCAAAACACGGGGTTCAAAGGATTGCGCTACTCTGCTCCGTAGGAGCTATATAGTGCTCTACGCTTGAGCTGGCTTGTGGCGTTCTATCAGCTCTCCCGATCTCGTGGTCGCCGTAGTCGCCACGCCGTTGTCGCGTCGCCTTCGTTCAACCCTGTCCACATGGATGACGGCGGCGCTCTTTGAGGAATATGTGCGTGCGCTGGACCGCTGGACGCTTGTTTCTAATTCATTTTTTCTCGTTTTTGGTAAGTGATTTCTTGCTTAAAACGAAGCTGTGATTGGTACGATTTTCGGAAGCGCTAGATTTTCGAAATTCGCGGTCGGTACTTCGGAAATTTCGGTACTCCGCTTATCTCGAAATTTCGCTTATCTCGAAATTTTTCCCAGTTTTTATGACTTCGAGTTAAGGGGGGACACTGGCTAGAGCTCAAACTTTTTAACTACTCAAGTGATCGGAATGAAATTCGCAGGGGAGATTTAGCTTCAGATGTAGGTGTACTGTGCAAACTTTCAGCTCTCTAGGACAAATTTACATACCTGCATAAGGTAATGTGTCACTTTTCATTAAGAAATGTATGATATGCAAATCAAGCTATTAAGCATTATTTTGACTGCTTGAATATAAAGTGGGGCATATGGGACCTCGGGCTATCTAGTTCTAATAACTTAAATGTAAATATTTCAGGAAGAGTTATTACCTCAAACTATGAGATACATATCTGTCCTCTGTCAATTTTTGAAAAATTGGTTTTTTATCACTGAGGACTTTAACCTAAAACAAAATAAAGTAGATAGCCCAATTCCCCAGTAAATTTCAGTTCAGAAACATCTTGATTGTGGTATCAGAATAATTTTACCTTCGAACAAAAGATTCCTTCGTATGAAATTTGCAGCAAAAAGTGGAACTGAGAAAAATGCATTCAAACATTGAACTCCTTTACTTTGTTACTGCCTCACAATGTGTTGAAAATATTTTATATCAACGTAACTATTTGGCATATGGTTATCAAATTTGGTGTAAGGGTGTGTAATTAGTTTCTAAAACTGAAAACCTCAAAAATAAAAAATGAATTTTTTCAAACAAATTAAAAATTTAGGCCCATGTCCCCCCTTAACGGGGGTTTACTGTATTTACTCACCCTGCCAATATGACATGGCAGGGTACTGTGGCACGTCTCCACTTACGGTGGCACGCCCATGGCTGGTTGAGGGCGCAACACAGTAATCGTGCTGTATAAATTGCAAACCTTTTTTAGGGCGCTTTTGGCATGCCTTTTGCTGAAGGAAAAGCGCCCTATGAAGCTCACTTAGCACGGAGAGTGACGCAACCGTTTTTACACCTAACCACTTTCACGATGTCACTTTCAAAGAGGATTACAGACGGTGGCATGTTTATTGACATCAATGCATCCGATGGACGAAGCACGTCTGGGGCTGGAGAGTTTCTCGATCCCAGCTTCGCTAGGAGTGCGCGCTGCTCGGTTTTATGGTTGATCACTTCCGCAACCACACAATTGCAGCCATTGCGAGAGCAACTTGGCTTGACTTGACTTGACTTGGCCGCTTGGAGGCAAAAGAAAATTGGTGACGGTGGCTAGCCGGCTAGCTAAGTTGGACGCGGTTCGAGAGTTGCGGAGTCGACAATTAAGTGTGTTCATTAAGCGAGAAAAAGAAAAGTCAATATATTGATGACCACTGTGGGGGTGCGTTCATTATGCGAGTAAATATTGTAATAATAATAGTTAACATATTTACAGTCAGAGCCGTTTATATCGAACTCACAAGAAAACGTCTACCAGTTCGATATAGCAGGTAATTCAATATAAAGGTTTTAATGAATTTGACTCTCAAACATCCACTTTCTGCTGACATATTACACAAATAGATAGTCCTGCATCTTCTGCTGCTTTTTCTTCATTGTATCCGCGATTAAAATATTTTTCTATGCTATCGACGGGCTCCAAAATGCTGAGGCCGCTGCCTTCTATATTCGCGCATTAGCGCTGAACTGTGTCGAGAGCACGTCGGAGCAGGAGCACGGGAGCACGTCGGAGCAGGACCACGTCGGTGCCCTGCAGAGTGCCGTTTTTCTCTGCAAGTTGGCTCTCCCCTAAGGCAGGCAGCTGCGTTGGGGGAAAGCCAGCTAGCAGAGCAAGCTGGCTTTTTTTTCTTCTGGGCGGCCGCGTCAACTGCCCGGAAGAACAAGATCGAGGTACACCTAAGCACTTCTTATGAGTTGTAAATGCGAAAGCATGTACATCAATCTTGCTCTGTGCGTGTTGGCACGCTGACTGGCACTGACGGACATGCAGCGCCATGAGGTGGCGGGTCGTTGAAACTGATGCACAGCGTCAGTTTCAATGACCGGCCACCTCATGGTGCCGCTTGTCCGGCGAATGGGAGCCTGGTCGACGCACGCTAGCCATTGGGATCGCAGCAGTGTAAAAGGTGCCCTCGGCTGTGGATGCGCGCTAGCCAATGGGATCAAAGCGGTGCAAAAGAAGAGTTTGGCGTGGTTTCATAGCTGATGATGTTGGCTCGCTCCATGACAGTGCTTTCGCATTAAAAATAATATTCTCTTTTGCGGACGGAGCAGGGAGAGGGAGCACAAAGCACCCTCTCCCCGCTTCCTCGGCAAAGTTTTTTTTTTTCTTTTTTTTTCTTCCAAACAATTAACACAACCGCCTAGAAAAAAAAAAAAAAAAAAAAAAAAAAGCCAGCGTGCTTTGCAAGCTGGCTTTCCCCCAAAGCGGCTACTCAGGTTGGGGGAAAGCCAGCTTGCAGAGCAGAACGGCGCTCTTGGCAGTTCGATATATCGGTAGCAGATGCTATTTTTCTTCGGTGTAACCATAGTTTTTCCTATATATTATCACTGTAACATTACTGTACACAAAAATTGTTCAATATAAGGGATAATTCGATGTAATTCGAATTATCCCTTATATTGAACAATTTGATATAGTCGGGTTTGATCATACTCTCATAATGAATGCACTTGCATAATGATTGCAGCCCCGAGAACGGGTACCAATATTTGGGCTTTTTTCTCCTCCCGTTCAATACCCGCCGAGCTCGCTTACGTGTTGCTTCTCTGCGCGTGCTTGCCAGGCCTGCAAACAAAGCTTGTACTTTGTTTGCAGGCCTGGCAACGTTTGCAGGCCTGGCAACGTTTGCAGGCCTGGCAAGCACGCGCGGCTGGACTGTTTTTTTCTTCGTATAGTTACATTTTGCATACAATTTTGAGAATTAGTTGGCGTCGGAGCAGAGTGGCATGGTTTCGGTAGAACAGGCCGTTGTTGCTGCTCGCGCGACGAAGTGCGCGCTACTGCAAGCCTGCCGAAGTTGCCCTCAAGTACATGCGAGTATGATGAGCGTTATTGCATGACAGAGGCACCAGCCGGAACGCTTGCAATCCATTGTTTTACGTTTGCTTCCTTTTAACGAAAAGCTTGCACGTCGGGAACCAGTAAAACGGTGGTTGGCGGTTTTTGAGAATTGCTCGGAAATACCTACAGCACTAAACACTTGTCGGGTAGGTCTCGGCAGTAAAACACAAGCAGCGAATTCCGTCACAACACGTCGCATCAGAACGCAGCACAACACAAAGTGCCCTACGTTTGTACAGCACTTAAAACAAATATTTTTTATTTTTCTAGGAATATCTGGTCCAAAATCCACTTTTGCTGCTCCGAAACGCTGTCTTGGCTGCTCCAAAAGCCACTTTTCCTGCTCCAAAACATTGTTTTGGTTGCTCCAAATTCCAGATGTGCTGCTCCAAAACACTGTATTGACTGCTCCGAAAGGTGCTCCAAAATGGCATAGGCCAATCACATCACTGAGTTTGGATTAATGGGAGTCTACTGCACTCGGGGATCCCTGCACAGCTCTTGTGCTGCCCAGCCTGATTGCTGACGGTCACCCTCATATTGCCATACTCTATGCATGAATTGATTTTGAATGGTTTGCAAACTCGCATTTTATAGCTTTTCTGTGCACGTTATGTAAAGGTGTAATGCTAGGCACAACATCTTTGGGTGTATATATTGTTGCCACATTTCGACGAAAGGTAGGTAGTGCCGCAATGTGACTAACCAAATCTTTTTTTCTGCAACTTATGGAGTCTTAAAGGGGCACTGACACATCAAAATCATATTTTTTTTTATTATCCGAAACGATTGAAAACGATGCCGGGACATTACCCTCAAAATTTGAAATTTGGGAATTCAGTATTTGTGAAGTAAAAAAACAATTTCCAAATGCCGAATTCGAAGTTCCCGCGCGATCGGCGCCGGTGCCTTGACGTCAAAAATCGCGGAGACCTGAGAGTCGACTTTCTTTCACCACTCCCTGCTGTTGCCATGGCGACCCAAAGCGAGGAGGAAAGGAGTGAGCGGCGGCGTTGGGGCGGACCGGTTTTGAGCGGTGTCGCCTGTTTTCCGTTGGAGGATACAAATCCAGGAGACGGCACCACAACGAACTCCCGATTTTTGGCATTTCAAAAAGAAGGGCCGTAGTGCGTTCGCAATTGCGTTAAAAAACATGTTTTACGATTGCCGTTATTAAATGTTATAGAGATGTCGCCTACAAAGCTTCTAAATTTCCTGATTTTTGACGTCACCGATCAAAAGAAGCGAGGAGGCGAGAGGCGGGAAAATCAAACGCCAAAAATAAAAAGGCGCGCGCGCGCGCGGGAAAATTTTTTTTCACGATGCGTTTTTTTTTTGCGTGTCTATGACTGCAACTTGCATCGTTTTAGACAATAAAAATAAATATGACCTTTGGGGTGTCAGTGCCCCTTTAACTATACATAATCATTGGGGATATCTTTTTTTCAATGTGCTACCTGCATTGCCCATTGGTGTATTTTTTGTTTTGCCCATTACAGGCTGGAGCGTGGCCCCTGGGCCAGAGTGCGGTATCGCCATTTGCGATACCCCAGGAGCTGGAACGTAGCGTCCAGAAGGTATGTTCGTAATCTGCTGGATGTGCAACACTGAAATTGACTGTCGCTGGATTTGACGTTCATTGGCTGCCTCGTTTCTTACGTCTTTTGGCAGTGAAGCGACATTTGCAGTTTGCTTCGATGGTTTAGCCACCTATTGTGCTTTTGTTTGCACGGATAAGTCGGGCCCTCGAGCTTCAGGCCCCAAAACAAAGCACTTTTCTTTGTGTGAACAGCAGATACCACTAAGCTGCATGTTCCACCTCTTTATTTCCATTGAAGAGGTGTTTGCCATGCTACGTTCAATCTTGAAGCAATGCTGTGTTGTCTTTGGAAATAAGAACTACCGTAATATCCTGAGAGACTCCGCACCCCTGGAAGATAATCCACCCCTATTTTTGGCATGATTTGCTATTTTTTCAGAAAACACCGAAAGATGACTTTCTCCTGGCAATTGCAGGTCCCTGCTTACTGGTGACCTCGGCAGAAATAGTGTTACTTAGCCATGGCGGGAGGTAAATAAACATTGCTTTCTGGGAGGGACAGAGGTCTTTGGTTTGTCGCCCCTTTCTGCGATCGCAAGCCTTTGCGGGTCACGAAATGCAAAGACAGCGTTTCTTCAACCTTTTTTATCGCACACCATACGTTAGTCCTCTCCTTATTTTTACCCGATTTGCCTTCAATTTTAGATTGGCTATCTCTCGGGGTATTACGGTATGTCAAGCAAGTGCCGGGCCGGCTGGAATATGTACAACGTTTATCTCGTTGAATTCTGTGGATTGTCATTGTCACTAGAGTAAGCATGTTTACTGAATGATCGGCGAGAAATGGCAATGAGGGTGCTGCCCTTTTTGTTTTCTAACAGACTAGCTTTTGAAAGGTGATTTGCCTGTTTTAGCCTTTCAGGTTTCCCTTATTTCGTTTGTGTAGAATCGTTCACCAACATACTTGACTTTCCAAAATTGTATCACATTGCTCTTTTTTTTTTACTGCACTAGGTACAACGTATAGAAGAACCAGCTTGCAGCACTCGTCATAATGGCACTGTGTTTTTAATATCTCTAACAAATGTGTATTGCTACGAGCTGGCACTGATAATTTGGAGAGGATGGATCGTGGTCTGCACGGTGTTTGTGCATGAATTCATCTCTGTGGCGCGTCTCTCCATGCTTGCTCGAAATGGTTTTGCACTTCACTCAGTAGTCGCTAGTTCTCTTTTGTGGAAGGGTCTCTACCGTGGAAAGTTCTCTTTACAAGGACCCGATGCAGAGATGCCCCAAGAGAGCGTATCCCAATCGAGGCTCCTTCTTGGCCCCCCTGCAGTTTGAGCAGTTCTACGGGAGCAAGTTCAGTGGGCGCAAGCTGACGTGGCTGCAGCACCTGTGCCAGGCAGAGGTGCGGCTGTGCTACCTGCGCAAGTCGTACCTGGTGAGCCTGGGCACCTACCAGATGGCGCTGCTGCTGCCCTTCGAGGGAGCAGACTCCCTGGCGGTCAGGGACCTGCAGGAGGCCACCCAGCTCTCCCAGGACCAGCTGCAGAGGCAGCTGCAAGGGCTCCTCGACGCCAGGCTGCTCTCCAGCCCGGAGGTGCGTGCTTCGGAGGGACACTCTGTCAAACTGTTGCCGGGCGCATGCTAGCGACGAAAATTCGCAGTCCTGCAGCACCTTCTCCGTCGTTCGCGAGGTCTAACGCAGAACGGCGTGTCTGTTGTGCTCAAAAGCGCACGGATCTCCGGTGTCGCGTTCTTGCCAACTGAACGCTGGTCCCAACTGAACGCCGACGCAGCCCCCTTGTCCAGTCTCCACCCTACGCTGACCCGCGATAAGTGACATAAAAAAATGAGCTCTCTGGCCTTCTCCCTAAGTGGTTTTGGTAAAAGTCCAGTGGCCTTCATTATAAGCTGTTTCCTTGGGCAAGCGGGAAATTTCATCAAATTTTAGAACGGTAAGAAAAACGTTTGCGAACAACGGTGCGACTGAGAAACGTGGTAGGTGTGCGTTCCAAAAAGACGTGCACGCGACTCGAATTGGGTTTATGTCTGTGCGGAATAACGTTTATGTGGAAAATCACAGTAAAAATTTAGATTTTACTTGCGCGAGGCTACTTTTTTTATAACTGCCCATCAAGGGTGCTCACCATTGCCTCTACACTTTTTTCTACATGCACTGATGCACTGTGGTAAAGCAAAAACCTCCACACTGATGCCACAAACTTTACTTCTCCGCTTCACACAGAAGTACCAGTGGAGAGGTGCACTCAATGGACCACAATAGTCCGCTGCAAATCAAGAAGGTAGTGTGAGGGAAAGGAAGGCCGGGGAGGAGGAAGCAGACAATGCTGAAGAGATTTTCTCCTCTCCTCTTCAGTGTTTCGTCTGCTTCCTCCTCCCCAGCCTGCCTTTCTCTCTCCCCACCTTCTTGAGTTGCAACGGACTATAGCTCATTCTCAAAACTTTCAGACTGCTAGAAAATTTATTAAATTTGTTCACAATGCTGTTCATTATGAAATTAAGAACAACTACATAGTTACTTAAATTCATATCCTAAAGCAGTGGTTCTCAAATGGGGTGTCGCACTTTTGGGGTCTGCGAAGCCCTCGCCACAACCCTCGACTGCCCCCTCTTTAAAAAAAAAAGTTTTTCTTTTATGAATTTGGTTAGGTTGCGCAAGCTACTACCCGTTATAAAGGGTACAGCCATTACCACCTGTCCATCCATTCACCCTTTTACTTGATGCTTCTCACTTCTCCCGTCTATAACAGTAAAGGATGCTCTTCTCACACTGCAATAAGTTGTCCCTTCCCCTGCTGGCACGGGGTCCTCCATCACTTTGGCGGGACCCCAAGGGGTCCCCAACATTCACGCTTGAGAACCGTTGTCCTAGAGCTTTGTAAGTTTTCGAATGTTTACCGAAAGCTATATCAGGTAACAGCTAATGTTGTGTAGCCGCTTGGCTTGTGACGGTCTATTTTGTTTAGTGCTAGCGTGATACATCTCGGTTTGCATTTCAGGAAGGTCCCATCACGCCGTCTACAGTGCTGTATTTGAACAAGTCCTACTCTAACAAACGGACAAAATTCAAGATTTCGGCCGTCGTACAGAAGGAGGCCGCTCAAGTGAGGAACTTTCTCTAGGTGCAGTTTGAAGCTCGCGAGTTGCATGCGTAATGGTGTTCTGACCCCGCAGCAAGAGATGGAGCAGACGCACAGCTCGGTGGACGAAGACCGCAAGTTGTACCTTCAGGCCGCCGTTGTGCGCATCATGAAAGCCCGCAAGGTGCTCAGGCATAACACCCTCATCCAAGAGGTAGGTCCATACTTGTTCTTTGTTGGACACCTTGGTGGCATTGAGAACTATGCAAAGGTTTGTTTCCAAATGGGAATGCGAGCGTCGAGAAGTCAGCAAATTGAAAAATGTCAACTTCTTTTAGAAACATGATGTACCATATTTTCCGGTCTATGGTTCATATATCACGCATGTTTAAAAGTTGATGTTCTCTGCTTTGGGGACTCTGTGAAAGCGTAGACTGTACAACGATTTGTTTTAAAACGTCGCTCGTCACTGCGGTTCTTGCCCAGTGCAGTTGTCGATCAGGCTGTTGCAAAGCGGAGACGGTCCATGCGTTGCTTTCACTCTCGATGTCCCCACGTGCGACGCAAGCAGGCAATGTAGATCGAAGATCCTCTTGGCGGCACAAACACGCCTTTTGCAATTGTAAAATTATTACTGCAGCTATTTAAGAGATTGTGGAGTCTTTCAGGGGAGTCATGGTTGCGATGCTTCCGGAATAAAGAAGACTTGTCATTTTGACAGCAGTAGAATATGCACAAGGTGTAGACTATTTAAGGAAAAGCATTTTGACTTTCAGCCGAAATTTTCCCGTCCAGAAATTATGCCGTGTGCAGATTGTAGTTTGGAAACTATGGTATCAGAACACTGGTTTTTAATTGTTGATGTCTCGGTATTCCTCGTAAAGTAGCGGAATTGATGGGGTACCCCTTTACTTTGCTCTGCCGTAATTCAAACATGCCACACGCTGCACAGGTGATCAACCAGGCAAAGAACCGATTTGTGCCCAGCATCGCCATGATCAAAAAGTGCATAGAAGCCCTGATCGACAAGCAGTACCTGGAGAGGACTCCCAACTCCACCGACGAGTACTGCTACGTAGCCTAAAGGGGCCAGGGACGACGACAACACTGTGTGGCCATGTGCTGTACGCCGTGCGGAGGAATGGACTGCGTTGGGACTCTATAAATAAACGCCGAGCAAGGAAGTGCACCTTCACTGTCAGTGGCCCCTTGAGTCCCCACTCGAGCGCATACTTGGTCATCTCGACGAGCAGAAATGCCGGTGTTAATATCTGCGTCACTCGAGTTAGACACAACCGAGGGACGGGCGGCGTGCCTTCGTTTGTTGCGGTCGTCTAAATCATACCTTCGAAATTTAGGGCTGGTTTCACATTCTCACCTGGGGCGGTTTTTAAATGCCTGTTCTTTAGGACTGCTAGATGACTTAGGACGAAGCGTGGATGCTGATATTTTTTTTGTGTTTTGGCTCGTGTGATGAGTGATGCCTGCTGTAATGGTTGTTGCGTCTAGTGCTATGGGACAGGGCTAGTTGTGGCTCGGACTCCTGCTTTACACTAGGCCTCTAAACAGTCTGCCAGTGCTCTACGCGAGCTTGCGCTTTGTTTTCCGCATAGACTGGGTGACGCAGCCTGTTGTTTTGGCACTTTCCATGATATACTAGATGATGCCCAAGCATTTGACAGTGTCTTCAAACTTCTCCTCATGCACCTTTTGCTCACTAGTTGAGCTGAATCTTGATTTTTGCAGAGCTTGAAAGTACTGTGGAAGAGTGAGCACATCAATGAGTGACATATTTTGAATTGGCCTAGTAAAACACAGTTTTGACCACCTTTGGATTCTGAGTGCTGGTATGTTTGCCAGTGCTTGCAACCTTTGCCAAAATGTTGCTTTCATCAAATAAATGAGCCCTCGGTGATCAAATGTGGTGTTTCAAAGGTTCGCCATTGACCGGCTGTCGTGATGATCTTGGGTTTGCATTAGCCGGGGTTGAGAACTTGCCGGTGTGAACGGCATGAAAAAAAAAATGGCTGTGGCTGGAGGAACCACTGAACTTGTGCGACTTCTATATTTTTGGTGGCGCTGAAACAGCTGGGCTGGCTGCTTACGAGAAGTTTGTGACTTTGGACCACGACCAACTCTATAAAGGGCGACCAGCTCACCTCCTCCTGCCCCAGCGCGCCGCTTTTTGTTTTGCTTGTTCAGTTCTTTTTAGTTCGCCTAGTTCCCGCCGCTCCCGCTGGCGCTGCTTAGAATCTCCACTTTCCCCGCTGCTTAGTACGCTCGGGAAGCCTGGGGAGGCTAGTGCAGGCCGTCTTTTGGCACGTGCACGCGTGGACGCGTGGTTTTTTGGGCTGTAAAATAGCTTAACGGTTAATGGTAAAGTGGAACTCAACGACGGGCTGTGATGGTCTTCTGCTGTGTGCCGCTTTGCAAGTCGAACACGCGGACTTCGACGGGGGTCGCTTTCCACGAGTTTCCGGTGACAGAGATCCGGAACGACTGGCTGAAGAAAATCTTTTGCCAAGTAGAGGGCAAAACAGTTCCCCACCAAACTATGTAGCATAAAGAGAAAATAGATTCTCTTCATGTTCATAACACAAAATAGGTCGTGGTACATATAAGTTTACGGCGTCATCCTTTACACGCCGTGTTGCGAATGTTGGACGCTGTGTTATAACCTTCCTCATTTTGAGCGGTTAGTTAAATATGCAGTGATGCAGATACACCTACGTACCGGATCAGCCGTCATTCATCGGAAGGAATGATGTTCACGGGTTAATGTTGTGAGCTCGCGAATTTCAGATGACTCGGAACTTACTGACAGGGTGTATATTTTAATTATGAGCATGTTAGACGTCGTTTGTTTATGTGATACTGCTTACTGTATTCGTCACTGTTTTCGAGGTAGTGCGTCACTAATCAAGAAGTTAGTTGTCTGTGTCTTAGTGAAAAAAAAAAAAGAATATTACTAAATACACAGCTTGTCTCTGTCTCCTATTCTAACCATTGTTATGAGTCCGCCTTATTTAATGGTCTAATTTAAACATTTTTACGCTTTAGCCTTTCCTACAGAATTATCTCAAGAGATTGAATATACGTTTTCTTAATGTATACAATAGAGCATGTTCATTACTGGCCTGGCAAAACATTTATGAGCGGACAAGAGCCATATCCTAAAACCGAAACTAATATATTTTTATTGAAATTTGGAGTATTTCTGGGTGTGCATTTTTCACAAAAGGTATCAGACTAAAACCGGTCGTATTAAGTGAGAAAAAATACTGTACGTACTCGAAGCTATACTGACAAGCAAGCACTCCCATTGGGCGCGTTCAGTAGCGGCCCCGGAGTCAAGGAGTCACTGACTCCTTCCACTGGACGGCCAAAAGTCACTTCCGGTGCACGTAACTCCGGGGCTTCGGAGTCAAGCTCCGAAGCACCGAGTCCGGAGACGGTGCACGTAGAGTCAAAGGAGCTAAAATGACGTCATTTCCTGACTGGTGACGGTTTCCGGCGCTAAAAGAGGAAAAAACAAACACCATGGCGGGATAAGCTGCTTCGGTTCTGTCGCGGGTGCGCGGTTTGCTCGCTTTTGTTAATGAAAAGTGCTCAAGGTAAGACGAATAACGCGTTCGAATATCTTTTTGAGGTAAGGCTCTTTCGGAAAATGCATTGGACCGTATTTTGTTTGGTTTGAATATGCTAATAAACAACGCAAACGTTCATTTGACGCGCCGTGTCTTGATCGCCGTTGCACGGAAACTCGGTAATATTGACGATAGTCTTGTCCGCGCGCAACAGAGAAAAACAGGGTATGAACGCGACTTTGGAAGCCCGTTGGACACTCACGCAGAGCATGATACCGATTAATGTTTTGTTTGCGTAGCTAAATCGGGGTGCACGTTGGCTGAGGCTCGCTTCGGCCGACAAAACCTTGATCGCTGAGCGCGCCCGAACTTCCCGTGTGTATACAAATACATTTTATAGGAAGTTCGTTACGAAGGGCACAACAAACTTATGGGCGTATAAAAGTATCGCAACCGGCGGGGTAGATTCGCTGAGCTCTGTATTTTGCGTGTACTGACGACGATTTTTGTCGGCTTTTATAACAGTAGCTGCCTTTGCACAGCCAAGCGAAGGGCTCGATCGCGTTGCATCGCTTCGAACAGCAGCGCTGATGTGTACAATCACCCGCTTTTTCTTCAATGGCCCTGTAAAGACTTCTTCAATACCGGCGTCAAATAAAAGCGATCGTGCTCGCCATCGTCTGCTTCGAGTTTATTCGGATACCGTCTGGCACAAGGGAGGAAGCGGAAGTTGCGTAGAAGCAGGTTTGGAGCCGCGGTTTTTTTTGCCGTTCAGTAGGCGCTCCGATGACTCCGACTCGAGGCACTCCGTTCGGAGGCAAGGGAGGCGCTACTGAACGCGCCCATTGGTCCCCCCGTTGGCTTTACATGAACTTAGCTCTTCTCAAAGGAAAAAAAAAAAAAACTTAATTAATAGACCGGCAATACAAAGCGCTGTCGCTTTACTCTGTTTACGGAACATGTCAAGAAAGCTATGCGGTTGTCGACAGAAAAGGTTACAATGAAACTCGTGGGTTTTATCGACACAACCACCGCCCGTCGCGTGTGACCGCGCGCGCATTTGGAGATGATACGCGGCGGCGCCTGGCGGATTTCGCTGTCCCCAGCCGTGGTCGCGTGGTATTTTCCGGTACACGCGCTCCCGTAACGAGCGTTTCGCCGCAGTAAGGTTGCAACGCCTATTGGCTGAGAGAAAAAAGCAAAAACAAGCAAAACAACACAAACCGGAAGTGACGAAATTTTTGTTTTGTTTGTTTTTGCTTGTTTTAATTTTATTTTTTGTTTTACTTTTGGTTTCTCCAAGTGTTTGTTGGGTGCTTTCTGGAGCGGTCGCGTCGGTTCCAGCGGTCTTTCTTGTATTATACGTTGTCGTGTTATGTGCCACCGTATTGCCGAGTGGAGTTGGTCGTGATATTCAATGCTTGGGAACGAGCGTCGGCAGTGAAGTTCACAGCGCATTCATGCAAGCTAGTAGGCCCCGTCTCGCCACATGGAGGCCCGTGGGACGCTTGTTCGGAACGTAAAAGGTGAGTGAAATTTACCTACTCTGGTGGCGTTCGATCGTCGATGCGACACCGCAGTGGTGGAATTTGATAGCGCTTGGCTACCTCACGTAGCGTCGGGGACAAAGAAGATAGTAGAGATAATCAACGGGAGTGGCATGTGGTTCCCGGGTGCCGCCTGCGCCGCATTTGCATTCAGTAATCGCACTTAAAGAAGGACCAATCGCGTTGGGAATGTCAGCTTTTGACGAGCTCGTGCAGTCACAAAAGCGTTCTGTCGAAAGACGGGATTTACAAACAGATCAGGCTTCGCGGATGGCCCTCCCGGCGCGTCGAATTTGTGGCGGGTAAATATGTTGCTGTTCATCCTGGTAGGCCTGCGATGGTGTTTTCTGCACAAATGCTGTATTCTGCCTCGTGGTACATTCACACCTGCAGCAGAAAGCGATTCTGCTACAGGTTAATCGCGAAGAGTTGTGCTCTTCCATAATGTGCATGTTAAAGTGACAACAAATAAGTGCCTCTCTGTTCTACTTCTCCTTTGGTATTCAACTGGTTGTATTTTCTACTACATTTTGTTCAGAAAGCCACTGCGAGACAGGCATTATTGAAGTATACTATCCAAAATAATGCTTGAGCATGAGATGAGGTAACAGAAATACTTCTATATGTGCCTGCTTTTTGTGTTTTTGCAAGACAAGGTTTTATGTGCCTGCTTTTTATGTTTCTGCAATTCACTGGCTAGACCATTCTTCTCATGGTTATTGTTTTGTTGGGTGCAAAATTTTCCACCCCAGGTGTCTGAAGCTTGCGGCTGATGGCTTCTACCTATGTGCATCAAACAGCGGGCCTGCACCCTCGCCGAGACAGCAGTAAAACAGTTCTGGGTAACTGCAGCGAGTGGGTCACCGATGCCGTTCCACTTCCTGCACTGCACTCCGCATGGGTCAAAGGGCCAGCGCATGCCTTTTATGGGTTGTTGCCAGCCATAGTGAGTATGGCTTGGAGTCACGTCATGCGAGTGAAATGCTTGTCACCTGAGTGACGTCAGTGGGAAGGGGTTGCCGCCGCCGCTGTTGGTGGGGCTATGATGGTGGTCTGCGATCAGAGACCACCAAGCACCATTGCACTGTTCCTGGATGAACTAGCCGCTCGTGAGGAAGAACAGGGTGCTTTGGGAAGAGCTATGGTGTCCGCTTTTTCACTAGCTCCAGCTGTCGCCACAGACATTTTGTCGAAAGGAGCAACATCTATGAATGAGTAGACGGCGCTGAATGGCCGCAAGGGGCCTCGCTTCTGATCGAGGGGTTCAAGATAGTTCCGTTTCAACAGACGTACCTCTTGGGGTATTTATTGTACAACACAGGAAATAAATGGCCCGAAAGTTTTTTACCTTGACGAGGTGTGGGTTATGGCAGGACCAATTTTCTCAAAGGTGCGAGTAGACACAAATGCGGCTTTGTTCCATGGACACCTTCATGTTTGGTGGCACGAGGCAGTCATTGCTTAACCCTGCTTAAAGATCAACGACTGGACTGGTCAAGGGTGGCATGCCTGAGAGTGGGACAGTAGACGGCTGTTATATACCAACTTTAGACTTCATTCACCCCTTAACTGACAGGGCACTGGAGGCTACATGCTCGGTGAACCAGCCGATTGTCAGTCTTGCATCACTTATCATGCCCCTTTCTCATACAGATGTGCAGGTCGGACATGAGGCAATAAAAGCTTGGCCCACCAACCACATGGTTCCTACCGCCCCGTCAGCGTAGAGGTGAATGGAGCGTAGGGGCGGCAGAGTTGGTGGGGTCTGCTGAGTGCTTCTGGCATA